ATCTTTTGACTCGTCGACGAAAGTAATACCAAGTTTACACGTCATATCGCTTGCTGTGCGTGATCGGCAGTGAAATGAATTACCCAACAAGTTTAAAATCAGACATGACCCCACTCTAACCGACCAATAAGGTGGCGTCCTTAAAATAACCACGCGCGTATAATGTAGACGCAAGTACGTGGAACTATTTACAACTCGGTTGAATAAACTTGTCTCGGATCGACTTTGTAAAGAAACACAGCTAACCTTGAAAACGAATTATCCATAAATGGCAGATTATGGCAGAGCAGAGCGGAAAAATGAGCGAATCGTGCGTTCCACTATTTTGTGCATTCTTTGCCATCAGGAAGACCTGATTGCACTTGAATACGGTCGTCAAAAACTCATCTGCCTGAAAATTCCCTGTATTTGACGAATCAAAAAAAAAAAAATAGGCATTTTTACGGCCTATAATTTTGGCCAGTTTCATTTTGATTCTAATTACTAGTTATAATTATAACCTGTAACTCTTAACAGTGGTAAAAACCACGGCTTTGAGCTGTGACATTTTAAATTGTGCCTGACGGCCCCTGAAACTTCTTGTTGCCCTGAAACTTCTTGTTTCATTCCTTGGAAGGGCACAGAATTTTCTCTGAACTTACTTGTATTTGAAATCAAATTTTGATGGACCTAGAAATTTCTGCTGCCCAATCGACGTTTTGTACTGCTTGGAAGGACACTAAAATTTCTGTGGGCTATCTTGTACATGAAATAAATATTTGATGGCACAGAAATTTCTGCGCCCTGATAAATGTTTAAGTGAATAGGAAGGTCGCAGAAAATTTTGTGAGACCTTTAACAGGAGCTATTTTCGTGTAGAATTGTGTCGGTGTTAAACAGGCAAAATTTGATTACTTTTCCCGAAAACCTGACATTTGCAAATTTGACGTGGTAAAAAATAGAAATTTAAGTGCACTTTTTGCATTTTTTACAGGAAGAGAAGTTGCTTAGCAATTTTTACGCATTTTCCCCTGTTTTGTGCTTACAACAACAACTTTATAATATCCCACTTTATTTTAGAACGTGTTAAACCTCATGATGTTCTTCTGGTTAAAGAAACTAATTGTGGTATTTTCTACATTCATTGCTGCGGTCTTCCTCTATGAGTTATTGATGTCTTTCCCAAGCAGATCTTCTTATTCTAAGAAGCTATTTCAGGAACTTTGGACAAGAAAAAATTATCCTTTTCTATCTACAAAAGATGCAACAGAAATTGCACAGGAGCGGGACGAGCAATTAATAATATTCATTACAAGTGCACCCTTTCATATTGAAAGAAGACTATCCATACGACAAACATGGCTGTCTCTCTTGGTTAATAACACCATTGCGCGAGGACGATCATCCATACGAACAATGAAAAACCCGTCTACTGCCTCTAATAACTTGGTTATCCACTACTGGTTTGTTTGCGGACATGACACAAAAGTGGAGGTTGAATCCGCCGTGCGGAATGAAAGCGCCGTTTACGGCGACATCTTAAGGCTGGAGTACACCGAAACATATTCACTGCTTGCCTTTAAGACTATGAGCTCTTTGTGGCTTGCTTCTACCATGGACGTTCAGTTCATTGTCAAAGTGCACGATGACGTATATTTGCACGTTCCTAAGATGATTTGGTGGCTGAAAACGTCTTCTTTACCTGAGAACCTATATGCTGGCTGTGTGCAATATGGGGCAAAAGTTATTAGAAATCCAACGCATAAATGGTTCGTTAGTGAACAATTTCTTAACGACTCTTGGTTCCCTCCATACTGTGAAGGGCCCTTTTATATTTTATCTAAAAGCGCTCTTCTCGAATTGCTTAAGGTCTCCTTAAATGAAGGCCTGACACCTTTTCCTTTAGAAGACGCCTATATAGGAATATTGGCAAAAAGAGTTGGAATCGCGCCCTTACAGCTTAACGGAAAACATGTCCTCATTACCGGGCCAAGGGTGGGAATTGGTTTGGAAGATAAAAAACTTAACGATTTCTTCGCATTGGGACATGGCTTGTCCATTGAACGAATGTTCAAACTTCACGAAAGATTCTAGGACAAGTGAAAAAATAAAAAAAAGAGAATAATTGCCTCCTTTAGTAGCCACTAAATAGGAGGATCAGAAGAAGGACCTATTACCGATAAATATGTTATAAAGGGAACGTGATCATGAGTTTAATTCAAATGCTCGTGTATGTGTGCGTGTGTTTTTTTTCTGATAAGCTGCAAAGGCGTGCCACCAGTGTTATTGAAGGCTACACAGTTTCACAATTGCAGATATCTCGCATATTCGGTTGGCCTACACTCCAGTCCTCCTGCCGTTACTATCTAAAGTGCATGTTAATATTTAAGTACCTTCTGGCCTGGCTCCAGCATACTTACGTAATGAATTAAGCCACGCGTGCGATTTCCAGTCATTTAGCACGTGCCATAGAGATTTGATCCTTCTGCCCCGAGCTATAGGACAACTAAGTACCAGGGCTCCTTCAGGTTCAGCGGAGCCAAGTTCTAAAACACGCTTCCTGTGGACTTGAGGGGCGAGCATGATATTAATAAGTTTGCGCTTGGCCTAAATAGGCAATTTAGATCCTAACTGAGCCGCCTTTACTTTTGTTATATTTAGTTGTACCATTTTTTATATTTATTTGTTTTGTGTGTTGTTTTTTCTTTTTCGTCAGGGCCCCATTTAAACCACCCTCGCTGAACTAGGAATCCCTGACTAAATATTGTTTAAAATAAAATAAATAAAATAATATCGGATTTGTTGGCACAATATTGCTTTAAGGTGACAGCGCGATGCTGTTAGTGAGTTCTTCACTTCTTGTGTGCCTATCATTACTTGGCTGTGTAGCCGCGTGATGCGGTTCAAGTCGAGACCCACAAATTGGCCCTTGCTCACCATAGAGTCTCCAGTAGCTCAAGTGGTTAGAGCATCCGACTAGATCACGGAGGGTCGTGGGTTCAAATCCCATCTGGGACTCGGATTTTTTTCCGAGTCCTCCTCAAATTAATATCATGTTGTTGTTGTTTCATCTTTAATATACAATATTGCTCGGTTATTTAATTAGCAATTAATGAATGAGGCTGAGTAGTGCTATAACACCCTCGGAGATCTGCTTAATTCTTCATATCCTAGCTACGAAAGCTCACTTTCCAGAATCTGGGAAATGAAAGGAGGTAAATATGCAAAGACCCTTGCCAAATCTCAGGTTAGAGGAATATTTCGTCTACGAGATATCCAAAGAAACGTTCTACCCAAATTTAATGCTATCAAATTGAGTTCAAGATATGTTTCGTAGATTATGGTAATTAATGACACTTCTAAACAAATTCAAGAGCGCGCGCGTACAAGTTAAATCTTTGCTCGTAAGCTCTTAGCGATAGATTTAACTATAGCTAGTAATAAAGATATCTTTTATTATACACGAAGGGTGCTGCTTCAACTGTAAGCGGTCTTTTTATTTAATGGCTTCTAGAAGATTTAATTTATTGTGCACTGTACACACTTAACAAGATGGATCAAAACTACATTATGTTGTTAATCTCTGTCCTTCCTTTTACTGTTTTTCGTATTTTCTTTTAGCTACACCCACAAATATGGCCACATAAATTATAAGCTATCAATACCGCACTATTTAGCAAAATCGTCATTTAATGAATCAGTTAAAATTCATCAACATTCTCAGAAAGACAACTCACTTTGACTCTAAAGATTACTACCGCACATTTACAAGTCGTTGTCGAAACGTCCGTCATATTAAAACAACAGCTTTAATTAAAATACGCTAACTACTTGATCTATCGCAAACCCTCACTTTTAGTGTTATGCCCAAACATCTTATGTTCAGAATTTACTAAGTAAACCCCAATCCCCCAAATACCGAAGATGTGCAACTCCATTCTCGTAACTACATTGATATAGTTACTCTTGCCGTGGACAGCTTTCCAGCGGTATGTACCCAGTTAAGAAGTACCTCTCCCTACCCTCACAGCTAATGTTACCTTACATTTGTACACGTTGCTCAAAATTCTGACTGTAGAATTGCCAGAAACAGCTATAAGGGGTCCTATAAGCAGACACGGACCAGAAGACTGATCGAGGTACGATGGCTGCCCTTAGGGTTAGACCGCAGACAATAAATATCTGTACTTAGATTGGCCATATAGCCACAGCCTCTACTAAATCAAAGGTTATCTTGTCGATTTACGACTGTTTACCACTAATTAGCCAATCAACTAGATTTGAATCAGCACAAGAATTATGAACAATAAAATGCGGGTAACTGTTTACTGAAGCCAGTGGCATTATTTACTTGTAAGTAATAATGCCAAACTGGTTGTTAAAAACAACCAGTTTGCTTTGGAAGGAATGTACTTTTAATGACACATTGTCACGAAAAGTGATTAAATGTAAGTGTTCAAATGAATCAATCCCCGTTTAAGTGCCCTTCTACAAAAACACATTATTTCATTACGCTCAGCTATAAACCTCATGATGTTCTTTTGGTTAAAGAAACTAATCGTGGTATTTTCTTTGTTCATTGTTGCTTTCTTGCTCTGTGAGTTACTGATCTCTTTCCCGAGCACATCTTCCCATACTAAGAAGCTATTTCAGGGACTTTCGACGAGAGAAAATCATCCTTTTCAATCTACAACAAATGCAATCGAAGTTGTCCAGGAGCCTGACGAGCAATTAATAATATTCATTACAAGTGCACCCTTTCAAAATGAAAGAAGACTATCCATACGACAAACATGGCTGTCTCTCTTGGTCAATAACACCATTGCGCGAGGACGATCATCCATACGAACAAAAAAAACCCGTCTAACTCATCTAATAACTTGGTTATCCACTACTGGTTTGTTTGCGGACATGACACAAAAGTGGAGGTTGAATCCGCCGTGCGGAATGAAAGCGCCGTTTACGGAGATATCTTAAGGCTGAACTACACCGAAACATATTCACTGCTTGCCTTTAAGACTATGAGCTCTCTGTGGCTTGCTTCTACCATGGACGTTCAGTTTATCGTCAAAGTGGACGATGACGTATATTTGCACGTTCCTAAGATGATTTGGTGGCTGAAAACGTCTTCTTTACCTGACAAGCTATATGCTGGCGCCGTGCAAGGCGGGGTTGAATTAAAAGTTGTTAGAGATCCAACGCATAAATGGTTCGTTAGTGAACAATTTCTTAACGACTCTTGGTTCCCTCCATACTGTAACGGGCCCTTTTATATTTTATCTAAAAGCGCTCTTCTCGAATTACTTAAGGTCTCCTCAAATGAAGGCCTGACACCTTTTCCTTTAGAAGACGCCTACATAGGAATATTGGCAAAAAGAGTTGGAATCGCGCCCTTACAGCTTAACGGAAAACATGTCCTCATTACCGGGCCATGGGTGGGAATTGGTTTGGAAGATAAAAAACTTAACGATTTCTTCGCATTGGGACATGGGTTGTCCATTGAACGAATGTTCAAACTTCATGCAAGACTCGCTAACTTGAACTTAATACAACTGTAAAGGTAACTGACGAAAAGACAACGATAACCTTTTCCAGTAACACCTTTAAACGTCAATAGCAAAATGATAATAATCGTGTTTAAACATGATAACATGATTTTGAGTAGTACAAAAACTAAATGTGCATGTGCTCCTTTAAATTTTTAAATAGTCATGGGCTCCTGAATGGGTAGATATTTCCTTATTCAAAATAATTTTGTTCGTTTAATGAAATAATAAATAATAAAATATTTATATAGCGCTTATACTTTTAAGTTCTAAGCGCTTTACATTACTTCAAAAAGGTCTGAATAAAAAATAAAAATCCTAAAATTATTACATATATACATATATACATAGTCACAAAAAATACAAAATAAAAAAGCTAAGATAGTTCATAAACTCGTTTAAAAAGAAAGGTCTTCAATTTAGATTTAAACTTATTTACATCATCGATCGACCTAATGTCAACAGGCAAATCGTTCCAGAGTATAGGGACAATGACTGAAAAAGCCCTGAAACCATATGTCTTTAAGTTATAGGGTTTAAGAACAAGACGCCACTTGTCTCAAGATGATCGGAGGTACCTCGCAGGTTCATAAACATGGATTAGGTCAACCAAATAATCAGGAGCTAAATTGTTGAGTATCTTAAAACAAATAAGATTAATCTTAAAGATTATTCTTTGCTCCACTGGTAGCCAGTGCAACTCCTTTAGAGTATCACTTATGTGATCAAACTTACTTAAGCAGGCAATCACACGCGCTGCAGCGTTTTGGACACTTTGCAGTTTGTTAATTTTATACTTGGGAAGACCATGCGGTTTTCACGTAACTTATCAAACCTAGCGTATTGGTCAACTTGAAATGCAGGCAATCATTCATTTATTCAAATAAAGGAAACTAACACGAAAAAGAGGATAACATTTCAAAAAGAAGGAAATGAACGTGACGGACAGAAAGAAGCAAAACGTTTTGTGACGACAGGAACAAAATTTAAACGTAACTTACCCAAACTTTAAGCAACGTTGGTGCTATTTTCACTTTAAACATAGGGGGTGAATATTCAGTAACAACCGGTTTGTTCTGCTAAAATGCAATTGTAATTCAACCATTGTTATATACACGTAATTACACATAGTGAGTTTGCCCCCCTTGCCAAGAGTTCTAAAAAGACACAGACACATCCAGTCCCGCCAGCTTAAACATCATGATCCTGCTCTTCAGGGTAATCAATTGAAACTTGTCCGGATATTTTCTTTGTTTGTTACCCAGGCCGTCCTTTATACGTTTAGCCCATTTTTTTCCGGCGGACATCTTCATATTTTACAAAGAAGTTAGTCAGGAACGAGAAAGATAGATGATAGATTAGATTAGATAGATAGTTTATTGACCTTAAAAAAATTATTAAACTGTAATAATTAACGACTAATAAAAGAAAGATCATTCGGCATAATTTACAATTCAAATTTAAAACTGTTACAAAATCACAAATTCAAAAGCATACGTCAAGTTCCTATCATACAATAGGGTTTGCCGATTTAACTGAAGTTCGAGCCATTTTTCCGAGATGTGAAATTGATTCCATTATTCTGTAAAAGGTCATCTCGATTTTTTTCGTTATAAGTAAATCTAAGTGGGCTCTTTCAGGTTCAGAGTACCCAATATCTAAAACACGCGTCCTCTGTACCTGATCATGAGGGGCGAGCATGATATTAATAAGTCTGCGTCTGGCCTAAAAAGTCCCTTTTCGATCCAGGCCTAACTGAGCCGCTCGTACTTTTGATATACTTAGTTGTACCATTTTTTATCTTTATTTATTGTATCTAGCCGAATTTTTGAAAACATACCTTAAAACGGGCCAGAATATTCGCACAGGAACCTGGCGATAGCCATTTTTCTGGACACTGCACTGAGAAAAAACATGGGGGGCTTGCTGTCCTGGTTGGTCTCATTGTCAAGCTCAGTCCCTGAGCTAACTCGCCACGGGTTGGAAAAGGGCCTCTATGTCAATCCCTAGGGGGGGAGGGTGCTACAAAAGTGTGGTTCCTTCCGTTAGTCTTGCTCTGGGAGAGTCAGTGCCCTGGTCATGTCTGCCTTTAGTTTGTCATGTCAAATTCTTGTAACGTTTGAACGTTTGAGGTCCATTGGCCAATGAAAGCATTCCCCTCAAGCACGTGCCAGGCTGGGGGGGGGGGAAGTCAGGATGGGGGGGGGTGATTTAAACTTGAATTCTCTGCTTAGGACTTGGTTAAGTCTGAAACATCCTCCGTCGTTTAGGGCCTTTAACCAGCTAAAGTGTATGGACAAGTCCAGAGTGTCTTTTTGATGGACTTGAATGTTTCGTTTGCTAATCAGGAACCAAGAAGAGAGTCACCTTAACAGAACCATGGGTAAGAGCTGAGTTCATTTCTTGGCGATATTTACTTTAGTTGAGTCAGTTTAAGGTGTGTGGGCTCCAGGAGACCGATGGTACGGTTTTGAAAAATCCGGCTAGATATACAGACTGAGAAATACTTTTCGTACACAAATTAGTTCTAGCCAATCAGAGCAGCGAACGATGGTTTTCAAACGAGAAAAAAATGATACGTCTAATCAGAAGCCAATCAGAAGCCACAGAGGTGTGAGAGTTTCGCGCCAAAATTCCCGCCTCTCATTGCAGCTTGCAGCGCCGCTTCGCAGCACATTCAACGAGAAAAGTTTGACTCAAAGAGTTTTTCTCGCTAAAAAAGTGAAAAACATTTCGGAAATGGAGTGGAATAGCTTCGTTTGTTTCACTGTCGATAAAGAAAACGGTAGAGAGCCGGCGAAACAACACCGGAAAGGGATAAACAAAACGCATTAGGACTGGCATGCCTATTACAAATATAAAAATCATAGCGGGAGTAACGGGTCCTTTTTTAGAAACAGGTTTCGAAAGATCTCTTTTAGCTGCCTCTAGTACGTTCTTAACCAATTTGGAATCGCAGGGACTGCGAAATTACAAATTATGCGCCCAATTAATACCATAGCAAGCAGACTCAAGGAAAGAATAAGGGGAACCATCCTGAATCAGGGACTCTGAATAAAGAGCAATGATATCTCGTCCGATGACAGGCAAGCGACCTCGTTATAAGGTAAATAATAATCTCTGATCGATTTCTGAAAACCCTCGAGTAACGCTCCGTCGTCGAAGGAGCCTTCGCTTCAAAGGTACGCAAAGGAAGATCTGCGGCTAACTTACGAAGCTCTAGATCCTTTAGATGAGCAGTCTTCAATGCAAACGTAAGTCCACCTTGCAGAAACATAAAGATAATAAGAAAAACAAAAATAATTATGAGCAAAAGACTGAGCAAGTTAAGTAAAAATGAGAAGCCTCAATAATGAAAAAAGTCGACCAACCAAAACGGCTTACATACAGACAGCTCAGTGGAGTGAAAACGTACAATCTTCATGTACCGGCAAAAACTTGTGCGTTCGTCGTCAAGTGGCCCAGTGACCCAGCGGCCCAGCGACCCAGCGGACCAGCGGACCAGCGGACCAGCGGACCAGCGGACCAGCGACCAAGCGACATACAACTCAACAGCAACCTATACAGATTCCTGGTACAGCCTCGTCGAGCAACAGAAAAAGCACTGGGGTATTAAAATAATATATAGATTTAGCCACAGCTAAAAGCGAAGCTACCATTTATATTTTTATAACTTAATCAAACAATAATTTTGTATTCCACAAATCAGTTTACTTAAGGGCACATTCATGTGACTTTTGAGGGAAAAGCTAAGTGATTTTGGAGTGAAACAAATCTTGTATCGAGTTGATATAGCCTTATATGTACACCCAAAAAATAGTCTTCGGTCACATTTAAGAGCAATAATGGCTCTTGATCACAGCAGATAAGGCGTGGAAGACAAATTCTTGGAAAACAAATCAGACCAAATTTTTTAATAAATCTGGGTGCGTGCAAACCAATCTTTTTTTATAGACCACATCTGAGGAGAAAGAGTACTATGAGGCTCTGTTTTTATCATACAGACCTCGTAAAAAATGCAGTATTTCACAATCTTTCAAGACAAATTGCATTCACTCAATATTCAGAACCATCGAAGCACGCGTGGACGTTTAATTAGCGAATAGTACCGTTCAAAAAATTTCCAAAATCACCTATACGGCCATCCGGTTCTAACTTTTGACAAGCGCCAAATTTGCGAAGAAATTTTAAAAATAGTTACCCTTCAACGTGATAAGGAATTTATTGAGTCTATTTTTTATTAATGGTTTTATAACGATGTGTAATCTTAAAAAGCGTGTGAGACGCTTGGCATTTTGAGTACTCCTGCAAGAAAAGCGATGTTTATGAACGGCTGAAAACAAACGGCAAAGCGATGAAAATCACACTTTTGAGACTACCAACAATCAATAAAAAATATCATTCGGTAGAACATTTACAGAGACAACAATTTTCATTCACGAAAGCAAATGAGTATTTAAGTGTCTCTAAGAATCCTCAAGTCTTTACTAGTAAGCTTAAAGATTAAGTTTATGTTTTAAGCCGCCGGTTTCCCGGTGTTTGCTGTTTTCAAAGATGACTCACGACAAGAAAATCGCTCAAAGCTTTCTTTCTACAGCCAAAATTATAACTAAATATTCTTCGGAAAGTTTTTTCTTTCTATTTACGGTGAATTAATATCGACTAAAGGCTTTTTAAAGTTCTGTAAGCTTAAGCTTATATCAAACCTCATACTAGGTCAGATCGGTGTCTCAGTCAAATCTTAATACTAACGTGCATAAACTAGCTTCATAAACTGCGCCACTGGACTTCATGAAATTATATTTAAATACAATAATTACTTAAGCTTACCATATTTCGAGATGCAGCTCCTGAAAGCTATCAAGTAAGGCAAGGATCGCTTGATCCTTTATAATTCTCGTAGGCATCCAGCAAGGTGAAAAACAAAAACGATGCCATCCGAAATCGGATTATCGGCTTTGACAAGCGACGCACTTCTCAACCAAAAACCCAATAAACAAACCAGCCATGAATAAGAGAACACTCTTGATAGCAGCTGTATTTCATTTTGTACATCCAGTGGAAAAAGACAGTTAAAAACATCACAAGTTGACTCAAAACTCTGTCAGCTTCAGCTGTCAAAGTAAACAACTTTCAAGCTGCTGCATAAATTTTACGCATGAACTCACCTGTCAAATTTTAACCAATCAGAGCATAAAAATTGGACGTGGAGCGTGACCAACACGTGACCATGGTAAGAAAAGGTCTTCCCCGCCTGTCTTTTAAAAAAACTGGCTGAATTTTTGCGTCTGAGGTCAGTTTGAAATCAAAATTGTAATAGTGCGGTGCGATACTGACATAAACACAACATATTTGATATGAATTTTAAAAAAAGTAAACGTGAGCCTGCGATCATTTGAAAACGAGTAAATTGTCAGCGGATAACTTCAAAAAATACTCGACCTCGATGGGTGGACACCTGAGCCCGCGATACGGCCAGGTGATACTGGTCAGCGGATACCCTGTTTTGACAGCTGTCAATTGATGACAACATTGATGTGCAATCAGCATTCTCCTGGGCTCCCAAAGTAGCTAGAAAGTGTAAGAGTAAACATTGGTATGCCTGTGGTGCGGACGGACGGACGGTCGGTCGCTCGGTCGGTCGGTCACGTGATTACCAAATTTTCTGGGATGGGTAGATTTATTTACCCATGGTGCTCCGCAGGCGCGCTTCGCGCGCGGAGCTCCGCTATCAATCTTTGACTGTGCAATCATCATAATCAACAATCTTACTCGAATAATCTGTTCTCTCATTCTGTGTACAAGGTATCCATTCAACCTCGATGTCAATATTATTCTCTTTGATGGTCTGAAATATGTCGAGCGCCAAGGTATGCAAATGCTCCTTCATACTACCAGAATGAACAATCGAAGGAACTGCTTGGATATCAGTAGACCACTTAACATCGCAGCCTGAGAGAAGGTGTGAAAAACTTTTCAGAGCAAATCTGACGCTGTGAATTCTCTCCTCTAAGGCTCTGATCCATCTGCAATGAATCCCAGTTAATATGTGAGACAGGCGATCGTCAATTGCATAAAGGCAGCACAGCCAGTAGCACCAGAATCTGAGTGGACAATTCGAGATGGCTTACCAACAGTATTGAGACCTAGAATTCAGATTAGAAACGTTGTCCTTCCAAAACTCTAAGTCTTTGCAAGCGCATGGGTCTAAATCAACACAGGAATTCTACCCTTACACACATTGCTAAAAACATGTATATTAGAAATAATACTTCCGGTGACAGAGGCTTGTTGCCTGGCTGGTAGTATACTTTCAAGGAGCACATTTTTAATACTCGCTAGTAACCTGTCGCGTTGATTTTTTCCACACAGGAATAGAAAACAAATTATGCTTTGAATCCCATTGATAGCCCAATCATCTGAGAGACTGTATTGGGACCCATATGCTTCTAACACTATTCTACAAAGCGCCAAGATATGCGAATGCTCCTTCATACTACCAGAATGAACAATCGAAGGAACTGCTTGGTTATTTTGGGACAAATCTGATTTCACAGCCATAGACTGGGAATAACAGTTGGGAAAAGTTGGACATACGCCTAGCCCATCATCCAAATAAACAACAATTCTAACAGCCTTCTGGAGACGCCAATAACGTACTAAGGGCCACAGAACTTTTGTAAAAATTTATGGCCTGGTGGAAATGCCGAATGGCAAAACAGTAAATTTATAGGGGAGCTCTCGCGCACGGAGCGCGCCAGCGAAGCACCATGGGTGAGAAAATGATCAGAAGCAATCTACCCATCCGAGAAAATTTGGCAATTTGGTAATCTGAAAATCTGGTAATTTGAAAATTTGGTAATCACGTGACCGAGCGACCGTCCGTCCGCACCTCAGGTATACCAATATAAAATAACTCAATCAACAGGTATGGCAACCCAAATGCAACTCGAGGTTATTTTGGTGGGAAATCGCATAGCTACCGGCGTCTTGTAAAGCAAAGACAACTAAAGAGTCAGTAGAGACGAAAACGGAAAGCGGAAATTGTTTCTGTATCCCTGTTGTCTAAATTATTAAGCGTAGATAAATTGTCATGTCCACAAATTTGGAATATACAGCAAGAGAAAGATAGAGAAAAAGAGAAAGTGGGCGGCAGGTCAGCGAAGGTCAACGAGAAAAAGGGCAACAGAGATCTAGAGCGAGAGATAAAAAACAAAGGAGACATTTTTCTGTTGGAAGCTAGAACAACATGAAAATTTTGTAGCGGCGGTGACAAAATGAGAAATGCTGGCGGCCACCAATGCAAGGTGAAAATGAGCGGCAGTGAAAACTGAAAGGGGAACGAGAACACGTTCAACATTTCCTCCATAAAACGTGTAACTAAGAAGTTTCTGGAAGTTTCAGGTTGTAGTCGTGCAAAACAGCGTCAAAGAAATATACAAGAAAAGTCTGCTGCACGTACAAAGTTGCTTTTTTGCTAATTAGACCTATTGTTGTTTTTCACCGTTTGCCGGCGTTGCATGCCTTCGCCGCTTAGCATTACACGATTTTATATTTTGTTTGAACAAACCATAAATACTATCGAAAGCTTCGCTTATCTAAGCCCTGGCTAAATCTATATATCGAATAAACCCATCCTTTGACCAGGAAAAGCCTAAATCTCTTGGTCGTGGGGAAAAATGTCAATATGAACTGGTGTTTCTCGTTGTCGAGCGCAAAATGATAAGGCGGAAACAAAGATTTTTGCTTTGCAGCTTTTTTTTCCTCTAGGCAAAAAGCCGCTTGCTGCGAAGGCTAACATTTTGTTCATCATCACAGCTTATCATCAGTGACGCCTAGCTGGAAACGTTTCCTGATTTTTTGACTCTAGCTTTTCCAAGAACGGAAGTGAGAAAATTAATTACCTCCGTTGTGTAATTTGCTGCCTTTGAAGAGGAAAGTCAGACAATGGACAATTCAGGTAAAACGCGCCTTAGTGTTATGTTAATCATTTGAATTGATTCTAAGTAACATTTTGTTTTTCGTTTCACATATCAAGCTTAATGTAAAAAGTGGGGTTAAAGGGAGGCATATTTAATTTTCCAAGTTAAGAGAAAGTTCAGCTCAATGCCAGAGCTCCGCTTTTAAGTTTGGCTTAATTTGTATATTGGATTCTGTGGCTTAAGCCATTTTCGATTTTCCCTCGTATATTACAAGGTAAATCGTATGCACACACAAGAAATTTTGCACGTGCTGTTTTTGCTATACTATAAAAGTCCTTTATTTCTAATTTCCTTCTGCTACTTTAATCTAACTTAATTGATAGTCCTTAATTAGTTAGCGATTTTTTCATTGGTGGATTATGTGCCACTATTTGTCACCACTTAGTATCAACTGGTATAAAAATAACGTATTATGCCTCTTACAACATTTACAACTCGTGAGAAATCTTTTCTTAGTGACGTTAGAAAACAAAGCAATGAAGTTCAGAGCAACTGGAAGAATTTTGTGAATGTGGGTCACATTGCCCTACATTAATTGAAGCCAAGCGAACAGCTATGTATACGTGAATTAGTGGCTTCACCAGCAGATGGAACACTGCTTTGGTTTAGCTTTCATTTACATATACGTAAAGAATTAGTTCCCCAAAATTTAATTTTCTCTATTACTTCCTCGCATTAGACTTGGGGCCCAAAAAGCAAATGACTATCTAGAATTTCAGATTTGTAAGCACTTACCAAAATTCGCTTGTGAACAAGTAATGAGTAGAATATATATTGTAATTTACCAAAGGGTGCTATGTTTTACCGTATAAAAATATGCTACTTTTTCTTATCAAAATTAAAGGATTCGACAATTCAAGACTTGGAAACATTTTTTTGTTAAAAGTCACTCTTTCGTCCCACATTAATTACGTTGATCGTGATAGCAAGCAGTAATAAAAGTTTGAAGTTTGACTACTAGGCAGAGTAACGTTTTTTTCTTATTCACTTTGGATGCGTGTGAATAACAGACCGATTAGAGATCAATATTCAAGGAACACTGCGTCCATAGATAAAGCTAGTAACGGAAAGAATTTTCTAATTTTCATCTACGATCTAGTCTACTCGACGGAGCTGAGCTGATGACAGTAATGCCTTCCTGCCATGTCTAAGCAGCACACTCCTCCTGTTCCACAGTCTCCTGAGTCTTTGCATGGCTTGAAAGCCGTGTAATATGGAGTCCTCAAAGGGCAGACTGCTGATACTATATTGAAATGAAATAATAATCAAGAAATCAACATGGAAGAAAAGCATCGAAATCAGGGAAAAAGAAAGGATTACTAGGTCGTCCGATAAAGGAAAGCTAAAGTAAAAATGTGTGATTTTTGCTTTAGAACTCTGCAAGTAGCCACCCAATCACCATTTTAGAAACCAGAAGGAAACTGCGGCAAGTTAACTTTCGCAAAGACGTCTGGGACTTTTTGCGAATTGGCCAGTAGCTGAATAGCGCGCCCCTGGTAACGATTCCAGAAGTATTTGCAAAAGCTAACTCGGCCCAGTTTCTTTGTCGTTTATAAAGTATCTCTGTGTCATTGATATGGATATCCCCGCGGTTGTGGCATCCCCATTCCCAAAACCCTACTGATATGGGCATCTCCTTTTCATATTACCTTAGTGTCCGGCCTTTGGGGATCCCCATTCCCAAAACTCTGGTGATATGGGCATCCCTTCTCATATTACCCTAGCGACTTGGGTTGCGGTTAGGGTTAAAGTTGCAGGGGATACCCATATCATTAGGGTTATCGATCATTGAGAATGGGGATGCCTATATCACTGTGAAAGCGACACATGTATATGCTGCCTTTGATCTGGAGTGGGAACTCTGTTGCGGTAAATCTTAATATAGGGATAATATCCTACTTCAGGCGCCGCAATGTTTGCTTGTAAACAGAGTGTAAGAACGAGAAAAGGAATTGCCTTCTTAAGACACAACGCTCCTGATATTTGCGAATAAAAACAAAAAAAATTGGCTATGATAACTTGGATTGTCCACCGTAAAGCTAAGAGGGAGTAATGAAGCTGCATTTAAAAAGAATTAACGAATGGAACAAAGAAAAAAACAAATAAACAAAATAAATAAACCCATGAGTTGATTCCCGGGTTATGCATATTTTGATTTTTGTAATGTTGAATCCTACCTCGAGGGACGCACATCCTCTTGCCATAAATGCATTTGGTCTGGCAACAGGTCATTCCACTCTCAAAGCAATCGTCATCATTATTGCAAGGATAGGAATAAAGCAGGTTGAGACAGCTTAGGGTCTCTAACATAGGGCACGATCCTGCAATCAGCCAATAAAACAGTTAGTTGAGAATTAATGCGTAATGAATGCTACACAATTGGTACCCTGGGTGCCAGGGTGCCAGAGATTTTTCATATGCGGTTTCGGCCTGCAGTCCACAGCGAACCGTTTAGTCGCACGAGAGAAAAAAATCCTCTGGTACCCAAGGTACAAAATTATTTAAGGTGGAAAATTGCTTGTAAAAAGTTGAATTTTTATGTTTCAGATGTCTATGGTCCTAGGTTTTCCACGTATTCGTAAATTGTGTCGTCTTCGTATTGTTCACAAAGATGGGTTAAGAGATATGCAACTAATAATATTTAAGGTATGCTGACCAAAATTTTTTAAAAAAATCACATTGTAAAAAGTATAAATAGTAGAATTTGTTTCACATACCTTGGTTTATAATAGGTTTTATCTTCATAAGCGATATCTTCCCTTGTTCGTTTAAATTTGATGAAAGGTCATTGGAGACTACTAAAAACAGACAGTGACGCTTCAAGGGTCTCGCTAAATATCTTTAAAAATGAAAACTTTCCTTAAGCATTACGAGGCTCAAATTTTCATTTGATTATAACAGACACTTTAAGCCCCGTGATGTAAGGGAATGACTTAACGACAGTTCGAAATTTTCAAAATTTACCAGCCAGATTTCTATGAAAAACCACTTAACCCTTGACTGGGTGCATAGAGTTGTTTTTCTGATACAAGCCCTTCTAATTTTCAGCGGCCGTTGCAATCACTACTTTCGGGTATACGGTTGAAAATTTAATGGTAAGCAATTTTTACATGCTTTTTCACTTCCCGCTAAAATTATTTTTCCAAGAGGAATTGTTTTCGAGTTTACGGAAAGTTGATCATGTAATTAACTATTGCAAAAGGCCTATTCCTCTGCGACACTTCATATAGCAATCTAATTGTGATTTTTTTATTAAAGTACAGTAGATAGCGTAACAGGCGAACACTTCTTCCATCTTGAATACGGCAAAAAGGAGAACAATTGTTTGAAATAAGCTTGAAAACAAAAGGACAATTTTTTTTACTCAGTGGCTAAAGGATGCCATTAAAAACGGCAATGGAGGCCACACGGACCACTGAAATTCTGTAAAGAGACAGTACCGTGTAAAGATTCCAGAACTAAGAGTAGTTGGTAGTTTGCCACCAAAAAGTTAAGCTATTGTCAATCAATGAATAAACTTTAAGGACACCCTTAGGAAAAGTAAACTTGCTGGGTCAAACCTGTTGAATTGTTCGCAAATGGTTGTGTTTGATTAGCTTCAGTTTCATTCCTTTCCGAGCTGTTTGCTGAAAAAAAATATATTGAGTAGTCCGATTAACTCACACCAACCCTTTGCCATGGAGGAACTTGTTTATTTTACCTGTCCTTGAACCCTCTATTATATATAAACGTATTGCAAGTAGTTAGTTGTACTACACGAATTACAAAGTACAGTTGTGGCCAATCTCAGTTCCATGGTCAACGTTCGTACCGTCCTTTCCTACTCCAGGGGACCGCAAAAAGAGGCACGGAGAAATAGCGCGCCAAAAATTTTTCAATAAAAAGAAACCAAAATATGGCGCCTTTGAATTAAAATAATTCCCAGTTTTGTTCTTTGAGGCTCTGTCTTGAGTTTTCCACGCGAACTGTTTGCCTAACTGCCTAGTGTTGCAAGCCTTATTAAACATTTGCAATTGACCATTTATCAAGCAGGGAAATACTTAAGAAATTATATTACAAACAAGTTTCTTTTTCAATTTTGTCTAGTCGAATCTAGACTGTAATATATGTAGCCTGCGTAGCAGGCGCTTGGAAGTAGTGGGCGAGCGCCTGCTACGCAGGCTATGATATATGCAGCAGACCAGTTGTTAGTCTTTTTGTTAGTTAATGGCACTAGAATTTTCTTAAACTGACTTAACTTAGTACTTAATTTTTAGCGTACCATGAACACTTATAGCTTCTGCCAGGGCTCCACCGAGCGTCTGGTTGTTGGATGTTTCTGTGAGTGTAAAGGGAGAACTTAGAGTTAAATTTGACAATTACAATGGTCTTCCATATGCGATTTAAGCAATGGAAAACGTTTTCCGTGTTTGCACAGCCTGATATAAACAAGAGAGGGGTTGGGAGAATTCGTGACAGTTATGTAAACCCGAGACGAAGTCGAGGGGTTGCATAACTGTCACCGGAAAACAGTTTTCTATTGCTTTTATAAAATAACTTTCCTGAGAAAAAACGCACAACTCTTTGTTATGGCAATGATTAAAAGAGAAATTCTTACCAGTCGCATATGCGATTTAAGCAATAGAAAACGTTTTCCGTGTTTGCATAGCCTGATATAAACAAGAGAGGGGTTGGGAGACTTCGAGACAGTTATGTAAACCTGAGACGAAGTCGAGGGGTTGCATAACTGTCACTGGAAAAAAGTTTTATATTGCTTTTAAAAAATAACTTTCCTGAGAAAAAGCGCACAACTCTTTGTTATGGCAATGAATAAAAGAGAAATTCTTACCAGTCGCAAAGTCCTGTACACGAAGTCTTGCACGCGTAATCAGTTTTTGTTTTGCAAAAGATGCTTTCCAAAATACGGATTTTTCTCGCTTAAAATGTCAGCTTAAGCGAAAAAAAAGTTGACACAGCTTGTTTGTAAAGATTTTTCAAGTTTCAGCCAACGAAGGAATGGGTAAATAAAGTGAACTTGTCGAGTTTTGATCACTAAAACTTTTTCAAATTCGTGCTTGCGTGATTAGCGCGCGAAAAGCAAAACATCTTACGTCACAACCATGTTTACATACTCTCATGCAAACACTCTTCTCAGCCAATCAGAGCGCGCGTACCATCTTAGTTATTTTATAAAAATTAATGATAATGGTAAATAAGTTATGCCCCATTTGGAGTATCTTTTATAAACGCGTTACAATTACAAGGGCAACGTCAATGTCAAGATGCGTTTTCCTACTCATTATTACTGTAGGTCTTTCAATGTATCAAATTCAGTAAATATATGCCATAATTTTCAGTGATAATCGGTGAGTATACGACAGCAAGCACAAGAAGGGTGTGCATACCATTTGTCTGAGAATCATCAGTCACTTCCTGATGATTGATTTTGAAGATTTCTGAACAAACAGAAAATCTTCTTTTCAAAAATAATGATGATAATGCACTTTAATCGAGTATTCAAGGTTCGATTTTTTTTCAAGTCAAGTCGAGTCAATTTTATTTTAATTCACACAGAATACTAATTAATACAAATCAGTGCTTTTAAAATAAAAATAAAAGATTGCGAAGGAAAAGAATATTTTCAATTTTAGGTTAATTGTGCAGAGTTTGGAACACCTGAATAGTTCGTAGAACTAACCAAGTAGGTGACCCAAAACAAGAACACGAGTAGAAGGAATGTAGCGGCAAAATAGTTCTTTTACATAAAAAAGTAAGTATTACCTCATTAATTAAATAGTAGTTAAAGATAATATAATAATAAAAATTCAGGAATTAATAACAGTATTATAACCATCAATCATAGAATTCGTGATATTTTGACGAAAACTGGAAAACGGTCTGATTTTCTTAACATCAATGGATAAAGAATTCCAAAGGTTGGTACCAGTGTAACGGTGAGAACGAATGCCGTATTGAGTGGTATGAACCGATTTAACAAACAGATTATCATTCTGTGATTGACATGTTCTAACAGCAATGAATGGAAGATACTGGATTAAAAAAATTAACAAAACAAGAAGGGCAAGAGCTATTATGGCTCTTGGAAGGGCTTAATTTATGGTACCACTGATAAGCAAAGGAGAGAATTTCAAGACACAGGAATACCCTTAAAATTTGATTTTTATTAATTTATGCATTTTCATTTAGAAATATTACAGACGATCGTCACATATGTAATGTAGATAGCGAGTAGAGAGAAATGCGGGTATTTTGTCAATAAATACTTCGAACACACATCGCCAGAAATTGCCTTTACAGTTGCAATAGTACACAACGACAAAGTTGCAATCGGCTTTGATAGAAATATTTATAGAGACATTTTATGTTTTATTTAAAATGTTTGACGTTTTCTCCTCAATATTTAAGCTACGCTATACCATTAGCTATAGTCAGATGAACAGAGGACCTGTCAGGCGATAATTTTCTTATTGCTCTAATAATGATTATACCTACCATTCATCTGAGACTCATTAGGAATGTCCGACAATGTCTCATTTTGGCTGCTTTCTGAAAATAAGAGTAGTCAGGTTTTTAGCAACCAACAAGCTAGAAAATAAATTTGGAAAATAAAATTAACGTTGTGTGTCGCAGTAGAGCCGTTAATTTTGAATATGTTTTTCGGACCGCATATCATTCGTAGCTAAGTTACTTACCTTGACCAGTCTGGGGGATGGTTTGTTTCGCAATATTATGATTTTGATTACCTAAAAATAAGTAAAAAGTGCAAATTTCTGTTTAGATTACCAAAAACAGATGTAGCCTATCGTAAAGTAGACCAATGTTTATGTTGTCGTAAGTCATCATCATAATCTTCATTTTATGACCCCCACCACTGCTGCCACCGCCAACACCACAGTCTTAATAAATCAGTTTGTACGGTGGGCAGGCCAAAATAGAATGAATTCGAACTCTACAAAATGTAAAGAGCTTATTATGTATAAAAAACGACACCCTGCCGAGGCCTACAATAGTATTTTAGGCATACCACAGACTAGTACATTAACCATTCTAGGTCTCACACTATAGCCCAGCAGTTTTTAGATCGATGTTTTAAACGCAGATACATATCCAAGAAATTAGAGATAGGTGAATTACTTAAAGTGCAAGATCATAGAATTTGTAGGAAGGTTTTTAGTATCCCGAACCACCCTCTCAGAGCTAACTTCCCTGAGACTAAGATTACAAGATACAACTTAAGGAATAAATCTCCCGCAATGCCCGCCATTCACACGGACCGTTTTAAGAATACATTCTTTAATAGAATTGTCTTCAAGTATAATGTAGCTTTGTAAATAGTGTACTTTCTGTATTCGATTTTTGTATTTCTTTCTATGTATATACTAATCTTATTTAGAGACATACTTTAGCCCATTAACATTGTTATATTTAAATGTAACATAAGATATGTAATTTTATCTTTTGAACAATAAAGACACTTTATTTATTTATTTATTTACAGTCGTCGTCATCACCATCACCATAAATTTTCAAAGGTTATGTGAGTAAATTTTACTGACAGTAAAATGCGTCTTACCTTTTGTCTCGTTCTGTTCTCCTCTATCTTGAGGAAGATTTTTGTTTTCTCCTGTTATTGTTGCGTTGTCGGTGCTGTTTTTGCTACTTAGCGAGTCCTCGCCACTCCCACTTTCATCAGAGTCGCCATTGAGTTGATTAAGGGCTATTAAGGATAAGAGCCGGAAATACCGTTTTTTCTAAAGAATCTGATAACAGTTCAATACTTCTTTGAATATTTTTCCTGTACATTCTTTGGCAAAAAGTTGTTTCGCTGTCTTTCAAAAAGTGATGTTTCCAGGCAAGGTATTTCTTTTATTTCAAGATTGCCAGGAAATCTTCAATTTGATTTTTGCAACATAAAGTTGATTGTATCAGTCCAACTTTAAATCAGCTTACTGATTTGAGTGTTTAAGTGCTTACCTATTTTTCTTTTAGTCAACCAAAGTTAAATAAAAATTGTAAAAAAGTGAGAGATAACAAGCCAAGACAATCTTGAAAAGTTATTTATTTTACTTACCACTCTGTAGGCCGCTTGTAGGCCTAGTTATCACATCATCATCATCATCATCGATGTGTTCGTTATCTGAAATATTTATGATTTTTTCGAACAACTACCCAAAGATAGATTTAACATTTGTTGGTTATTATTTTTTTTTCTAAGCCGTGTCCAAAGTAGGATTATTAGAATATTACAACTACTTAAAGGCTGGGGAGTTCATTTTGTTTATTACGCCAGTTACGCTTCCTTATTCGCTATGAAACTTGAAAAACTACGGGTGAATGACAAAACCACAGCTTGATGTCAAACAAATACTTCTCTTGTCACAAATACTTCTCTTGTCACAAACGCCAAAAATGAACTTTGAAAAACTTTTAGGCTAACAAGTTTTCAAAAACCACAATCGCCATCCGTTTGAATCTGCCTCTGCACGTTTAGTCTGCGTAGCAAGCGTTTCTGTGCGGTTTAGGAGCAACGAACGAGGAACAAGAGTCAAAGACCGCGCGAAAAATGGCGCAAGTAAAAGAGCAAAACCGAAAATCCCATTCCTCGGGGTTTTTTTTGCTCCGAGACTAAACGGAAACGCTTGTTACGCAGGCATCCATGCATTCTTTTGACACAGCTCCTTTAATGTGCAACTTTTCTTCCCCGGAGTACTTTAACGCTTAAACTGTAATCCCATGACAAACGGTAATTAGCAGTTATACAAGGGGGTTACAAGTTGAGTGAAAAATAAATTTCAGTGTTCTATCATCCAGAAAATAATACTTTTAAACTGCAAAGACCTAACCCTAAAACATATCAAAAAGGAAACTGATAAATAATTACATTTGAAAAAAGTAAAGGAAAATATTTCGGTATGGTTAAAACACAATTCCGAAATAGGTTTACTAATCAGCCTCTTAAAGTGTAACCATAGCTATCAAAATTTCGTCGCAAGTTATTTTTTATACTGATTATCGACTAGTTTCTTGGGCATTGCCGTAAATTAAAGTAATTTAGGGTTATTGGCTTTCCAGAAAATGGACGAAGAAACGTTCCAATGTTAATAGTGACAGTCAACACTACATAAATGATGTTTATAGTGTAAAAATTATTTTTACCTTTCTTCTCGTCAACACCAGCATCTATATTCTCCCCTTCCTCTTTTGAAACTATCGATTGAGATACAAATGGTGTTAAAAAATAAATAAATATTGGGTAAATTTTAATTCATTTAACCCTGTCATTTGATAGAAGAATACCCTCACAGCTATACAGTTACAAGCTAATGGAGTCACGTGAGCTGACCAAGAAGTGTGCGTGAATGTGCTTCGTAAGTTCTCCGTTTTTTCTCATAAATCGAATGTTTTATTGGTTTTCCTGGTTTCCGTTTATATGTTTCGTCCTTTTGTGTTACCTGTTGTATATTATGCCTCAGTTGTTTTACACATTATATTAGTCTCTCTTCGTAATCGTTATTTACTTTCATAATAAAGGCAGATATAACGCACACTCTGATTGGTTGAAAAAGTATGCCTCATAAGAGTATAAGACGTGGAGCTGAAGTTGTTACGCCAACTGTGAATCACTCCATGCGGTGGTTTTCAAGACCAAAGTTTCGCCAATTTCAGGGTTAAAAACACACCGTTAAAAGACGCAAATGGAAAGGGAAAGATCAAATGAATGCTCAGTTTTCTTTTTGTGGACTATAGAAAGCTTTTGGCTACGAAATCGTTCTTCGAGGAATTCAACGATGTTTTCTTCACGGCGGAGAGCAATTCAAAATGTCCTGTTCAGTGAAATTGCTGGTTTGCACGTGACTTCACGGCGGCCATGTTGGTGGTCAAGAACAAAAGCACTTCTCTCCACTGAGAACTAAAAACTATTTTCACTTAAATTCTTCCAATAAAATTCTATTGTACTGACCCCAAACATGGCCGCCTTGTCACGTGGTTGCAAGCCATGAATTCAATCAAGGCAGCGCAGTTTTTGCAGACTCTTCAGGTACATTTTTTACTCCATGGTCAACAAAATTACGTTTTTAAAAGGGAATTTATGTATGTAAAAATGTTTCATAAAAGTTTTGTCATCGGCACTAAAGAAAATGTACAAAAGCACCCGGTTTGAGATGGATTTTATGTTGAATTTTGCCTTGTGTGCAACTGATTTTACTTGCTTTTAAGGATTAACTGCTTAGTTTTTGAATAAAAGTTTTCAAGAAATAACTTCGCTGTCTATTGTTTTGAGTTTGTTCATTCCTAACATTAGCTCGATCGAGGGACTACAGCATCTCTTCTGCGAAGACGTAGGCGAATTTTATAGAATTTTTACTTTCTGGTTCAGTTTTTGGCCGAAAAACTGGCCGGATTTAAAATCACTTTTTACCTTTAGAAACTGCCTGTTGGGCGTAAAAAGTACATTTCTTCTGCATTTAAATTCCCAGAATGTTTCGCTCGTTTTACGATGTAAAAGCTTTGATGCTGTGACAGCTTTGACAGCTTTTGTACATGTCTTATTCAACCAATCAAATCATGTGGCCCATTCTAACATGTTCTAAAAAACATTGGGATTGGCTAATTTAAGTGTGGATAATGAGGGTGACACTATCGTTCGCTTGAAAATAAAGTTTGGTTTTGGAAATTTAAGAAAGCAATGGGAAGGTAATTTAACTCAAGAAGTGAGGAGAAACAGTCGACTACGTTTCCTGTTTCCCCCTACACGTTTTTCGTGCTCTAGCCGCTTCCTGCGAGCTTTACAACAGAACATAGCACAGTCAAGGCTCCTTTATTTGTTAAACACTGTTTTATGTTAGTTAATTTATTCTACTTAGTGCATTGTAGTGTGTTTATTGTTGTTTAGTCCATCCACTAGAACCTTGTAATGTAAATATGTCTTTCCTGCCTTCTCCTCGATTAGTTCCCAGGCTATTTGTGGGTGGTAAAATTATGTAATTATTTATACTGATTGAATTTCACTAAAATTTGTTGTTGTTGTTAGTTTTATGGGAAATTTCAAAACCCCTGAAAAAATCACGTTTGAATTTCGAATCGGGATCAGAAGCCTACAATGCACTGGAGCAGCGCTCATGGCAATTTGGAGCTGGTTAGGATAGAATTTTCCCAAAAATTAGCTGGTAATGCAGACCGTAATAATAGTAGTAAAATGTGTATATGATAAATTTCAACCCTCACCTTCCTTGCTGTCTTGTTTTGACACAGGTAAGAAATCTACACCCATTTCAGCAGGAATTCCAGTACTGGAGGGTGTTGGAATATTTCCTGAAAGTACAATTTTGACATGTATTTATGAACAACGCCCGGATTGATTTTGAATTTACTTCATACACAAAGATCACATAAAGAGAGTGACAGCTTATTAAACGGATTTTAGACGTATAATGTCTCACCTCTTGCAACAGCATCCGTCATAAGTCCTTGATCTAGCTTAGAAGTGAAAGTTTTAATTCCAGCATTTCCAGCCGTCTTTCTTATCTCATCTGCGAGTGTTCAAAGATGTGAATTAAGAGAAAGATTCAGAGTCACCATATCACGAAACCAAAACAAAACAAAACAAACAAACAACGCATTTCGGGGTTCCAACCCATGACCTCGGACAACCTTAATAGGACTGGGTGCCCTAGCCACTTAGCTAAGCACGTTGAGGGAAACAGGTAAATTATTTACTACATTTATTATATATTGACATACATGTATTTATTTTTTGTGGAAGAAATTGCTCCCATTCATGCATTTCAAATATTTTGGCCCCGTCCACACGAAGACGATTGTAAACGCAAACGCTAGTAAACGCATATTTTTATCTCCGTCCACACGAAAACCATCATCGTTTACGTAGCGTTTTAACCCGTCCACACGAAAACGCTCGTAAACGCATAAAACGATGCTCATTCGAAAGTTCTCTTTCCACTCTTCTGGTATCACCACTTGATCGGAAAAGTTGTTCCAACAGGCGCTTGTACGACCTGGTCTGGTCCAGAAACTTCTCTCTTTGCTCTCACGTCTGCATCTAAGTCGTTTTACTCGAGTAAAAGTGCTTGTAGTTGTGGATAACAATCTTGAGAGGTTTAGTCTTCTTCTTTTCTAGTTTTCCTGTATATCGATTATTGCATGATTCAATTGAATGCTCGCAATTATGCTTGAAATAAGCGCAAGCATGACACAGCTCAACACTCGTGTGTACGCCATCTTGGAAACGCACTCGATAAAAGAGACTGGTGCTGACATCTGACGTCAGCGTTTTCACAGCGTTTACGAAAATATACGCTTACGGCCGTCCACACGAAGACGCATAAACGGCGTGTTCAAATTTATCCACTTTGGAGAGCGTTTTAGAATTTATGCGTTTACGGTGAGCGTTTTCATCGTCTTCGTGTCGACGGAAGGCCTAAACGCATAAACAAGTTTGCGTTTACTAGCGTTTGCTTTTACAATCGTCTTCGGGTGGACGGGGCCTTTGTTACAAATTTCGTGGCATAATTAGGTACCTGGAGTAGTGCCAGATGTGTAGGTCGCAACAAATCCTGGTTTGGGTCTTCCCATGCGTTCTTTCGACTTGAAAGAAATCTTCAGCTCATTCGAAGAAACGTTGAACGAGTTAGGGATCTGGTTGCCGCAAAACTTTTTGGATTTTCCTTGGATTGGCTCGTCCATAACTAAATAATCATCCTCGCAACTGTGCAAATGAAGGAACAAAACTTTCACTTGAAAGATAAAGTTTAGCAGAACATTTTAACCTTTAATCTGGAAGAATTTGTGCATTCATCATGCAAAGAATGGCTTGTATTTCCGTGGTTCAAATTTATCCTTGGTATAAATTACATCTTATTTTCTTTCAATCGCATTATTAGATATACGTTATCATACCTAAAAACAATGGATAAGCCACAACATATTTATTGTGGTTCAATTTTACCCTCTAAAATTGGGAAGGTATCTTGGGTGGCAAGAGGGAAGTTTATCTTATGTGAGAACGGGTAGGGGCAGCCGGGGTAACAAGGGGGGCTATAACTTGGGTAAAAGGGAGAAGTGCATCTGGCGTAACAAGGGGTTTGGCTTTATGCTACTTTTGTTACTGGCACGGCAAGTCTGTTATCGATTACGATTGAACTCTAAAGCCAAGGCCAAACGTCGAACTTTTCATGACACGAACCAAACTCTAATTTGGAGTCGACCTAAATTAAGTTACGATGGTCTGTTGGGTCAGACTTCGAACTTAGGAGGCGTCGAACACCCGTCGAACCAATTAACTAAACCAGACCAAAAAGCAGTTTTAATAAATTTTCTCCTGAACGAGGCTAAATATATATAATTTGTATGACATACAAATTTTTAATTTATTAGTTTAGTTCCGGGGGACGATCTTCAGACGTTGTATCCATCTTGAACAGACGGAAAGAACGTGTTGGACGATCCAAACTCAATCAGACGAACTTAACTGAACCAGACGTCGAACTCACCAAATTTGGTTCGTTTAATGAAAAGTTCGACGTCTGGCCTAGGCCTAAGTGATGATTATGGTAACATACAAGCAAATAAGCTTACGTTGTACTTCCTACATCAAAAGCCTGAAACGCTACATTGATAGGACCTTTGGCAACCCTGATGGTTGTATTACACTCTTCGTTTCTTGGATACGGCTCCGGGTAGTTTGGTGACGTGATTAATCCAACTGGCGACGTCAGAACAGCACCACATTGATCTGCAACGAAAGTCAGTTACGATAACACCAAAACAAGGCAGACATTGAAATGGTAACGGATTGCACTAACCCCTATTGTTCAACATAAAGTGACCGGCTATTTATAACTGGCTCCCTGTCAAGTTAGCTCAGATTCGAGTACGGACTCTTTAAGTTTACTCATGTAGAGCTAACTCGATGGGTCCCATTCCGATACAAAGTTTAGGTGCAGTTTTTGCATCTCTTGAAGGCTCGCAATTGCTCCTTGTTGATTAGTATGTTAGTTAACTGTTGCTCTAGCTCAGGAAAATGACACTGGAATCATACAAGACTATAAAAAATTTAATACATTATATATTGCTACCCATCTCCTACCTCCCGGGTTGGTTGGTCTGTCTACAGCCTCGTATGATGCACTGAATCCTTGCGCCGTTTGAGATTCATCCGAATAAAACTTGACGCAGAGTTTGTTCCCAGTGGAGAAGAATGGAGCAGGTTCCTGTTTCCCACAGTATTTGGTTTCTGCTCTGAACGAAGAACAGTCACCGTCCATCACTTTTAAAAAGTCACCTTTACACTTCTCAGCATTTGAAGTATCTTCGGGAGACATAATTTGCATACTGGAAACAAAGTAACACTACAATTATTGACAGAAAAGGTTGGAAAACCGCAAACCCTTCCCGGCAACTTCACCATCATTTCAGTGGGAGGAACGGTAAAAACTAACACTCTTTATTCAACACTTAGTTAAACTCAGCTTGTTTGTTTGTTTGTTTGTTTTTTTGCGTCACTTACGTTAACGGCAACATATTTTAAGGTAAGTGTGCATGCAATAAAAAATGTTATTGATCTCGCTGAATGTAAAGATGAACAAATGAAATGTGTTCGTTCTGTGGAAGGTTATGACAAAGACGCTAGCTGTTAGGGTGGGGAATGCGTGCTCTGAAAACACTGTTACTAATAAAGTTGAAAGTCGTGCCGGGTCCAATACGTTTAGAAGAGGTAAACAATTCTAATTTAGTAGCAAAAGTCATACAATGTATCTCTAATCATACAACCAATTATGGAGTTCTTACCTAAACAAATGAATATAATCTAAATACAGATTTAACCATCGCAGTTGTGTTCGCATTTGAAGAAATTGCAAAGAATTAACAAAAGGGATGAGTGTTTCACGCGGTGCTATACCAACTGAGCTAAGAAGACCCATACATTGGGAGCAAAATGGGGGCTATTCGTGAATTTCATCGGAACCGGCGAAAGGAATGCAACATAGAGTAAGGACGACGTGTCATCTTCAGTCAGTCAAAAAGGGCCAACGAGTCCAACAAGTACCAACCAGCAAATGAGTACCATCTTTACCTGTGAAACTTAAGCTTAACGACCTTGTTTGGATTGACGTTAATAACTGTAACACACTCCTTGTTGTCAGGATAATCTGCCGGGTAGTTTGGAGACGAAAATGTTCCTACATCTGTTGTAAAGTTCCCGCCGCAGTTGTCTGAGGAGATATAATGTTATAATTACTCAGGAAACCCGTTGTAGCACAGAGCTATAGATCTAGATCTAGATGGCGTGATAAAAGTGACTGGATAGTGCACAACACGATAACACTAAGATGACGTAAGGAAATCTCGATTCCGGAATTCGGAGAGTTTTTGCTTGTGGAATTCGGAATCCTGGCAATTTTTCTCTTGGCTTTTAAACCCGGAATACAACTCTAGGAATCTGAAATCCCGCTAGAGATTGGAATCCGGAATCCCAGTTCCACTGACAAAGTTCTGGAATCCAGTAACTGAAATCCGGAATCCACAGCGTGGAATCAAGAATCCAAGACTGTCTTGGATTCCCTTGCTTGGTGCCAAAAATAACGATAGTCTGGGATACAGTTATTCTTACCAGTAATCATTGTGATGATCCAGATGTGGTTAACGTGGTGGATGATTTTAAAATATTCTGATAGACAATTTGGCGTTCCGATTCCTTTCTTTTACGTTCCTTTTCGAGCCCTTTGAATGTTGAGCATTATAATAACAAAAGAATATCCATGTGATATTTCTAGTATGTAAATGTAAATGTATCTTTTTCTTTGAAGTTTTTAGGGAGTTAACACAATTTACAACAATTTCTGGGGGCTTTGCTGGGCTGTTTGTAGCTCAGTTTACAAATATTATGAAGTAATTATCAACTTAAGAATGCACTCCAATGAGAATTTGGGAAAGACTCTGAGAGTTGTCAAAGATAGAGGTGTGGTACGTCCTAATTGGTTCTATTGAGTTCTAAAAAAGTCGGATCAACAAAATGTCAGTGCAGTAGCAGTAACTCAGTAACTGTCAGTGCAGTAACTCGGCAGTAGCTCTCCTCAACTGTTTTAAGGACTCTCAGCGTTCGTTCATCTGAGAATCGAAGCCACCCAACCACTTTACATTCTGGTACTCAACCACTTGAGTTAACCAGGCGGTGGAATATATCTTCTTTCGCCTTTTTTCACTTCCAAAAAACGGTGAAATCTTAATCAAATTGCAAAACTCACCATCACCAGGACATGGGTTGTGAACATTACAGAATTCTTGCGAGGGAGGTTTAAACGTTACATCACACTGGCTGTCTTCCATGTCCATTAGATTTCCACGGTGGTCCGCCTTCATACATTTCACAGTTCTTTTCTGAAGTCCACGACCGCATTTTGTTGAGCACTGCCCAAATTAATATGACAAGGTTAAAAACGGAGTTTTACTTTGAAATGCCTTACAATCTCTTTTTGCATGAAGACTAATTTACAAGTTTTGCTCTGAATTAACTGCAACAAAAATAACATTTAGCCCATTCATTTGCAGGCTTTGGTCTGGCGTACACGGCGCGGACGCGGTCATGTTATAGCACCTATATTGATATACATCACAGCGATTCTGCAGCTAGGCTATCACAGAATAAGAATCCAATTCAGACATGATACTGTCTTTGTTGGCATTCAGTGCGAATTTTTACCTGTCCAAATGGTTGCGCTACCCATTCTGCTGGACAAGGTACGTTGTTGCATGCCTCTACCATGGATGGTTTAGGATCTGAACAGAGTCTGGAGTCAACATCATACTCTATCCCATCAGCAGCTACTTGCATACACTTCACTTCGCGTGTCCTGTTTCCGCCATTGCAGGTTTGGGAACAGTCCTCCCAGCCTTCGGGCTTCCAACTACAGGATTAAAATTAATAAATTAAGCTAACGCAACAGTGGACACATAGTCTCTTAGTTGCCAATTTTCTTTTGTGTAACAGACACCGTTTACCCAAGGGGAACTTCGGTCAAGGGAACCAACACTTTCGCTAGCAAGGATAAATTGCTTTCGAGTTAGAGACGTGTTAGAGAAATACATCATGCAATCCATAAAGTAGAGATCTATTTAGTAGAGAGCACACTATCAACCCTTTATTTAGATGATGAACAATATGTTAACTGCACATGTTTATCATTCGCCTTGATAATACTCTCAAAGAACGTCTTTTCCTGCATTCTGAATATGCCAATAGTAAAACCAATCTATTAGGTCTTTTTGTTACTTACACAGGTGGACATGGTTGAAAGTTACAGTGCGCTGTCGCACGTGGTGGCCTGAGACCAGCATCACACTTCTCCTCGTTCACTGGAGAACCATCATCTGATCTCCGACATTCAGCAAACGAGTCCTCTGAACCTAGTATGAAAGCAATATCAATAAAATAGGACAACGAAGTTGCGTGAAATTCGGTTGTATGTTGGCGGCCACAATCGGACGCGTACGAGCTTGAATGACTATTTCTAAGCTGATATCTAGAGGATGATGTGTTTGCTTTAATTTTCCTTATTTTGTTTCTTGCAGTTACTTAATTGCCAAGAAAAATGTACCACCGGAAATTCACCATGCTAAACTAGGGAAAAAGGAATAAAGTCATTGATTAGCCGACGCAAGTTCGAACCCATGCCTTAGGATATTTTTTATATTATAGGGTTAAGTTGAACCTCCCAAAGGCTAGACTCGAGGAATTCAACTGCAAGTTCTTTAGAAACTGTAGGCATCACTTTCTCAGTATTAACAGAAACAAACACTTTGGCGTAATCATTCATTGAATATACATGTACACTTTGAACACTTTCTTCTTTACAGACATTAACATCACTGCTGATGAAAGCTCTGACTTCTTCCTCTGTATGCCTGGGTCCTTTAGTTGAAGATAAAAAAAGGCAGAGCTGAAGAGCTAGGACATGTTTCCAGCAACCCAGCTTTAAAATCTTGTTCCAGTTCAGTCACATTATAGGGAATACAAATTGGATTAAAATCTCTTGGGTGAATTGGGTCTTTCAATGTCACACCGTAACTACCACTCGTTTGAAGGTCCTGAATGGGCAAACTTCCCTCATTTCTCTTTCCTCTCTTTTTCCACATGCACTGTCCTGATGTACATGATTGGAGATCATTGAATCTCACATTTGCTTCTAGATCAAACAATGCTGCAGCTATGTGTCGGCAACCTCCATCTGCCCTGTTTAAAGGAGGACCAATATGACAAATATGTATCTCACATTGTTCACACTGATAGACTGTAAAGTAGCCAATAAGTTCAGTTACTAGGCTCACAGATTCTGACTTTGAACCACTGTTTTAATACTTAGTGCTGAAGTCATAAGTGATCCAGAAGGTTTGAGACTTAAAATAATGCATCCATTGATTTAGATCTTCAATTCAGGAGGCATCTACTTTTTACTCATGTTACAACTGCTACAAGGAAAATATAAACCTTCGAATCTGAATAAAACAAAACCTGTCACAGAGAAAAACAACCGAAAAGACCAAACGTTTTGATTCTCAAACGTATGTTTATGGAATATCAAGCACATAGACAGGCTTCAGAAATCAGAAGAAGAAAATACATACCCTCCTTTGCATAAGCAGTAGGCTGAATTGACACTTCAAACGGGGAATCTAAACTGGTACGTTAGTAAAGTTTTTTGGTCCATTGGGAAAAAAAACACGGTTTTCGTTATCCAACGGATTTCATCATCGGTTTTCAGTTGGAGGATCTTGCAATTTTTGGGGTGAACTAGACAACCGGTTTCACTAGGTCATTTAATGCGACTACCTAGTTCTTCGGTTTAAGGTGTCTTCGTTTTAATGATAAACTATTCAAACTTGCATCGAATCATCCAAAACTCCACCGGGATGAAAAATAAACCATTTTAAAAAACAATTATGGGCGTTTTACAGAAATCAGGACTGGCTGGCGGTATCACGGCCAGACCAGTCATTTTGAAAATGAAATTGGCTTTTTCCAAGAGCCATTGCTGAAGAGCACGCTATTTAGGATTTTACCGATCTGGCTGGATATTTTTTGGTAAAAGCGCAATTCTCATTACGACGGGAATAGTCTGGCTGGACAGTTCTGGAAAATTGAAAGAGCCCATATCTCCAGATAAAATTACCTCCACCGCAGGAAACACTGCAACCAGTTTTAACTACAGCCCAGTAAAAGTCATCCTTCTGAGCGTCTTTAGTGGTACTTTCAGGGGCAGCAATTTGTCCTCTTCTGTCCACGTCATATCCCATACGCTTCAGCCAGTCTAAGGCGCTTGTGATGAGGTTTGCTGCCCCTGGAGTAAATGCTTTCTTGGTACTAGAGGTGTTCGTTGTTACACTATCTCTTGAGCCTGGTAAGCATGTGCTACCATCTCCGTTGCACACCCCACACCTGTCGACCACTGCTTTAGAGCCAATGATGCCATCACACCCAACTTTCTGTACAGATTAAAAAGTATCAGTGAGTATGTTTCAGGAGGGTGTATAAGTGCTAAGTGGAACCGCAGAAATTAATGTGCGAATCAAATTATTCGCTAGTTGGAACATCCCACAGAAATTGCCAAATCAAACTGCCAGGCAGCTTGAAATAAAGTAAAGGACAAGCAGATTGTTTTTCACTTATGTTCTTTCTTGCTAATTAATGGGATTGATTTCCCTGGCATGTCTTACAATGTCTCAATGTGTATATGAAAAATAAGCTGACTTACTGTGCACTGTCCTTCGATACACTTGTCAGGAGAGGTCTTTTCGCAATCCGTTCCATCGACAACATTTCCAAATGCAAAGCCTAACCCGGTTCCTTTGATAAAACATCCTAAGACACACTTTCTCTCTAAAAATGAAAAAAAAAAGTTGTTAATAAACTAAACACCTCTATTTTACCAAGATTAGTGAAGTTATGACTCTCTCCTTTTTCTTCTTCGGCAGGAAAACGACATGTCGCGTATATGGTACGTTTTAGGTTGCGTTTCGTTTAAAGTTCAACGCCACGCAAAGTTTTTCTAAAAGGGCTGCATCTACTGTACACAGACTGACAGGAACATTAAGTAGCTGAGTATAGGAAGGAGGAAGGAGACTGTCCAACGGTTTAACGATCATTTGCAAGACAAACTAGATCGGATAAATTATCAGAGGTGCTGTCAATTCAGTGATTAGCAATAACCGATATAGAGACTTATTAACCTTGTTGTCATCAGTGACAGAGGGTGCCGGTGCCTACGACCAGTTAGAACAGGGAGTCTTCCCTATACAGAAGTGCACGAATCTGCAGAACTTACTTAAAGTCGAGGGTTTCCATTCCCAGTCGTAATACTGATCGTTGAACAGCTGAGAATTCTTCACTTGACATTGGAAGTTTCTGAATTCCATCGAATCGGCTGGGCACGCCTAAAAAGAAAAGTTGAATACAAGGATATGACTAAAAACTACATTTGCCCATCGTCCCGAACTCGTTACCTCCGCAGAATTAAAATGACCCAATAGAGGTGTCTATGGTACTTTATGGTGACAGAGAGAGACAATAACTCGAAAGTTAATTTCGAAATGTATTGCCCTAAACGACTTACGTCAGTGTTGCAAAGCTTGTATTCCCTCTCTTCTCCTTCGCATCTTTTCCCGTCATTCTTGGGGCTAGCAATTGCAAACAAAAAACGTTTTTAATTAACTATAAAAGTATGGTTTTCTTTCTTTGTGGATCACAATTGTCTTCATTGTACTTTTATGGATAAAAATAGAGTTTTGACAAAGCCTATTAGAAAAAAGTCTCAATTATCCATCAAAATTTATTGTTATGTATTTTGCAAATTTTAACCCTTGTGTATGCTTTTCTGTTATCTACAAGAAACCCTTCATTGTTTAAGAGTTATCCGTTCTTTCTCGAAGAAATCTTTGATCATCATCGGAGACGGAATATATTGACGGAATATTCACGGACAAAGTTTGAATTTCTTGATTTACCATAAACTATTTTTTGCCCAGCCAGAAGCAGGGAAATTATACAGATACTTCTAAAGCGGGCTATTCACCATAGTTATTCTCTGTTTTTAGAACGGAAGTCAGCATAGCATTCCTTTTCGCCATAGTTTCGGGATAGGACATTTTAGCGAAAGGTAAAGAAGCTGTATTAACAAATATTTAGAAAGTGACGGAATTTTGCCTGTCCTTACTGGTTCACTGTAGGAAGAAAATAATTTCTTTTTTGAATAAGCAAGAAAATCGCAAAAATTCACTCGACAAATTCCGGAAATACTATCAATTAAAACATGAACAACTGGCTCTTACTAAGTCACTTTTTCATTTGCAAATAATGCTTATCCAACTGACTTGGTAAGATTTAAGGGATGCAGTTGGAAAAGAAAGAAACGAGGCAGGATGGCAATTATGGGACGAAGTGAGAGCCGTAGTAGCTAACCGACAAAATTGGAAACACTTTTTGGATGCCTTATTTGCCAAGAGGCACAAAGAGGATATGAGAAGGTGAAGGATTTGGTAAAATAATACTAAACAACTATCTCCCCCAGGACGATCCTTTGTGCTAGGTATAAAATTGGGCAAAAAAAATAACCATACACAGCTTTCCGATCGCTTTCCCCTAAGTTTGAAAATTAATTAGCTGCCCTATGGGTTTGTACGGATAATCTTTGATCGTTTGTCGACGTTTAATGGTGCCCTCATGGTGTTTCTAGACGCTAAAACGTTTATTTCCACCATTGTAACGAACCAAAGCGTGCTCCTTATTTACCGAGGTGAGTTGCATCTTCTTTCTCTGTATTGCACCCCTCCACCACAAGTTCTGCTGCAGTCGGAGTACTTAGTGGACCAAACTGACCACCCTCCGTCGACAGTGTCAGCTCCTTCAGTACCCACCTGGATGCACTGGCCACGCCTGCACCACTGCAAAGATATAAAAATGGTTCTGATTCCTGATTTTGTCAAAACATCTCACAATATTAACAGACGTAGGGTGAAAAGTTCCTTTTAAAATGTTTTTGATCTTGAATGAAGCGGTATAATACAATCAATTATAAATAATGGAAATGTTACTCTTATATAGAAAAACTGAATGGAAAGGGTCTAAAAAGGACCACAATTGAAGGTAGAAAACTATTAACTTAGATGTAAACTTAGTTCGTTACCACTGACTAAAATTATGTCACCATAATTTGCGCATATAATGCTTTCGCTGGCAAGGGAATTTTATTCCCAGCTTGAGACATTTTCCAAAAGAACTATCAACTTTTTTTTTTAGAAACGCAGCGAATATATTGAGCTTGTCCTTCCTCCATTAAAAGCATAAATGTATTTGCAAGTGAATACTTGTCGTATTTCATTGCTATTAGTAAAGGGGTCTCTGAAAGCACCACAAGCAATACCTTGTCATTCCCACAAGGTGTGCCATCCGCAGCTGGCATCTCAGCAGTCTTGCAGTTTCCACTTCCGCCAGGTACTTCACACCATAGCTTCACGCAAATTTGCTGCAATTTCATTTTCGCTATACAATTAGTTGACCAAGCGATAAGTAATGACGGCTACTTAGGCATGACTGAGACTCTTGTCCTCGGTATTACATACGAACGTAAGTACTTGATTAATGCAATTTACAATTATTAGTCACATCGATTGTCCAAACCTTAAACTTAGAATTGAAGGATGAATTTACCTTAGCGTATTCAAAAGACGTGGCATGTTCATCTTAAAATTTAATGTTTCTCTTAATAAAGAGCTAATGAGGCATTAACTTTGAAAAATGACCCTCCTACCATTATCTGGTTATGAAGGCTAGGTTGATATCAACATCTAATCTGCCTTGTGTGAAGAATGTTGGAAATGGTAAATGGCAACACTTACATCCAAGAATTTTCCTCCCCCACAGAACTTGGAGATCTGTCCGTAAGAAAGCTGGCATTGTTCATCCGCATCGTAAAGCCTGCCTGGTCTGTCCAGTGTCCTGGTCTCTATTACGCTCTTTTTGGTTGGATTATCATCTAAGCAGCTGGAATCATCTGAGCTGTGGTCGGAAATTTGGTAAATGACAATTTAGGAGAAATCTCTTTTTTCAATAGAAAACGTATTGATAGCCTGATAAAACAGACGCTACCAACAGTTTCCTACCCCCAAAACGTTTTTCTGGTCTTTTTGGAACAGGAGAACGACAAAAAAACAGTTTTCAGGTAAAGTTCAGAGAAATACGTTCGCGAGACTTTCCCCGAGAAATGAAGCACTAGGTCAGGGTAGTGAAACATACGTCACCATTATGGAATCATACAATCCACCTTAAAAACGTAACGGGCATTTATTTCATTTCATGTATTTTTTTTACACGGATTTTCTCTTTTTCCAAGTTTGTTCAATTGAAGAACTTTTTTTGGTGTCATGAAATATCAAAGAGCGCTTAGACCAGATCTTGAGTGAAAGAAAAAAAAATGCCAGGGATAGAAGATGATTACCAGAGTAGCGTTGTTTAAAAGACCCTCTGCAAGATAAAGGGGGGGGGGGGAGTGGCTCTATCTTTGAAAAAAGGAGGATGAAAGGAAGAAATAACGAACAAAAAGGAAAAATTGCTTTAGAAACGGGCATTGTTATTGGTCGAAAAGGGAATCAAAAGCAACCTTTTGCAAGATTTCGTGACAAAAGTAAAAGGAATTGTTCTGATTCAAGATGGCTAACCGCCGCAGGTTGTTAATTATATATTCATATAAGAATATCCCCATTAATAGTTAGGCACACTTACTTGAGAAACTGTTGCAGGTAGTTCTTACTGCATGGTGACCATTGAAAAGCTGACCTTTTTCCTGCTGGGTACGACGCCATGATATTCACCCCGTCAGGACATTCCCCTTTGTCGTGGTTCATTCCAAGACTGAAAATTAGATACAAAGTAATTTTTTTTAACATTTGCGTCATACTTGTGTCAATTTGCTGATTGGTTAAAAGTGGTAAGAATTTCTGGTTTAAAAATGAGATAACACTGGGTTTCTGCGGCGCTCGCACAAAAAGCCGCGAAATCGCTATAAAAGGAATGGCTCGAGTAGACATTTGATTCATAATGATCTTCTACGTAATGTCAGTGGTTAAGTAATGTACCTGGCGTATAAAAAGAGCATAAATCAAAGTTACCTGTGCCCAGACTCATGGGCTAATGTCATTCCAAGCATCAGGCCGTTGTCTTGGCCAATGCTTGCTGAGTTAGGGAAGCTGCACATCCCTCTAGTTCTGGTAAGGCCTGTCGTTCACATAAATATGTCAGTATCATTACAAGGCATCGCTATTTTTTGACGCATTTGCAGTGAATTACTGAATAATCGCTGGCGAATACATGGGTCCGAAAGTCTAGATACACCAAAATGCACCCACATCAGAAATTTATACTGTCATCACTGAAGGATTCGTGGATCTTCTTTAACTACACTCTAGTATACTAGAAATAATTATGAAGCAGCAAATAATGCTGGTCCCAGCTATAGGCTGCCAAAAGCTCATACAGCACAGCAATAGGTTTTTGGCCTCTCGACCACTGCGCATACATATGCGTCAGTACTGGTTATCCTTGTGCCTCTTGGATAAAAAATCTGCTTTTACTGATCAAAAATGAACTTGCATAGTGCCTCCAGTCAGTAATTTAAAAAATGTGACGGCGTATAGGTCATTTATATGATGATGAGCTCTATGCTTCTTCAGCTTCTTGATAATGCATAAACTGTCAGTTGCCATAGTTATCGACTACTACAATTACAGCGAATGAGGTAAAGAAAAAGGAATGCTGGCATAATTAGCAGCTATTCACTACTGATACGGTGTGGTAAAACAATTTAGTATACATTATCGTAATGCCTACCTAAGGTGTCACAGGGTTGATTCTTGTCCTTACAAATATTGTATCTGTAAATAACAGAAGCAGCATTCTTAATATGTAGTGTACTTAGAGAGCGAGGGCTAATGATTGGCTGATATATATTGTCCAGTGCAGTAGTAAACAAGACATGACAAACGATTCTATTATAGGAGATCAACAGAATAGACCTACTGGATTAAGAGTGATGCAAAGGAGATCATAATCGAAAATAAAAGCACACTAAAGCTCATTCATTACATCCGTAAGTGAGTGAACGTACTGAAAGTTCTAAATAAAACCTTACCTCGTAAACAAAGTGGCATAGTCATAGTGGTTCTCATCGTTGTCCAAAGGATTATTGTTTCGCTCAGCCCATCTACCAAAACTCTCCAGTGTATTGCTTGCGTGGTGGTTGATAACCAGTCCAGACTAAAATAATGTAAAGTGGAATGAATTATAATTTATTTATTAGCACAACCAATGTCATTTGGCATCACTAGAACTAACATAGACAAACATTCATGTTCAATTTTAACATTATTTTTATGAGTTAAAAAGGCCAAATTGTGAAGAAACCAGTGCGAAGTTACAAAATACAAATGCGAATTGATGTTTTCTGAATGACCGATCAGTGTTGGAAGGGGAGGCAGAACTGCTAAAGTCTTTCCCATCTTTCATTGGGCGACCTTTCAAGTTTTTTATACGTGATCTGGTTTACTCGTTTTAGACACAGACGAGACCCATCTCGTCATTGCCCTAGTTTCTAGGGTACCAACAATACCGTGAACAATACTACTGACTGAACATTTATTAAGCCATTGGCACCAACACACCTGTGGAGTTGTTAGTATCTGCATTCTACTGACTACAAAATTTACTGGATTCTCTCCAATACTTGCATCTCGTAGGAGGTTCGAGGCCTAAGAAATATTGGATCAAATGTCAAGTTAGTCAAGCAGGAAACAAAGGAAGGCAGAAGTAGAAGATGAAATGGGGTGTAGGATGGAATTCTGAGAGAGTCTGGTTTGTAGTCAGACGTTTCAACCAAAACCGGAATAACACTCTCTTGGTTGAACTTTGGTTGTGAATATGTTACTAGTCATTTCTAGTCTCTTTGCCAAGGTTTTCAGAATGGCGAAAGAAGAATGGTCGCAACGGTTCGTCTTCAAGAACTTTTAAGAGATGTTTGAAATCCATGAATAATCGGACGATGAGGAGAAATATTTCTGTGGCAGAACTGTTTAATTTGGAAACCGAGAAGACAGCTGACACTTGCATTACAGGTTAATTTAGTCTTAATTTGTGGATGACCTACGCAGAATAAAATTGGCAGATGAAAAATTGAGATGAGAGGAAATTTGTTTTTGCGGCTGATGAGGATGCAGGATAAGGAGAAAGAGGGTTATATCAACAAGTTTTTCTCATGTTCGATATTCTTGGAATCAGATTTCTATCAGGTAAAAAATAAATTTCTCAAGCGCAAAATTGCGAAAAAGGTGCCTCCGCACTTGATACTCGATGCCTTCTGTCAGGTGAAGGGACGTTACCCTCAGCTGGGATAGTTTAACAAGTTGATCAACAGAACAATCAAAAACGTTTTTTCCCAATAAGCCTTTTTAAAAAATGGCGTAATCCGGCCCTTTGTTGTCCCTCCAAAATTTTGCATAAGCATTGTTTTCAATTTCTCTTGGAACGGCTGTAATACCCAGGAGAAATGAAAAACAAAGCTTATGCAAAATTTAGGAGGGCAAATAAGGTGCATTATGGAAGAGGTGCAAGTGGTGAATAGAACACGAACAACCAAACCAATCCAACCAACAGCAAACAGTTGATCTAAAACGAACAAGTTTATTAAAAAACCAAATATACTCAATAGATTATTTTTGTAAATTTTATTTGTTGTCAACTTACTATGTTGCAGGCGGATAGGGCGTACTGTTTCGCGGCGTCTTCACCATGAAAATTGGCCATTTTTGGATCAACTACAACCAGAGTTTCTATGTATTTCTCCGCTCCCGGTCCCGCTGGTCCTTGTCGTTTTAGTGGCTGCGTTTCGTTCAGCGAACGTGAGACGCGAATATTAGGATCATCTAAACAAGTGATTAATAAAGATTTTTTTTCAGACGGTATATCTATCATAATAGAGAGATTCAAGTCCTGTTTACGGCAAACGGCAAGCGTGAATTTGTACCACGTGACCAACTTTTCCCTTTTCTTGTCGCTTACTGTTCATACTTCTACAGAAAAATGTGTAGTTTCACGCTAGCTTGCTTTGACTCTGAAGATGACTACCGCACAGTACAGGTTGTCGAAACGTCAGTCACTGTCAACAACAACAGTCCTATTCAGGACTACATTCACCCTGACCATCAAACTCAACCTAGTTTGTATTGTCTGGTTTTCTGAGAAAATCTCGACCTGAATTTTAATCTGACGTGTACCTTTTGTTAAATGTAAGTCTGAATCTCTGCAATGAAACACCACGAAATAAAACAACAAAAAATGCATATTAGATAAACCAAAAAATTAACAAAACTATGCTCATTTCTAAATTTTTCCAAAAACAGAGACGAGAGAGACTAGTTAGCGGCACTAGGTTAATAGTGCGCCAAGTTTGTGTTATCTACTACGTTGTCGCAAAACCAGAGTAAAATTAAAACAGACATATTTACCTTCGGTGCCGCAAGTATGTACTTGTCTTTTATCTCTAGCAGTATGAAGTTTTTGCCTGTCATCCAAAGTAGTAGATCGTCTATAGATAACATGAGGTCTACTTCTACCAATTTTAGTTACTTTGTTCTGCAGATGAACTGGAAGTGGCTCGATAAAATATGCTTCTTCCTCTGTATGGATAAGTCCACTCTATAGAGTAAAATTAGGACACCTACGTGAATATGTGCTAGCGTGAAGATTTGCTGGCGCTTGGGCAAACATTAAGAAGTAGTACTAGTACTGCTAACTATTATTATTATTATTATTATTATTAATATCAAGAAAAATTTCATTACAACCGGTCAGTCACTCTTAAACAGTTTGCTACTTCAAACCACAAGAGAAATCAAAATCATATATATTCAGCACTAACAGGAATCGAAAACATTTGGGAACACTCAGGTGTATATAAATTCGGCTATCTAATAGGCCATTTCCGAGTTCCAAAAACTCTCATTTTCAAAACAAAGATAAGAGCAAAATCTTTTTTTATAAAAAAATGAGTTGACTTCAATGGCTTCGCACTTAGCCTCTCTTTGAAACAGAGGCTTTGGGCGACTCGGAGATGACCCATTAATATTGATGTCAAGGATACCCTAATTGCAGCGACAAAGAACACAGTGCACGCATTTCTGTTTCATTTTATTCCGATTTTATGGCAGTGGATTCAGTGTACATTGACCTTGGCCTTAAATTCTAAGGGGAGTAGCGCATTGATTTAGGTTTACGTTGAGCGGACAGCAGTAAACGCCGCAACTGTTTTGGTCGTCATGACGAGCAGGAAAATAATTGGTGACTGAAATAGCAGTTTGCCGAACTGAGTTCAGCCCTAATGTCATAGTAATTTCATAGTAACTTTAAAAACTACTTGGTGATGATGGTCTTTTTGGAGTTAAAGTGAGCTCATGAAACATTTGCATGAAATATTATTTATACTTCATTTTCCACATATTCACCGATTTTACTCTGGTTTTCCGAGTATTAAGCTTTAAGATGTCGAGTGCGCCTCTAAACGTCATTGCCAGAAGCTACTTTTATAAATTCTGTGTTTTAAATCTTATCCAATATTGCACAAAACGTCTTCTTTTGGCATTAGTTTTTTCAGGTGTGGCGACAGGTAATGCAAACATGCGGCTTTGATAAAAAGAACAAACGGATGGAAAATACAGTCTAATCATTCTTTTTAGAAAGCATTGTACAAGTTAGTTTAACTCGATGATTGCACGCGGCAAGGCTGTAACAATTCTTAATTCAGGCACTGGCGGTCTTTAAATTACTTCAAGAGCCACTGATTAACTTGACACTAAAAATAGTAATTTCATACCGAGAACTAAGAACATTTTGTTCGGCCTTCAACTTCTGCATGAGCAAGACCGTTTGAGTGAACCAAGAGAGAATACTAACACAGAGATTGAATTTTAGAGCGTTGAACGGGATTTAGTGAATTTCACTAAATCTATTTTTAGAGGCTGGAATTAAATGGAGGCCTAATTCCTGGGACTTCCGCACATTTTGTTCGATTATTCGAAACGTCATCAATTCCACGCACTACGGCCTCAAAGCAAACAATGCAGAATATTGTAATGGCCACAGTTGAATTCTCTCATGAAAACACTAAATAAAAGTTTGCAGACCTCTCCGAAACCAACTTCCGATAAATTTCAAGCGTTTTATTAGTCAAAAAATAACCTTGGTGAAATTCACAAACCAAGGACTTGACTGCACTTTTCCCTCTCTGTCCCATACATTTTCTCTTGAGTGAAAAGAACTCACCAGCCCTTGACAATTGCTTATCGCCACTGTTGTTCTTGATCTTTCTTTCAGTTTCCCAACATAATGACAGTTTTCCATTGAATGTCTTTTCATTACCCTTCCATGTTTTCCTATGACTTCCACCTTAAAATTAGGGGCCAATAGTCTCTTGTTTCTTTCCAAATGAAGATGCAAATCATTTCCAAACGCGGATACTCTATAATGAACGTCTTCATTCTCTGGCTCGTTAGATGATCGACGCATGCGTATTCTTGGAAATGTGAGTTCATGTGAGATGAAAGCGCCATTCTCATCGACTTGAATGGGATGTACTACATTGTATTCGGGAACTAAACACAAAAGACAGTTGCAGTTAATTTGAAATTCTTTGTAGCAGAAATTATAACTTGTGAAAACTCTTAAATCTTGGGCTAGTCAGGTTGATGCGTGCACGACGAGTAATAGGACAATGTCGGCATGATGATGTTGTTAATATGTACACAACTTTTTTCGTTTTCTTATTCATTCTCAAATTTAACGATTCCTGTAAGTTTTACAATCCAAGAACCCTTGCTTTCACAATAATGTGAATTTTGGAAAAAGAAAATTAAATGTACCTTATTTTTCCATAAGGAAAATCTTCGGCTGAGATCATCTACAGCATAATCAAAAAATGTTTTGTTCTTTTTTCTAAAATTATCAAAGTAAGAAACTTCGTAAATTTCGCTTTATAATTATGAATTATTGAGAGGTAATGAAAGATAGCTGATATACGAACTTGGCAAGAAGATACAGCATAGTCCATGACAGATGAGTCCGAAAGACTTTCTAGGAATACTTGTGCAGTGATTCCCAAATTAAAAAAGACTGTTGCATAATAAGCGATTGATTGTTTTCATCCTTGCGCAGTACTTTAACAACACCGCATGTCCAAAGTGTGAGACATGTCCGAGTTTTATCGGGAATTCACGGTTATGGCTTTGAGGAAGTACAGTTCTGTGTAAGCAGTGTCGACCCAGACTCTAATTTATTGTCAACAGAACTGGAAGCCCTGGAGCACCGTTGTGCAACTCACATCTCTAAACAGATTGGAAATCGTCACTAATGTACCTTAACTTACTTTTTATACGTCAATGGGGTTTATATAAAGAGGTGGAAGATGAAATAATTACCATCGCCATGAGATTCTACTCCAAACAACCTAGAAAGATCCCTCACTGTCATATGCCTATGGATATTGCTATGATGGCCCTAGGGAAAAAACAAACAAACAAACAATGCAAACAGTGATAAACCATTTCCAACAAAGATACAGAATCATAAGTTAGGGTGGTAAAATACGTGTACAGAGATTGGTATGAAATTGTCCGCCCAAGCCTCTACTGCGTTTCATTGGGCGTTTTCCATTCAACCAAAACTTACAGTTTGAATTTTCGACAACTACCAGCAGCGAATGAAACAGCATTTTTCAAAATTTCTAAAAAAAAAAAAAGCCAACCTCGCTTGATACACCCAGTTTTTAAAATATTTCTTCCTGAAAGTTGTGTTCCTATTCAACTTTGTTCCCGCGAAATTTCCGTACCATTCGCCACCGTGTCCAAATTTTCGGTAGTTTAGGTCGAATAGAAAGCGCTCATTGTGTGTTCCACTGGAACAGAATGTAGACAAGGTCGATAAAGCGTTTTCACTCGTTTTCAGCCATAGCTAGTAAAAAATTCTTACCTTCGGCGACAATATAACAAACTAATATACACCTTTAAATATTGATTTTTTTCCTTAGCTACTGCCTCGATCGGTTGTCTCAGTTTTTTTTAGTTATTGGATACCAATCCGCGGCAGGTGAAGGGGGCGGGGGGAAACCTTGTCTCTCGAAAATCTCGGTAATTATCAAGTTCTGGATGCTGCTTTGTTTTTGCCCTATTATTTACAGTGAAAAACGAGGTTGTCGTACTTTTAAGTTAGTATGCAATAGAACTATCAGTGAAGAAACCAAAAAGAGCTGCATGGTAACCCGTTACCAGCACCTGTTCAAGACTACCTTAACTTCACTTCAGTTCATTTGAAAGTATGACTTTGGTTCCAAAACGTTGTCAAGAAGAAAAAGAGAGAAGCTATCTCTGTTGGAGCAGTGGTCGCGTATCTGTGAAATTTACAGAGTTAAAGTCCATCTCTGACCATCAGTTAGAACCGTCCCAGGATAGTCTCACCAATTGATCGTTGTTTCCTACAGTTGGCATTTCGAACCCTTTGAAATTTGCCCCGCTTCACTCTCCATTGTACTGTTAGCATTACAAGCGGATAATTTTTTTAATTAAATTAGCTTATTTTGTTAAATAAATTTTACGACCTTACAGCCATAACAGCAAAAGGTGAGAGATCTTTTGTACCAGCTGCTTCAAATACGAAACGACACTTAACCGCGTGAAATGCTATTTCACACGAAACATTGTTCATAAGCAATGAACCATACAACAGACGTGGCGTGGTCTATTGTCAATCTGTTTAACTACTGGATCAAATACTACAGTAAGCGTGTAGTTTCATTCATGGTAGCTTACTTAGTCTTCCACCCATTAATTAAATTGTTTCATGAAAAATTATGGGAAGACAAAGTTAAAATCGCTGTGAACGTTATACTGTCACAGTATAAGCCTCACTTTGTAAAAGTACTCATAAAGATTTGCCAGCCACTTTACTTACCTGCATCTTGTCTTGTCCAGCGGAACACATACAACTTAAACACAAAAGCAACTCTATGATCTTGAGACATCGTCCATTTGTACTACCCATGACTGTGGAGTTGGACAGATTTTCTTCGAAGAAACAGAATACCCCAAAAATGCAAACAGTTAGTCGAAGAAATCCATCAATTTCGAAGAAAAGGTATGACTGTAATTTTGTTGTTATTTAAAATCTTTAGCTACCAATCCAATGCTTGAACCACGTTTCTCCATACCGTTGTATATCAGACTACTTAAGCACAATATATCCTACTGTGTCCATTCCTACCAATTCGACTGTCATCAATTCCGATAATTTTTTACATCTGGCAATACACGATTTCCGAACTATTTTACAGGCGTTGTGTCAATTATATTAACTGAATACACACTCATAACTACCGTGAGCAAAACATATAAAACACTTGCCAAAATAAACTTAAACCAATTTTTTCCACCAGATAAGTTTGGAATAATTGACGCTCCGTTGCACCTGACTGAATAAGAATTGAGAAGAGTAAAGACGAATAAAACTCGATCTTACCTTAATCTGAATTTATCTTTATCGTGATTTATTTCTCTTCACCCCGTGTATGACATATAAAATTCTTTAAAATTATGACAATGTTTCAGAGGGTTTCGCCATGTTCTATGTTTGTTTTTTGATCGCTAATTTTCTAAACTGGTACCTTTCCTTGTTTATGATAGATTGACCTGCTGCAGGGATGTTGATTGGCCTATTTTAATTGGTTTACGTGTGGTATAACAACTTTAAGTGGAAAAGAGTGAAAAATTAATGATTACCGCGAAGAAAATCTTGGGCTCAACGTTCCCCGTTACGTTAAGAAAATACTAGCGATTTGTTGAAGCAATTTTCCTAATATTTGCTATTTTGTCGTAGTGATTGGCCGACTATGTTTTATAAAACCCAGAGATAACTTTTGACCTAAAAAATTACTATGAACTCTAATTTTGAATTCTTATATCATACCACTTGTATGCCGGCATTTTCAAATGACTCAAAGGCTTTTTGATTGATTTGAAACAAGAGAGGCATGGTGACTTATTGACCATATAAACATTTTCCCGCCTTTTAGATAATCTCTTTGGTAGTATAAAGATGCCCTTTAAACAGGAATTAAATTAATCAGGAGACTCCGTCAATTTTTTAATCAAGGAAAATCACAATTTTGAGTGAAAAAGAGTGGTGAACATAATGATCAACACCAAAGTAATGTTTACAATTCTTTTTATAATTATAGTCACACCTTTGTTTAAGGTCAAACATCTTGTAGGTGCAAATATATAATTACATTTTTATTGTCCGTCTGACACGCCATAATCTCTGACTTTTATAATTATAATGTTAAGGATCATGTTATCTATGTTCTAAATAATAACAAAAAACAAAAAACGCAGTTCCTCATCAACAAATGAAAGTTCCGTCAAATAAACGTTCATGTACATATGCAGCGAGGTTGTTTGTTAATCTCAAAATGGAGTAAATTTCTCTTTATTGTAGACCTATCGCTGCCATAAAAACATAAGATAAGAGTCCAGCGATGAAATTCTTTTTCTTGTCTCTCTACCATATTTTGTAGTTCCCTTCTTTGGCAGGTCGTGCAATCGCCAAATGACGTAATGCAAAAGATTGATTGGACACTCAGTGCACAGTTCTCGCTCCAAAATCATAACCCGCCATTTCCGAATTTTCGACTAAAACCTCTTTTTCACTCTGGTTTACTTTTAAGGTGTTCGTTGCAGTCCTGACTTGCTTTCAAGAAAGAGTCCAGTATTGCATGAATTACAGCTTAGCTTTCAAAAGCATTTAATCAAAATAACAATGAATATGCCGTCTGCTTTTGGAATTTTATAGGGTTAGGGCTAGGGTTCCAATTTTAGTGTGTCCTTACGGATAACAAGTCCAGCGCAGGGGATGTTGGCCACACCAACGAGGTCTACGTCTCCTACTCTTTTCAAACAGTGGTGTGGGTTCTTTTGCGTCCCCCAAAAACCAGATAAGTGAAAGTGTTGTGAGATACTAATTTAAAGACCCGAACCTGCGACCTCCAGCTCAGCAGACCGGCGCTCTCCCAACTGAGCTTACCAGGCGCTGGCTGAACTTTGCTGTTCAGCTTACCTTTGTAGTTTGTTTGGAATCGGCCGATGGTTAAATTTCCTAAGTGCCATTTTTAACCGTTTTGAGATATTTTTCACCGTCAAGCGAAAAAAACCATGATTATTGGTGAATAGAATCATTGTTGTTCTGGTTTTTGGTTAAAAACAGAACTAAGCAATTATAGAAATTTTAAGATAACGCCGCGCCCAGGATTTATCCCCCGGCAGTGCCTAAAATTAAACTTTTATTTGTTTCGTTACTGTGGTAACGAGAAAAACACCACGTATGGAATATTGGATTATCCGAGCTTTTCGGTTTTTTGCTTAGCCCAACGCTTTCTAGCGAACTTTGGACTCATTTAATATATATACGTACCATTAGGTATTCCAAAACGTTTTGAGAGAATCGCTCCTGTTAAGAGAAAAAAATAAATCATGACATCAAAAGATAAACGTTACTGTGGTTTCCGGTAAAAATAGATATCAATAAAGATCAAATTAACTTTTTGTTCGTGTCGTTACCTTAGTAAATTTCCACAACAACACAGACGGAAAAGTATAAATATTTTGCGTAAACGTCTCAGTTGGCAGTAATTTTCTCTTAAGCAAAATTTAGGAACGCTGACCAAGCTATCAAACAATATGCCCAAGTTATTGCCATCTTTTAAAAGAAGAAAGCCGAGATCATTGTCCTTGAATTGTGCACCAATTGAAGGAATAGTTGCTAAAGGAAAAAACATCGATGAGCTGCAAAGTCTGCGATCCGCAACCCTCGCGCGGGGAACTATGTTCAGCTTCGAAAATGGGAACATTCTCCAGAAGAAAACTCAGTCGACAGAAAAAGAACTTAATGGTCCAGGCAGTCCCAAAGTTCTCCTTCCTATCGTCGTGGTATTCAGTGATGAAAAGCCAGGATTTCAGGAGCCAATACATCAAGAAAAGAACGAAGAAAGACGCTAAAGTTTGTTTTATTTGCTAGTTAAGAGCAGCTTGTCATCCAAAACTTAAAATTAGAACTGTCGCAGTAATTCCGAAATGTTTCTAGTTATGGCGAAAATAAAAAAAAAGAAAGGGTTCCCGGGGGGAAGTACTCCTGGGAATTCTTGATGGGGGTGTGCCGCCCGTTTCCTCAAATCTTGACCCGATTTCAGGCCAAAAAAATGTAATTTTCCACACCCGTTTTCAGACTAGACCTCTAAAATCCATACCCGTTTTCCCACCTGGCCTTTAGGCAGAAATTATGTCATCATCACTTAGCCGTTGGAGCGCAAGCAAAAAAGTATTCAAATCCATTTCGAATGCTCACATTTTTCTTTCTTTCTTACATTCATGCCTGACTCCGTAGTTCCCTCGAAAACCATACCTGATTCCAGACCAAAATGGGTAAACTGTATACCTGTTTTCAGACCAAAACGACGCAAAAACCCTACCCGATAGGGCGGCACATAAAGGGAGTACCCTCCCCCCCCGGTTTCCTTGGCAGTCGGCAGGAAAAAAAAATACATACAAGGTGTTATTTACATTTCAGTCGTATTAATTCCGTTAATGATATCCGAGATTTAATTGCAATTTCTCTCCCTGAAATTTAATACGCTGAGAATAAGTGAGACATAATTGACCATGATTGACGAGCAACAAGTCTAACCTTTGTTAGCATGAATTTACACTAGTTATGCAATGCTTTCGAGTGGTATACCGTGAAATATCCGACGGATGACTTGATTTTTCTTAATAGACACACGAGCCTTTAGGCGTAATTGGTAGCATATTTGAAACTGCAATACGGTCGTGTAATGAAGGTCAGCGGATGCAATATTTTGACAGCTGTCAATTGACCTTCACATGGATGACGTATATAAGTGTAACATTTTACATCGGCTTACATAGAGGGGTTGGACAGACCGAAACACGGTGAAGGCATGACCAAAATATCTCGTTTCCAAGGTTTACCTAATTTTGTTACCCACAATGCTCTACTGCGCACCTGTCGCCCGCGCGAGTTCGTAGGTCTTATGTCGTCAAGGTGATGTTCTATCTTTCTATTTATATCACTCCCAAGATGTTGTCACGGTTTCCAGCCTAAATATTAAGAACCAAAACCGAGAAGACCAACCCAAACAGAAGACAACGAACACGTCAAAGAGATATTTCTTTTCTGCGCTTTCCTACGCGACCTTCCATTGTAATACGGGATGCTTCTTTTCCCTAAAAAGGAAACATTTCCATGGAGTTAAATGACAACAGAAAATAATAAAGAAGTCAGTTATACCTCCTGACTCACCGCGTTCCGACCGTTCCTATAGATTCTTGCCTCTTTTAGCTTCGCTTTCTGGTTAATTTCGAGCCTAACAACGGTAAAACTATTACGTGCCATTTTCAAAAGTATTGAGATAATTTTAACAATTTCGCTTACAATAAAATCATGGTTATTTGTATACGGAATAAATGTTGCTATAGTTTCTAGTAAAAATAGAAATTAATAGAGGGGAGAAGTCGTTACGTCATTGCCATAGTAGCAAAATTTCCGGATCTCAACAAACCATAGTCCTACAAATATGGGAAAAATCAAAAAAATTGTTATTTGTCACGTGACTTTCCTGTGCATAATTGCACTCAGACAAAACCAAAGCCCTTACAATGCAAATGGCCGTCTCTGTCACGAAAGATTTGGTGAGGTCCAAAAACTTTGCTATCATGTTTACTTGACGCCATACCTCTCCTCTACATAGCATGAGTACTTTCTTGACTTTCTTCACTTCACCGCATCCAGGATTTATTCCAATTCAATACATAAAATTGAACTTCCTTTGTGCCGTTACCATGGGAATTAGCTTCAAAAACGTTGACTCTTCGAGATTTTCAGATCGTTGCTAAACCTAACGCCTTCAAGTGGATTTTGGATACATAACTAGATTTTCACGTACAGTCGTGTTCCAAAGTGTTTGGAAATAATAGTAACCTTTGCGATAAAAAACAATCATGATACTAAAAGATAAACTTTGCGGTGGTTTCAAGTGAAAATAGATATCAATAAACATTAAAATTAACTTAAAGTTGTTTCGTTACCTTGGTAATTTCCACAACAACATGGGCGGGATAGTACAAAATAAAATGTTTCGCGCTAACTTTCAGTTGGTATTGTTTTTTTCTGTAAAGCCGATTTAGGGTACGTTGACCAGGCTAGCAAACACTATGCCGAAGTTCTTGCCATATTTCAAAAGAAAAAACCAAGATCCTTGTCTTTGAATTGTGGAACAACTGAAGAGAGTTTTGCTGAAGGAAAAAACAGCGGCGAGCTCCAAAGTCCGCAATCTGTACCCCTGGCGCCAGGAGTTACGTTCAACTTCGAACACGGGAACATTCTTCTCACCAAAACAAAGACGTCAGAAAAAGAACTCAATGGTCCTGGCAGTCCCATAATTCTCCTTCCAATTGTTGTGGTATTCAGCTGTAGAGAGTCTGGATTTCAGTAGCCATTATACCATTTTAAACTAGACTTGAAACTTCTTTGCTGAGACTAACTGATATATACTGTTGCAATGTAAGTGGACTTTCTCGAACCTGAAATTTAAACTTAAGTTTGACGACCAGCAAGCCAATAGTTATGTTTTGTTACTATCTGTACAGACAAGATTCAACACTATTCCATGCATGTTCTGTTTAAAAAGTGTCTTCTCTAAGTAAAACACTTGTTCATCTCATTTCCATGCAAGAGATTCGCTAAGTCATTTTTTTGGAAAAAAAAAATACCTTGTTTGAAAACCAATCTGAATCTCATAGTATTGATATCAATAGGTGAAAGATTTCATAGTTAATTAACGAGTGCGTTATAATTAAACGCAGCGAGTCATTTTTGGTTAAGGGTAACGCTTAATTTAGGTTTGTTCGACGGTTCTTTTCAATAAATAACAATTAATAACCTCCAGTCAGTGTCGGTGGCTAGTGGTGGTATTTACCTAGCTGCCTCGTGGCCTCGGTACCAGCCATCTCCACTTGATGATTTTTAACTCATTTACCGTTGCCAACGATTGCAATTTTGGCGCGCAATGACCGAACGTCCGCGGTCGTCGCTTTTTCTTGCCGAAAATAAAACTTTTGAAGGCATTTGTTTAGCTCTTGAGGGGAAATTTCTTTAAAATTAAAGGAGCTGTGAATTCTTTTTGCATTTAAAATCATTCTGTAAAAAAGATTATTAAATTTAGTTTTAAGCTTATTTATGAACAGGTCAACTAAATAAAGTAACCCAAGACTTAAGCTTAATTTGCATCTGTAAACAAAAAACTTTTTCACTGGTTTTATCGATAAATTGAAGTCAAAAAGACCAAAGCTTTATCTGTTAAAACTTCCAAACCGAACTTCGTCACCTTCTTCGTGTATTTGGGAAACAGCTTGCTTGATTAATTGTGAAATTTCATGTTTGTTACGGCAGCAAACCGGGAAGGCATTTTGCTTGCAACTAACGCGAGTTTGGCGTCGCTCTCTCGGAGGAACTGGAGGTGAATCAGTGAATAGTGCAGGATACTCACCGATTGAGTAGCCAATCAGAACGCGCGAAAAACACTATCCACTGTTTTAGTACATACTAAAATCATTTATATCTTCTTTGTATTAATTCGTTAAGCCCCGGTGTGGTATTCCGCTCGGATGGGCTAAGAAAGCACGAATTCAACCAGAGATAAACACATACACGACTTGAACCAAGCACGCTTTTAATGGTTGCCAAATTCCCCTGGCTCACAATCTACTGCGCAGGCCCCAATGGCCAATACCTCGGCAATACCCTACACACGGTTCAGGGGCTCTGCTTCACAGGAGCAGAATCGAATTCAATGAATTGAGCTCATTCTTAGAGCAGTGTCTGAATCAGTTCAAATCCGCTAATTGAATTTGGATCGGGGCAGCAGGGAATAACAACTGTGGACTTGCGTTGATTCAGACGCCGACCGTCACATGAGCCGAACCAAATGCACAAATTTTTTAATGTATTTGTGATAAATTTTGTTTTCTCCTTATTTGAAATAAGTTCGGCTGGATTGAAGATCGCCGTCTGAATCAAGAGACCCTTCCACTATCTTTCAACTTTTGATTGGGACCAGTAAAATCCATCAAAACCACTGGAAAGAACACGTTAAAATCAGTACATTTGACATGATTTAGAGTGATTTCATAAAAAGATAACGAAAATAATAGTTCCCCAAATTCGCGAAATTTTATTGACTTTTGTGTGGTGGAAGCAAATTGGTATCCCCTCCCCATACGTACGGAAAATTTCGCGACTTTGAAGAGCATTCTGGCTGGTCATGGTCAGTTGCCTTAGGTGTCACCTTAAAACTTGGTAAGTCAAGTAATTTTAAGGTGCTCTTTCCAGCAGTGTCCATAGATAATCGATTGTAGGTCAGTTTCAAAATTTGGGGAAAAGGCGATCTCTTCAACCAACCTACATTAACATGGGTGGGCCTAAATTCGAATTCGACTCGGTTCATATGAAATACGACGTCTAAACCAGACCTAACTCATCATTTTTCCTCACCACAAAGTAAGTTACCCAGTTACCTAAAGAGTGAACGAAGATAATCTAGTAAGAAAAAAAGCCGGAATATAAAAAATATAAAAGAAACAACAACAACAAAAATTCGGTCACACATTACTAAAAATTTGCTACGTTATGTTCTTAAATTTGAAGCTCGGAGTCACTTTCATGACAATGGTTCACTTCAACCCGGAAATTTTTTTAATTCTATAAAATACAGACAACAAGTCCTTTTGATCTTACCTCGCTGAAAATCTTAAAATTCGTTAACACACATTCTTTTCATAAATTTAATTTCTTTTAGTTATTAGCTTTTATAGTTATTGTAATTATTTATAGTTATTTTTTAACTTATAGAACTCATTGTCCATTGCATTACTAATTAACAATTCCTACAGTGCATCATTGTAGCCCCTATTTAGTGGTAACAATTATTAGACAAAAACATCCAGATATTATAGTATTTCTCACTACAAAAACAAAACTAATTATTATATATTTTATTTGATTTAATCGTTGAGGCGTTTAAATGTTACATCTAGGATCTAAACCTACTCGAGCGCGAAGGTCAAATCTGCTTGTTCGTTTCCTCACCCAAGGAATAACAAAAGATCCTTCATCAAACAGAAAGAACTGTCCTTTCTCTTGACCCATGATGAGATACTCTTTCCTCTCTACAAGCTCTGGACATTGGCAGCCTGATCGCTTTTTAAATTCAACAAAGTCTCCCTTTTTCAAGTCGGTTTTTTTCTTTTTGATTACCTCCTTTATTGCTATGTCGTAGGTGATCCAGGATTGTTTTCTAAAGTGGCGTTCGTCCAGCAGAAGCACTTCGCCTATAAAAGCTGAAATGCGTTAAGATCAAAGTTAGTGCGGATAAGGTTATTCTTTAACTTTCCATGTTGCAACCACTATATGATGACACTGTTAATAACTGCTCTTCTTTGGTGCAAAATTGCTTTGAAATTCAGAAAACTGTGAATACCATGAACATCTCTGAAATGTTATTATGGCACACTTAAAAAGCTGACCAACCAGGTGTGGAGGGATTTTTTTGTCAATTAACCAAATTTCAAGAGTACTATTTGCGTCCCATTCACCCAACATAACATCAAAAAACAAACAAACAAAACAGAGCTTAATCCACTATTTAAAGTGCCGATGGGATTCTTACCAAAGTCAAAATCGCTGCAGACCTTACTCGCCAACTCGGGAAGAGTAAATGAACGCCCTCCAACACAGGAAGAGCAGTCATCTGAAAATAAGAGCAAAAACTACCAGATATAAACCTTATTATTTTGAGACACGCAAGGTAAATTAGGCTATTAGTTCAAATATGCCATCCAGAAGGTTATTATGGTGTATCAACTCTATTTTCTCTTCCTCCTAGGTTTGAGCATTAAGTCACCTCCCCATAAACAGAGATATAAGAAAATGACCACCACAGCTTTTTATCAGGAAAAAGAACATTTGTGTATGTTAATTTTGGAGATGTAATAGCAACGAAATGACGTCATTACCTATTTTTCTCGCAGGCGCATTTCTCGACACTGGGAGCCTTTTTCCAAAATCGTTCAGGGCACCATGTTCAGTAAATAGCTACCTCAATATTCGTAAAGTTTGAGCAAAATCTGTGGGCGTTAGCGAGATACTTTGGGATGATGTTTTTATGGATAAAAAGACCGTTATGAGTGGACAATCTTGATGGAAGACCATTACCAAAAGAAAAGGAACCACGTTTGAAATGCGATTTGACTTCATTTTCATTCTTTTTAAAATCGTGTGTAAAAACGTCATGGGATAGCACAATAAGAGGGGATTTGATGAGGATACATTTTGGTGCTCTTGTTGGCATTTTTGTAAATAGTTTAATCTTTGGTAGGCTTTAATAAATGAGCGAATATCTTGAAAACCGCTTGATAGCGAGTACCGTACTGGGGCACCGTGTCCGGGCACCAAGTGTGAAGAAAGCCATATACATTTTTGGAGAAACGGTGAACACATGCACGATTTCTTGCTGTTGGAGACGTTAAATTTCGCACACTGATGCGAAAATGGAAGAATGCGAACAAATAGATAGGGATAGATTGCGACCATTTACAATTACTAAAAAGTGGCGTTTGAGCAAATAGTTTATAAAATAATCATTTTCCATGTTTGAGGTCTAACCAAGTTATCGTCAAAATCAATTTTAAAGGCAAAATGAAAAATGGTCCCTAGAAATTATAATACCTTGAGAGCATTTACAGTAGCCGTCTTGGCACATTCCCGCCAATAGTGCACTTCGTGCATTCGGTGAATAGAATTCCGTACAGGAATCATCTGTTGCGATAGAAATGAATAAACAAACATTTAATTAATCTCCGAATATCACTGAGTTAAGTCCTTGTTCAATTCCTTTTCTTTTCTTTTTTTTTTTTTTTCAAACTCTAAATAATCATACACAATTACCAAGTATGTTAAGAATTACAAAATTACCAGAAGCAATAACACACCTGGTTTATAGTAGTCGTAAACCTTCACTGGCACTGGTTGGACAGTTCCCACGTCATTGATACGGTTCACCATAAATTTGGCACAAAACTCCCTGTCACTAGAAATCTATCAGGAAAGATAAATGCCCACAAGCAGAAAAAAATAAGTTCAAAAGTGGCGCATTTAAGTATTTGTTTACAGCACATCAATATTCCTATGCGACGTCACTCCTAGCGGAAATTGGAACAACACTACTTATAATTTTCCACTCATTATACGTAAACAAATTTATTTTAATTATTTTTATTTTTTTATCTTTTGGAATTTGGTATTCGGCAACTCTGTTAAAAACCTTACTTAGGAAATTTCTTCTATCAGTCATCAACGCAGCTTTTCTATCCATCGTCATTTAATCGAGTAACGGATGAATTGGTTGACTCAGTTCATTTCAGGAAAGAAAAAAATAACCGTTAAAAAGACGATAGGCATTGAACAGTACACAGTAGATAACCAGAAAGAACGATTTGTTTTACCTCGCTGACGTAGAGTATCACAGATCTATCAGAAACTTCAAATCTGTCCACAGTTGGACGAACGTTTTCCATCAACTATAAAGCACAGAAAAATGTTAATAGTTAACGTTGGTCTATGAATCCTTCTTAAGTAACCTTAACGTGGTTACTTTCGCCTGAGCAAATTAATTCCTGGGTTATTTTGCTGTGACACTAGATTTCGTTCCTGATGATGAGTTTTCTGTGATAAACATAATAAAAATACCAAATGTTTTTCATTCCTCAGATCCTATAGTCAGCTTCATCCAATTTCTTGCTAATTGATAGCTTCAGTGTCTTTAAAATAGGGGGCTTAAGCAACGACGACGGCGACGTCAACGAGAACGGCAAAAAAAAAACAAACAATAGTTTTAGATTGACAAAACAACAACTCTCCACCGCCACGCTTTTTGTACATTTCTTTGCCGTGATTGCACGACTACGACGTGAAAATGCCTAAGTTCACGTTTTTTGAAGGACGTGCTGACACAAGACAAAGACTTTCTTTTTCTTTTCCCAACTTCGATACAGTCTTTTAGAATTCAATATCAGAAAAAAATTGCCAACAATCGACAAATTGAACGAGATGGAATATTAGCACAATAAAGTTTGAATACGGGAGACTTCACTTTTCGCCGTCGTCATTGCTTTCCGTGCGATTCCCGCGATATGTCCCAGAAAACCAAAGTAATGCCTAGTCTAGTACTAGAGTTAACTACCGCATCAACAAAAACAAAAACAAAAGCAACTTAGACGTCTAGATTTGTTATGGGAACAGGCTGTAACTGTCAGAATCTACTGAAATATTGTTGGCAAGTTACCTCTATGAGCGATTCCTTATCAGGAGAAAAACCAGAGAAAACACCTATCTCCATTATTGTCATCCCGGTTTTGCCTTGTTTTAGGTATCTATCGATAAAATTCAAAGTTCAACAATTGTTATTAGCCCTATAATAACAATTAATAAATTATAATTTTCAATCTTGCTTGGCAATCTAACATTTTCAGTTTGAATTCTCACAAGATGCCTGCTTTCACCCATTTGTACGTGTCGAGTTCGTCTAAAATATTTCCTGGACCTTTCACATTAATAGATCGACTTTCTACGGGAATACTTGGCAATGGAATCTCTGCCAGAATGGTTTAATGCGACACTGTCACATTTGCAGACTATAGGGCAGTGTCATAAAGAAGTTGTAAATTTTTGCCATTATCGTCCGTAGACAAGAGAGAATGAGGTTAGCTCATTCTCTTTTGCCGAAGGCTTGGAAATCCACTGTTTGGTCCCTATATAAACAAATGCTGCTTACAGTGTGAAAATGCAACTTAGGATCTTAATTCAGGTATGAGCCGAAATCAAAATTTCGAGGGCTGCAAGGTTGACTTTTCCTTCTTGCTTCTTTTACGCTTTACTTTCCGCTCCCCCTCCCCTTTTTTAATGCTATTACCAGGATTATTTCTGGATGAAAAGATTCCTTCAATGGTGATGACGAGGGGGCGATGATGATCATGATCACGATCACGACTGATCTTCCACCTCTTTAGCTCTCTTTGCATTCAAAGAGAGGTTGGAAAATAGGGTAAGTTTAGGGTGAACGGACACTAATTTGAGACAAAGAGATTCCAGAATCGCTTCATCATACGTAAGGGAAAAGGCCATAATCGTAGAGGTAGAAACTGTATAAAGCTTGGAAGCTTAATAGGATCAAACGAACTGTATGCAATAGAGCGGTGTCCCAGTGATGGAGTTGGCCGTAAGAGAGTAATTAGAGCTTTATTAGCACCATGTATTCGGAACTTTTTTTTCAATGTATTACCGATTTAGCCATGCATTCAGGTAAATCTAACATTGCTGAGCTTTATAAAACGCGTTTTAAGACTCAAGGCAATTGCGAACTTAAGTGTGCGTACTTTAAGTCATGTTAAGTAAAGGTTGTTTCTTGTCATGTTCAGATGTTAACAGCGGCACCCAAATAGAAAGTATGTGGAGCATTACAAACCTTGCACATATTTTCAGCTGTAGAGCATCCGGGACTTTAGCGTCCGTGCTTGGCCTCTTGTGATGCTTCACATTTTTCCGTTTCGTTTTGCAAGATTTTCTCTTCTTGTTTTTGCGGCATTTCTTGGATTTTTTCCTTCGGTTGGCATTATCTCTTCTCCCTCGTGAACGGCCCATGATTGACATCACTTCCTCTTTGCCCTGTTTCGCTTCTTCACGGACTTCAATCTTAAGAGCAAAGTGGCAGGTTTCGTTCTTTGCTGACGGAACATTATAGTGAACTTCAATCTACAAAAAGGAATTTACAATAAAATACCCCTGGTGAAATCTCATCTTCCGTTGCGACGAGAAGCGAAATCGAAGTCACTCTCCTTATTACCCAGTATTCCGGCCTGACCTGAAAGCAGCTTGAATGAGTTAATTGAATAAAAAGCAGTCGGCAACATAGATACGAAAAAAAAAAATGACGCAATGGATTTTTTGACTATGCTTTGAAAAGACCACTTTAGTTCTGAGGGATTTAGCCATACAACCTAACTAGTCTCATAACTAATTATATGGCTGATATATTGAATGCTTAGTGTATTTGTTTAAAAAGTTATTTCTGAGGCCTACTTAAGGGATCAATTTGAATTTGGAGAGCTCGTAACCGACTTTTCTTATTGTTTTAACTGAGATATTGCTTCGGTAAGCGATTAAAAGGAGTGTAAAGGTTATTGGGCTTTATTTACAAAGACTTTAGTGAAAGAAGTGTACTTAGCTTTTGGTGGTATTTTCCTGAAGAATTCATTCTTTAATCTGTCCGATTTTATTAATTCTACTTTATTTAATTTATTCTTTTGATTTACCAAAAGTTGTCCTACGCCACTACCAGAGGAGTCAATAAACAGTTGTCCTCCAAGAAGAGGGGTAACCTGTCACGATAGACAAACACAGTAATCAGAGGGAATTAAGTAATAATTGAACATTGTTTGTTCTATGACATTCAATTGCTAAGATATACTTTTTCAAGTATTTAATGACAGCGTTCTCCTTTTGAGTGAAGGGCGACCTTCAACCCGAGAAAAAGACCGAGTTTCCGAGAAATCTTGCTACTTAACAGAGATAGGAGCAGTTGAAAAGGAGAAGCCGTCCTGAAATCCAACACTAAAACAAAGTCGCCCATTCGTATTTTAATGCAACAGTTATCCTGTTTTATTCTTATTTAATTATTGGTTTATCTAGATGATAGTCTTACGTCTTCTTGTCTGAGAATAAGGGCGTTGCCACGATCAATATGATACTTCCTTTTCCAGTTGACATCTTTCTCGGAGGAGACAGACACACGTAAGTCAAGTTTTGCACCAGCAGTTTTCTCACTGTATTTTGATAGCGCTTGTAATGCAACACATGTATCCTGGCGAAAAAAATTACGATTTTCATACAGTAAGATTAACACGAATGAGTAAAGGTCGCATAGACTGTGTACAAAGTTTTTGTGTGCGCGCGCGCAATGGTTCCACAGGAGAGGACGAATTAATTGATAGTTTCGCTCATTTTCCCATCATCCGCCAATGATTCTCAGTGTGCACCAAAAATTCCAATACCTTATAGACCAACAGTATGCAAGATGAGTAAAATCTATATGCATGCTGTCTCTGGATGTGATTCTAACAATTGTAATTAGCTATTTAAGTATTGACAAGTACATTTTTAGGCATATATTGGCAAACCTGTGTTGAAACAAAGCCTCCCTGTGGATCTCTTTGTCCTGTCAGCCATGTAACAATTGGTCCTGAAAACGTCAGCCGTCCAAGTGCCATCTGCGCAAGAAGCGCATAGGCAGTTGTTTCCACGTTTAAAGCATCATTTCCAACGTCCCAATAACGAACGGCTTCGTCTGTGATAATGAAATGTATGGATGAAATGAAATTAGGTAAACTTGATTAAACATACGGGGAAAAATTTATTTAACTCCTATCCAAACGGCGCATAGAAGAGAGTGCTCTAATCCCTAGTTATCTATTGTGCGCGAGAGTTCTGACAACACTTGAGATTTTCTATCCACGACCTGGCAACTCTAGTTCCCTTCTCTAGCTTGTTACTGGTCCCGTGCAAATTTATCTTTTAATTTTTGCAGTATAACAAAAGCCTAAAAAACAAATGGCTTACGCGCTTTCTTCTTGGACTTTGCTTTTCGTTTGTTTGTCTTTCTTCCTAAACTAATTTCACCACTTCAGGGGAACATTCAAACTCTAATAACTTGATTAAAATGAGACAACGGAATGAAGTTTTCACCTTTATTAAAGATCATACTCTGAAGAAGTTTTTTGTTCGCCGTGGAGCTCTTGCTGCTGCCGGCTAACGCTAAGGCGTAGGTAGAAAGTGCCAGAATGTTTACTTTGTGGATTCTGTCCAACTCTGTTTCCATGAAAGCTACAGCATCCTGAATATGCCGGCTCTTGTTCTAGTAATCAATGGGTTAATAAAGCCATTAGGTAGTCTCCAAGTAACCATTAGCTTGATCATGAGTTGAATAATGGGTGGCCAGTTGGGATAACTTCGACTATGAATTTTATAATTTCATATAAGAGATATTTTTAATAAGTAAGAGTCACGGGGGGAAACGGCTGACGTAAGATTCCTGAGCTTCCAGATACCAGATACCCTATTGTCTAAAATATTTCTTATGGATGAAACAGTCATGGAGCTACTCGTAATATATAAGCGGGTTTACTATTTTATAAAAATTTTATGTGCTCATGAGTAAAGGCTAACCAATAGTTCTCTTATAAAACTAGCAACACAGAACAGACAGAACTGACAGAATGTTGATAGTTTATAGCACAATTAACGGTCTAAAAACTATAGAATCGCCAGGGGTAAGCTACCCCTTCCGATTAAGAATGTGTGTGCGCTTCCCTAACCCTATTAATTTAAAACTAAGTAAGGGCCTCTTGACATGAGTCCGAGTGGCCGGGCTGGCCCGGTCACCGGGACCAATTTCGCCTTGGGTTCATATGACAGGAAATTTCAGCCCCGTTTCCGAGATGAGAAAAGGCCGAATATCCTTGCTTCTGACGCGAAATTCGAAAAAGAAAGCAAAGAAAGCAAATATGGCGAAAAAAAAAATCATGACTTTCGCGCCTGTCATAGCATGGCTATATCACTGCAGTTAAATGGGATGCTTACGATGTGGAAAAGACAGCAGGCAATGCAAGACGATGCAATCCGGTCCGCCAGAGTTCATCCCGCTTTCAATTTATGTAACCGGGCTGAAGTGTTCGTAAGGTAAAATTTTCAGCCCGCTTACAGAGATCCCGGTTGGAAAAACCGAGATCTCGGGAACCGTGCCAGCCCGCCCTCTCATTTGAACACATCGAAAACATTACAAAGGATTAAGAGGAAAGGCGAGATCTCGGAAACCCGAGCCAGCCTGGTCAACAGGGCACATGTGAAGAGGCCCTAAAAATTAAAAGTAGGCACCCTTTTCAACGTCCAAGCACGAGAAATGATATACTATAATGCATTGATTCTTAAAGCATTGATGATTAGTAAACCTAGTTAAATGGTTTGCTAGAACGTTCTCTAGCGCGGCTTTTTAGGTCCAGCCTTACGAGAAACCACAGCACTAAAAACGATCCTCTTAACTAGTAGTTAAAAATTGAACTGACCTGACCATGACATCTGCATTCCAGGAGAGACACAATAACAAAGGCTGTCATGGCCACATCTCCATGAGTTCCACCCTAAATGGAAAGTGTAAATAACTGAAAAGTATCTTCACCTCAAATTAACATTGCTTGAGTGGCAAAATGTAAAACCTTTTAATTATTGGTTGATAAAAATCGTTCGAATAAGTAACGAGAGGAGAGCTATTTTTAACAAGAAAAGTTGCAAGACTAAACAAAACACAAATGATAGAAAAGTAATTGATCCTGCTGCTCAATACGGCTAACAAGCCATCCTTATATTGTAGGCGTTTACATCAGGCGTTATATTATTACTTCTTTTTAAACGCTTAAGTGGTACGGGACCTACTTATATTAGAAACCTTTTTATATATAGGCATACACGGTATGGGCTAATAGGCGAGGGCTTGAACTTGGAATTACCTAATTTTAATCTTTAATTTAAAAAGAATTCTTTTACTTATTTATTAACTAAGCTATGGAACTCTCAAGTACGTCTTTCAAGTGATACAAATGACTTCAAAAGCAAATTGCAAGATTGTAGATTTTTAGAACGTGTCTGTCACTTTTTTAGTACATGGCTTTTTAGCAGGTTTTAGCATTTTATATTTTGTTTTTATTAATAAGTTTTTGTATATTTATTGAGTTGTTTTTAAAATAGAATAAAATTGTAATATAGCTTTGATTATAGATTCTATTTATAAACGTTCATACAGTTTTGAACGAGTTTTTTAGCTCCTCGACGTAACGTGTTAAGATAAATGATTGATTGATTGATTGATTGATTGATTGATTGTTTGATTGATTGATTGATTGATTGATTGATTGTTTGATTGATTGATTGATTGATTGATTGATTGAGGTGTGTGGTATTTAAAATGTCACTACTTACGCTGGGTACTCCTGAAGGGTTACACCTCTTAACTTTCTCCGTAAAGTTTTATATTAAACATATTGATCTGGCGGTTTTAAACCTAGAAAGGAAAATTAACCTACCATCATGGATTTATGAATTATGTCCTTCATTTCAGGAAAAGCTCCATCTTGACGTTGATTTTCCAGCATCCAACTTACTGAGTCACAAACAAGATTCTCGTCGATTGCAATACCATCAAATTCATTTTGTGCAGCACAAAACACTCTTGCAGCAAACGCAGTGAGCCTGTAATAAACAATTAACACCATGTAACAGTAACGTTATTGGAAGAACGCTCGCTGGAGTTTGCCACCGGGGATCAATTTTAGTGGCTACACGTGAAAGCATGAAGCACATTCTGTCACCTTGGCTGCTTCCTAGTAGCTGAGGGGAAAGGGGCCGACCAGCGAGAATGCAGGACGTTGAATGATTCTGGTTAAAATGTGGAAGTACCAAAATCCCCGTAGGGAAATCAAGGAGAAACGTGGGAGCATGAATCAAAAGCCAAAAGCCGAATGGCATCCTACTGATGATGATAATGAAGATGAATCCAAGGCATTTTAAAATAACTGAAATAATGCCTTTATGATTTGTCCGACCATTAAAAGGTTTAAGATGGGAATACAACAGGTCGAATAATGGCTTTTGGAACTATTCATAACAATCAATCCACCTCAATAGAGAACTAGTGTCGAAGAATAGGGCAAAGCCTATCGTGATTATAGTGTCGCATCTATCTGCTTTTAAACTCGCTTTGTTAATTTAAATACAAATTTGTCTTTAGTTAGCTAGTGTCCCGTACCAAGTGCTCCCAGGGCGAGATTCTCCAAACGCGCTGAAGGACTTGTCAGCTCTTCGGTAATTCAAAGCTCGTTGATAGCCTGTAATCGGTATGAAAAATACCATTAGATATATCTAGTAGAACAAGGGTCGCGCAGTGGTGAGAGCAATCGCCTCCCACAAATGTGGCCCGGGTTCAAATCCCGGCGTCTACGCTATGCGTGGCTTTTTTGCTCCGAGAGGTTTTTCGCCGCATACTCTAGCTTTCCCCTCTCTTTAAAAACCATCATTTCTAAATTCCTGTTCGACCAGGAACCAGGTAGACGAAGAACCACCAAGTGGATGTGCTTCCTCCATAAATCCTTACTATCATTCATTCCTATGATTACAGGCAAGATGACGATGTATCAAGAGCTTATAAGTCCATTACAAATCAAATGATTTTCTGTTAGGCGCCACTCAAAGCTAGTGAATTTAACAGCGATTCTCGGACTGATGTACTCTTCACTTGTTCTTCAACTTGTTCTTTGTTTTAAGCTTACTGTGTTTAAAGTGTTAACATCATTAAATTTACTATTTGCAATAAAGTGTTGAGTGGGTTGAGCGTTGTTGAATAAACCATAAGCGATTTCAGTCTCAAAATCATTTGCTGCAAGATGCAAGATAATGCAAAATAAAAGTGATATTGAGTGATTCATTACATGCAGGATAAATACTTGCCTGACTGAATCATTGTGTACGCACGTGACTCTATTTCAGCGGTGACCTGTCTGGTTTGCGACAAATACTGCAAAACGTACACATTTGGAGCCAAGAACATCATGGTCTGCTCGCCACAACCCATGGGCATTCGAAGAAGCGTTTCCAAGCCACCAGATATTAAACTCGTGACCGCTGGACCAATAAGATTTCCTAGTTTACCAAGTGAATATTAAATGAAAGTCTTATTTAGTAAGCTCGAACTAAGTAAGGTAGTTCGCATTTTATTGTCTTGCTTTTGAGATCTGCGGTAACGCAATTGGTAATCCCCCTTTGCATACCTTATTACAATTGTTGCACGTTTGAAACAAGGCAACGAGATGATCAGGTGTGCTATTACAAAAGGAATTAAAGACGACTAATGCAATTTCAATGGGAGTTCAATTCCATTTATTTATTCATTTATTCCTATTTATCTATTGTTCACCAAAGGAAGGACAAAAGTTTGCCTGTAAATACATTGCAGTATTAATAATATCAGAAACAATAAAAAAAGTGCTTGATTCAAAACAGGAATTAGGTCTTCTCACATACCTTAATAAATACTGTGTCAATAAGGAAAATATTGGTTAATTTCTAGGTCAAGAAGAAAGTTGAACATTTTTTTTAAACTCAGTTAAGTCTTGCAACTCGTTGAAAAGCATGGCAGAGAATTTCGCACGTGCATGTTCTTGGATTAAGAGAAATCACTTTTTTTTTTGTCACACATAACACTCCTACTAGAATAATTTCCAGGAGACAACAACAGAATTTCAAGAAGTGCTAGAGACAGTGTACGGTACACAGTCAAGTACAGAGTACACAGTTTCCCCCTAGTCTTGACGTATAGAATATATAGATTTAGACAGGGCTAAGAAAGCGAAGCTCTCGTTTATATAGTTACAGTTTACTCAGGCAAAAAATAAAATCGCGTATACTAAACGGCGATCGCAACGATAGCGGCAAAAAAGAGGTTTAATTAGCAAAACAACAACAACAACAACAACTTTGCAAGTGCAGCATACTTTTTTGCACTTTTCTTCAGTCCCCTTGTTCGCAGGACCATATCCTGAAACTTCATGGTAACACGTTTTATGTTTGCTTTCATTTCACTGCCGCTCATTTTTACCTGGGTGGCTGCAGGCATTTCTAATTTTCTCACCACCGCTATAAAATTTTCATGTTTTTCTTCCAACGAAATTGGTCTCATTTGTTTCTCTCGCTCTACACTAGCTCTTTCTCGGTTAACACGCCAGCATAGTAGTACTAAATATGACATTTGACAGTGGGCAACATGTATGGGTGGACGGACCTACGGATTGTCACGCGATTACCAAGTTTTCTCGCATCTATAGCTTACCTTTTTTCTTACCCATGGTGCTCCGCTGCGCGCGCGAGAGAGCTCCGCGATAACTAAGTTACCTACCTGTAAGAGATAAGGAAGCCTTGACTGACCCCGGTATTGCACGTGAGGGAACACGTAAAAGCATTCTGTCTGTCTGCATATCATTGTGGACAACTTCTAACAAATACAATATAGTATTTTTAGTCAAAGGAGAAAACCTTTGAAAAAAAAAACAGAAATAGGTTTGCACTCACAAGCTGTACAGTTATATATTCTTGCTCATAGTTCGCCTTATCGTCGACGAAATTTCATGAAAACAAAAATTACCACACAGGTTTGGCAGGAGTCTATTCTTTACGTACCTCTAGCTTTTAGTGCTTAGATGAGAGAACGTTTTCGACCTCTCTCCTTGACATTAGAGAAGATTCTGGTCAGCAACACTGGAGTTCACCCGATATGAGATCATTTTTGGTGTAAACGTCTCCACGACTCAGAAACGACATTTCCCTCAGAAAGTATTGCTTGAGGAAATGGCTGAAAATGCGGCTTCGTTTTTTAAATAATCAAAATGGAATCCCTTTGAAAGCTATTGCCATTAACTATTAAAACCGCAAAAAATTTAGGGTAACTTGAAAAGCATTCTACTTACGATGATGTTTGATTCCTTTGGCGGGGGCGGATGAATTCTTTGTGTCCGGCTTCTCGTCCCGCAATACTCCTACAAATTATAATCGCTCAATCTATCACTATTCAGAGCAAAGCCTTCGGACTTCATAAAGTTACTTACCCGTTGGATCAAGTACAAAAGAGTGCTTTATTCGTCGTTCAACACCCTCTGGCTGTAAATAAAAAAAATGTAATTCAATTCTCGGCATATCTGAAATCGAAAATGCCAACACAAGTTGTTTATCTCTACGGAGGTGGAGTCTGAGGATTGTTCACGGAGAAAGGGCCCGAGCCCAAACCACACATTGTTCTTGGTTGCCTCTCGAATGATTTAGAACGACAGTTTAGGAACAGGATGCCCTTAGGAACTTACTGGCGATACCAAGCGACCTTTCTGAAAGAGGTTCTATTAGTCTGGGACCATACTCTTTGGTGATGAAAGGGCGATTAGTAAGCTGGGGGCAAAAGTTCAATTTCTCTCTTGGTTCGCCCTCATGAATTTTATCTGGCCGCCTTGATATTATAAGAATTATAGTTCTATTGATAGCCTGTCATTTACATGATCTTCCTCACAGAATTTAAAACAATCAGGACGCGTAGTACCGAATCCATGGCTGCGTTAATATTCTTGAAAACTACAAAAAGCCCGTGGTCAATTTAATAAAACTTTTACAAACGTAATTTACAAGTGTAGCTATTATTTTCAGACCCTTAAACGATGGCTACACTTGTATTACAAGTGTAAAAGTTTTTTTAAAATGACCCCTGAAAAGAACCAAGAAAGATGGGACCCTCTCTGCTTCTCATCGAAGAGGAAGTTAATGTCCATCGCCAATTATTACGTCATCCTCTACAAAACACCTTGCTCACAAAATAAGACAGATCACCAATTTACACAAGACAGATTACCATTTTTTACACTGGAGAGTCCTCGTATGAGAACGTGTAAATAATTACCCATAAATTCACGTTTGTGTTTGAAGCATGTTTAGGCCTTTTGCAATAGTTGGTCAAGCATTAAAGGGCTAAAATTGACTGCTATGAACAAGAGAAAACTAGAGCCCCGTATTACTTAAGGAAAGATTTAACGACAGTTTGAAAATTTCCAAATTTACAAGGATTTGTATGAAAAAGCACTCATTTGTAGCGACATTGTTTCGACTGGTTACAACATTATTCCAACATTTTACGCTGTGTTGGGCTAAAAATCGTCCCTACGAATCCTCCCGTGTAACATCACCTTTAAATACCATAAAATTCCGAAAATAAGCCCCGGGGCTTATATTTTTCAAAGGCCCTTTTTGAGGGGCTTATATTCGGAGGGGCTTATCTAAGGAGGGAAATTTGCGTCTCAAAATCGATTGGGCTCGCCTTACAGTTGGAAGTAAATTTACCGTTTTTGCTTTGTTTTACTTTGTATTTGAGGGCAATTTTCCAGTTACAAGCCCCCAGGGGCTTATATTTGAAGGAGCGATTTAACGGAGGGTTTTTTACGTTACCGGTTTGGGGGGCTTATATTTGGAGGGGCTTTTATATGAAGGGGCTTATTTTAGGAATTTTACGGTATGCTCTGTTAGTTCCTGCTAATCACACTTGTTTCAAAGCGAAGCTGTTTTCGTGTTTACAGAAAATTGATCACGTAACCAATTGAGTGCATCGATCATTATACGTTTCTGGGAAACTGCCCACCTATCCCTCCCCTAAGCCAACATTAACGCTTAGTTCTCACTTAAGGGAAAATGTTGGCTTAGGGGAGTGGTAGGTGGGCAGTTTCCCAGAAACGTGTAATGATCCGCAAGTTTAATGGGTGTACCTTTAAGTTTTGTATCATCTCCTCGCGGCTTGACAATTTTTCTTGCAAGAATGAACAAAATAGCATCAAATTTTCATTAAACTTACCACAACCAAAATGTTTCTAAGCACCACGTCACTCGCCACTACAGTTCCAAATTGTGCTTGTAGACTTACATCTGGGTGCTCAGCGGTGACGCTTACTTTGACAGAAGCTTTACCAAGTTTGATAGGTATTATGGGAAATGACACAGAAGTTGCGTCATGGCTCTTCAGAGTTAGTAACATTACAGCTGATTTTTGTCCAGCTGGAACATAGGTGCAGAAGTCTTTGTTTTCCTCTAGCTTTACCTTCACCTTAAAAAAAGACATTATTAAGAAATCACTGGTTACTTAATGAATAATAAATATGATTATTACACATTGTAGTCACCATCTGTCTTCTCATTGGCTAAAAGCCTACAGTTGATTCTGGGAAACAGCGCAACCTACAGATTATTCACTAATCTGCACCTACAGATTAGTGAATAATCTGTAGGTTGCGCGCGCAATGCATGATTTCCAAGAGCAACGTCAAGTGCACGGACAGCAATGTCAAGTTCGCGGACAGCGAAGTAAGAATGGCTTCTATAATAAAAAAATGAGAATGGCTTGTATAATAAAACAATTATTAGATTCGGTTTTTGTGATATCCGGAATAATTTTATTGACTGTGGATCCTTTTAATTGTATTAATGGTACTCTACCAAGCTTATTGGTAATCTTTTCTATTGTGTATTAAATGACCCATTATTGACTTGGCGCGTTAATGGGTTTTATGATGAGGCGGGGCATTATCTTATCTTACAGTGCAAGCTTCAGGGTGGATAGTCAAGATAACGATAGTTGGCTAGACACCACACACAAAGCGGGCTATAAATTCGTGAGCTTCGCTATCGCTCGCCCCTTTTTTCTGCCAACGCCGATCGTGAGCTGTTTAGCTTTTCAATAGTGAATTTATTTCTTTCTCCGAACGAAAAAGCCAACAAACAATCAGGCAAGAGCAATTTTTCCCCCAACCCTGTTTGTTTTTTGTAGTCAGGTAGCTTTTCATTTTTTTTTTTTCCGTTCTTGTTGGGGTGCCCTAGTTGAGGACTCTGTTTGGTTTTCCTTAGAGCACGCTAATTTTCCTAAAATTTTCGGGCACTCCTTCGGTATCGTCTTAATAATAAAGGATTAAATTAACTGCAAAAACCGTGGACGAAGATCCTGCTAGATGTAAACGTTAGATATCTAAAAAAGAGATCTAATCAACCAAAATATAAAGAACCAGGAACGAGAAGTCCAAAGACTACTGCAAAGCGGATTTAAAACAACGTGTATTGTTTTTTATAACAATATTTCGGCTGGCCATACCAGCCTTCTTCAGGTTTACAGATGTTACATCGTCTTAAAGCGTTTGTGCAGAAAAAGAGGCACATGCAGGCTTTTAGCAGCCTTAGTGGTATAGCAGCGGCCGCGCGATAGCAAAATTTCGTAAATTCGACTTTCATGTGGTGTGCCAATTAGTCCCAGATGTGATTATTTTGGAACTCGGCTCCAACAATCTGGTGGAGTTCTCGCCGCAGACAGTGGGTTCAGAACTGGAAAGTTTAGTTCGGGAACTGTAAGAGATTGACTCGGTTCAATTTGTCGTCGTAGGGCAAGTTCTCCGTAGGCATGCACCGAACTCGGTCGAGTATAATTGTAAGGGGGGCAAGCTTCACCAATATCTTAAGGTTGTCCTAGAGCCGTTGCCTTTTTGTTATTACTGGCGGCATAGAGGTAACCTTTTCTACTGTGTATTAAAAAGACATTTTCTCTCTAGTAAAAAAAAAAACAGGCAATTGCTTTTACATGGTTTCTCCGTAAAGTCTCCTTTCTTTCGTGCAGCGGGATGTTTCGGTGGCGGCTGACAAATCTTCTAAGGGCCTCGACTTGACCGAAACCAGAAACCGCGCCTAAAAAGTCTCTGGCACCCAGGGTCAATTGCCTTACTCAACGGCGCGAATTACTAAAAGAATTTCGCAAACCTTCTTGCAGCTTGGGGTTCTCATTACGCTGTTGTTTGTAAACATTTATTTTTTACCTTTAAGTTGAATTCCGCGTAATTAAACACCGTAGCAATCACAGATATCTGCTCTCCTCTCTGTACAGAGTAAGGCAATCGAAGAGAAACAAAAACTTCCTTAAAGGTTTTGACGTAAAGTGGACGAGCCACTCCTAGGCCTGTCAAATTTGAAACTCCAACTGCTTGTATAACCCAAGTTGTAATAGTGTCTGGTAAGGTGGCCAAGAAATGAAACTTGCCGTCGTTACTGAAAGTAAATTCAAGGAATAGACTGTTACAGATGGCGCAGAAAGAGAGGTGGCAGTATTATTTGAAAAATTGTAAACTAGTGCAAATTTATTAAAAGAGGCTAGAGGAATGTAGAACCGCATCCCCGAAGGAGGTGATGCTCTCATGTAAACTGACCTGGCCATCCTGGGGGTCTGGAATTTAATATTAATATATCCTTTTTTTTTTCTTTCATTCGCATTGTTTTGTTCCCATGATCCCAAATATTTTTTCCCAAGTTCAAATTGTTCATATTACCTTGTTGCTTTAAAACCCTGGGAGACCCTACTTTGAATGCCACTTCTATAAGGGAAATAGAGCAGCTAGGCAACAACGCAAACTAAGCAAGATCTGAAATTACTGTGCTTATCAAAATTATTAAACCATTCGAACCTTAGTTAATATTTTTAATCTTAGTTCTGGTTTTAAACCTTGGTTGTAGTCTTAGCTCTTGGCCGTAGTTTGTTGACCTTTCTTTTACGAGGACCCTTCGGAAAACCACCTTTAGGTGTTTGCAGGCCTCTTCTTTAAATTAGCAATTAATGAATGGGGCTGAATAGGAAATAAAGAATTAAACAGATCGAGGAGGGTGTTATCCACCGAGGCCGAAGGCCGGGGTGGATAACAACCTCCGAGATCTGCTTAATTCTTCACATCCCCCGAAAGCCGAATTCATTAATTGCTTTATTATTCATTCAAAATAGTTCCTAGTTTAAAGACATAGCTAAAACATGCTGCATCGATGTTAAGTTCATCTTCGATAGTGTACGTTTAGGTTTGTCCAGCTCCACAAATATTTTCCAAATAGCAGATGTCGCCCTCCGAGTTGTCTTCCTGTTGTTTTTGCCGTGTTTTTAGCTATTATTTTGCCCGGACCCAGCTGTAGTTCTTACTCTTGAAACGAGTGAATTGTCCGCCCTTTTTTTTTTCACAACAAAACAACTCAACCTCGTCTCCAGGTCTTCTCGGTAACGGTGGCTTAACCTGTAGCGGGCTACATTTTTGACGTCATTTCCTCGTTAAACACAAAATTCTTCAAAATTTGGTCATCAGTAACTGGTTATGGTGAATTATGCGTGCGCCTTTAACCAATCAGAATTGGGGAGATATTTTCAATGAATTATTTATTTAATATTTTATCATTAACATAAGAACTCTGTGTTCAAAAATTTAACCAATTTTTGCATTGGTTTACATTAAAAGGTCACGTCTCTAGGTTGCTATTGGTAGATTTCTGTTTATTTGGCTTCGTCGCAATTACGATTGACTGACCGTAACTTAACTTTATAGATCGCGCGTTATTGACAATAATGATAATAATATTAATAGTGATAATAAGAATGACAATAATAAAGATAAATGAAAAGTGCAATAAAGCCGATTCCAGTGATCAAAGCACCAGGAAAAAGGACCCTTCATGTTGAAAAAGGTGCCGTTGTTATTATTACATTGCTCATTTCTTACCCAACAGTATCTTCTTCAAAAATCCAAGTTTCAGGAAAGTATTGTCTCACTTGTCCTTCGCTGACTGCCTCGTCATCGAAAGCCAGTTCGAATTGCTGAACCTTTCTGGAACGTACTTGTGTGGTGGAAGGATCTGGAAATAATTTGAAATGCGGACATTTTTTCAGCAATGGTGCATCTTATCTTAGAGGTTTAGTCGTTTATAGAAAACGAGAAACGGGAAATGGTAGAGAGTCTGGCGAAATGTATCCAAGAACGATGATAAAGTATCTGAGTTCTTTTCACGATTTTCATCAACCGCAACCAACGACAAAACCTTTCTTGTGATAATAAGTTTCATTTTCATGAGAATGAAAAATCATTTGAAAAGAGAGGCTTTGGGTAATTTGGAAATAACATAAATGTCACTTTCGCCCTTTTCGAAATTAAACGTGATTTCTTTCTAAACTGAAATCGGTTTACTCTATCTAAATCTCTGTTGTGAACAAAGTATGTTCCATGAAATCACCAAAGGGTTTTCTCCGCATTTAAAATAAATATGAGTGCATTGAAATTTTATGACTGAGCCAAAGTTGGCAGTTCAAATAGCTTAGCTATAATCAAAGTACAAATACCTGTTTCTCCAGTGTAATTAAAACAACATCGTCGAAATTCCTGCCTGCATTTTTCGCTTACGCCAGCCATCCAGTATCGAACACGGATAACACATGATGCTCTTGATGGCATATATCCCAGCTGACAGCATTTAACCAGATCTACGAGTGGGAAACAGACCTTTTTACCGAAACTGCGGCCATATTGAATTAATTCCATTTAAAGAGTATTATAGGATGTTTAGGGGGCATGAGCAAGATCAGTTGTACTCGCTTAGTATTAGATATATGGTCTTTCGCTGTATATTTCTCGGGAAAAAGGCGATCATTATTAAATCCTAATACGGCACAACGATCTTTAAGATAAAATGCCCCGAAGGGTGCTCGTAAATACTAAACGGAATGTGCTCATGCCCCCTGGGTATCCCATAATACTCCTTAAATTCTGACTTATTCAATATGGCCGCCGTATCGGTAAAAAGGTCTATTAAATATTCCTAAACGTAAAATATTATTTTAAGCTGGGTTGAATCAGATGAAGCTTACTGGATCCCTACCTTCGCCGTTTGATCTTTTTTTCCTGGGTTTAGACTGAGGACAAGCGAAGTCTGAAAACAAAGACGACGCTTAAAATCTATGTAAATAACTTTATCTGGGCAAAGTTAAATATGTCAACAGTTGTAAGACGAAGTAGAGCGCAGGATGTTATTCCTAGCATAAAGTTTATTATTGCCTTACCAACCTGGATGAGATACTTTCTGCTGCCAGTTTACTTCTGCCTATAATGACGCCGGTATTCAAATCTTACAATTAACTCATTGAAAAATAGGCGTTTTCTATAAACCTGATGTAGACCATTGCGGCCCAAATGTGGAAATAAGCGTCGATTGGGGATGATAAGGAATTGTCATTTTTAGTAAACCATACATGGGCTATGTATCCAAGGCAAAATATTAACAGACAAATTATAACCGCGACACCATGGGGGTGATAACAGTGTGCTCATACGTTCAACTTTCAACGTTACAAAACCACTAAAGTACAATCTAAAACGCTGAACGTTTTAATAGTGGCAATTTCGATTCCCTCAACACCAACAAAAAGCCCTGTTTACCAGAACGTCCTGTGCTGGTGATGTCCGTGTTTGTTAACACAACAGTTCCTGCCCTCTATAAGAATAGAATCAGATTTAAACGAACGGTTATTTTAGCACAAAATGCGAGGAGTTAACTACATAAGTTATGCACATTTAGTTATCTTTCATGCATTAACCCGCGACTGAACACAAAATAAGTGCTTTGAAGTAATCCCAAGACAGTACAACATAGCAAGAGGGATATTACAGTTTTATACAAACATTTTTTTTTTCAAAATTTTGGCCTTAACTTTCGTCACAGCACTATCTCAAGCTGTACTCATGGGCGGATCTAGGGATGAGCCAAGGGGACACCGGCAGCTCCTCCACCCCGTTTTTCTGAGAATTTCCCTGTCTTATTGTTCAAGAATTCTCAGTAAACATAAATGTTATCTATAAAGCAGGCAAGAACGCGCACTCCTCCCATTTCTGATTTTCTGTCCCCCCCCCCAGTACATGTACTTACAGTGAAGACGTCCTCACTATCTCTACCAGCTCCAACACCACATCCAAGATCCAGTGACTCCAAGAGATTAAACACCTACGTTTATTCAGGAAACAAAAAGCAAGAAATAAGGATAAGGGATCAACAAGCAAGTAAAATATAAAATAACTAGTAAATGTTATCTCGCTCATCAAAAATTCTCCGTTTTTTGTGAAACAAACTCCTCCAATTATGGGTTAACTCCCACAAAATTGCAAGGTGCCTGTAGCAATTTTTAACTCTTATAGACCAACCACAGAGGCCCTGTTTTCTGCGACTGATGTCAGCGAGAACATCACAGTCTAGGAAATCTGTTAGTTTTTGTTTCCTTGTTTTTGATTTTCTATTTTTTTTGGTTTTCTTGATATTCGATTCCATGCTTTCTTTTAATTATAAAAGTAATTGCTTTCCACAGTTGTTGATAGAAAAAATGTATCAAAATTCAGCTAGTAGCTAGCAAAACCATGCCGGTTACACATCAAAACCGAAGACAGGTATTTTATTACTATTTCGAAAAACATTAAGCTTTGAATGGCAAGCTTGGGCTTTTGAATCGATATCTCATGGAAAATGGTAAATATCTCGAACGTAGCTATCAATCCATGTAAATAATTCCCTCTGTTGTCTAGATTTATCGCTTACTTTTTTCTTGTTCAATTTTTTGCGATTTCTGAGGAGATAAACGCTCTGATCTACTACAAGAAGTCCAATTCTAGTCCCAGGTGTCGCGGAGAGTTGAATCTTGTACTGAGTGCTCGGATATTTTGATTTTTGACCATCGGACGAGTCTTCATGAAATACCACCTACGAGCAAAGGTTTAGAACTGTTATCCTTTCTGCAGAAGAATTCACAACGAAAGTGAAACTAGGTATGAATTTTGTATATCTGTGGAAACCACGAATGAGCTTTATTTGGAATTGTTTTCACTAATAAATAGATCAATGTTACCCTTTCTTTCCCGGGTAACTTGTCCTTCACCGGGAAGCTTAATAAAGCGACATTAACACAAATTATTTGAGGCGTACATGCCAATCTTCCTCGTTGACATTCCATTACCTCGACGCTATTTAGCCGATTATAGACCATGGATGTCAAGTATACAGGTTTTAGCCCCAACCTACCCCTTTCCCCTCAATGAATCGTCACAAACAAGAGCAGAAGGTTAAACGAATTCTTTTTAACTGTTAAAGACAGTGTGACAAAACTGACAAAAAAGCAAAACAAAGAGAGTTATAACAAGTTAATTCATTAATTTTAATTTATTTAAGAAGCCAGACAAAATTTAGCTTTAGATGTCACTCCCAGCGTCTCTTAAAGGTCCTTTTCAGTTGAATTCATGGCAAAATATTACCTTATTTGGTAGTCCATCGTCAATCTCAAGCAATGTGCTGTCCACAATAACTTCACCATTTTGTCCAAAGTAGAAAGCCACCAGACGTGACGAAGGAGACATTTCTGGTAAGATCCTAAATCGAAAACTCGAAATCACCCCAACGACGTAGACTTTGATCCACTGAGCAAGTATTTTACCCCGTGCAATAACCTGTGTAGAAGGAAAAGGTGAAAACAAGACATTTTACGTCCTTTTCGGTCGTTGAGAAGACTTTCCTGAATATTCTGTCGACGAGTTCCAGCCAAGGGAATCGTTTTAATTGATGGTGATGCTAAGGATTATTATAAGTAATTTTGTATGATCGACTATCCTGATCTATCAATCTCAGATATCAATCTTCCCAATCAATCTATTTCAATATCGATCTGCTTCATCTCTATCTTGACCGCATTATTATGAACTCCACCTTATTAACTACCGTTTAAACGTAACCTGTCGGATTTTAACCAGCGATGGAGGTTACTAAGTTCAAGGATTATTGCTAGTTTATCTCGGTTAAGGTTTTTAGCTGTTAGACGTATAGTAGTGTCGTCACAAACACCATAAGAGAGGCACCTCGTAGGCAGTTGCATCGATCGTTAAAGAAAGGAATGGACCAACTACATATACTGCCTTGAGGTACGCCAAAATGCGAGTAGTGGACAGTTGCCATTTACATTACATCTTTAGATCCGCTGGATTGCTTATAATAAGACTGACATTCCCTTAACAGCTTCCTGTACAGTATTTAAGTGTGACATCTTACTCCATTCAATAGGCCGTTTGCCAACCAACTGATTTTTGTCTCGACCAAAACGTTATTTAAACGGAAGGGAACCCTGACAAGCATAGTTTTTAAGGTCTGATATCTTTACTTTTTTATAGTTGACGACAACCTGACCAAATTTACGTTCTGTCGGAAAAATTTCCGGGAGAAATTGGTTTCTTAAATCGGGTGCAACGTAAGATTTGAGGCTAAAATATAAATATAATTTTTACTGTTATCGACAAGGGGTCAGTTATGTTAAGGTCAGTGATGAAAGTGCTATAAGAGAGTGCCTAACTGGGCTTTTGCAGCTATCTCAATGAACTAAAAAAGTTTATAATAACCCTATTGGCAGATATAAGAGCAAAAGCAGTGCAATTATCAGTTAGTTCAAGACGCTGAGTGTCGGCCCCAAAGTACTACCCATGCAGCTAATCCTTATAGCTAACCAGCTGATGAGGGAAGCTAATTTAACGTTTGCATTAAAATATATATAAACTTACCATAAAGGTTATCTTTGAAGCGTTCTTGTTCACAAAAACGTCACAATTAATGTGTTGCTTGTCCTGTAAAGAAATAAAAACATAGTGACTGAGAAGCATCGAAAGGAAATATATTTTGAAATCAAAGGGAAACAAGAAGTCTTAATCAATTTGTTTGAAAGCTTATCTAGTGATAAAAAAGTTAATGCCAGTAAAACTTACAAGTAAAACGTGGCAACAATGAGCAAACAAATGGGATGTGATAAATTACAAAAAAGCGTGTCCAGAATTTTTATTAGACTTGTGCACGTACCCTAATAGCCCGCACATACAAGAATGTTCTTGAAGGAGAATGATAAGCATGGACATCAAACTCTATAAATGTATTGTGTTCTTCTGGTATGTCATCCTTCTCGGTTTCCACCTACGTAGGAATAATTAGATACTGCAATTATGCCCTGTAATAGCTTCCGTGGAAGGCTTTTAAAAGGAAAGTGGGAAATACCATAAGACGCGGTGTGAGGAAGAAGGGAAGGGAACGAATGCAAGGAAACCAATTGTTTTCGCCATTCCATCACTCGTTAATGACGTTAATCCACAAATCGGAGGTATCTTTGTAACGCCTATTTGTCTCTTAACGTCCAATCAAAACCTCTAATTCCTTCTCAGTAAAATCACAGCACTCAAACCAAATATCGTGTTTCTTGTACCTTTCTGACAAAAATGAGAAAAAAACGAGTTCCCGAACGCCTAAATTTCCGATTTCCCTTCCCTTTAAAACGCCTACCACGCAGGCTCGACACCTTTCAAACAGAAGTCAGAATTCCGTGGATACGGCAGTATACGACTCACCCTAATCTTCATTGATTTGACATTTCCCGGCGTATCTATAACAAAATTGGCCCTGCCCTCTGCATTAGTTCTGTCTTCGAAATTCACATTATCTCGTTTTGTCGCATCCTTCCCTATTTTGATTTCTTGCCCGGATGTAGTTGTTCCTGTCACTGATATGGACATTGGGATTCTTCTTGCAGGATTTTTGCTCGGGTACAGCAGGTCAACCTAATAAAGGCAAAGTAACATATATATATCCATCAAATTTGCCTCAAATACAGCTTTAAACAATCAAAGGTACAAGTAAAATCGCAACACCAATGCCCGAATAATAATTGACAATAACGTAATAAATTTTCTATTCCGAACTACTTACAGCAGGACAGACACAAGAGTGCAGATTTAAATCAACTTTAAATGTGACCTGAATCAAGGCAAAGGGCAATTTTTGCAAGTACAGTCAACTCCCGATAACTCAAACCTTCTAGGGAAATCGAAAAAAGTTCGACCTAACGAGCGAGAGTTCAAGTTATCCTGAGTTCGAAGCAAATAAACGGAAATAAGAAAATAAGGAAATGGGACGCGGAAGCAATGCAAGTAACATGCACACTTCAAAGCTTGATAAATCATTCACGGTGCTGCAGCAAACTGTATTTTAAACTGACTATACTGTCAAAAAAGTAAAGACAAAGTATACAAGTTGTTTGAAATAATGTCAACGTTTCGGACTGCAGTAAACCTTTATTTTTGAACTTGCCAGGCGCTTAAAAGCATGGTTCGAGTCATGGAGGGTAAATTTTTATAGAAAAGATATGAAGGGAAACAAACATTACTTCGAGTTAGCGAGTGGTTCGAGCTATCGACGAAAGTTAGAGTTACCGAGGGTGTAAATCAAGTAAATGTATGAAGGAAATCCAGGGGAAATCGATTTTGGTCCGAGTTTGCGCGATGTTCGAGTTAGCAAGGGTTTCGCTCGTAATTCATACCTTGACCAGAAATGGAAGGGCAGGTTTGAAAAACTCGGCGGTTGCTTGGTGTTCAATAGTGAAAGGCGATTTGACAAAGAAAATTCCATTGTCGATTGCGCTCTCTTTCTTGCCAGAAGTTTTCTCAATTACATCAACCTCAACCTGAAGGCGGCGACCAACTGGGAACCAAGGAAGACCAGGAACTTTCTTTATTTCGTCTGTAGTAACAACGACATCTGTCTTTCCGTCTTTCAACTAAAGATAATTTTCAATGATTTAAACACATGGCAAACAAACAAACCTCTTCGTTTTTATGCAGTTGTTTTATGGTTTTGATTTATTATTATCTCGCCATTTACATTAAATATATACAAAGAATTTAGAAAGATGAGGCAGGGGAGCCCAAGGAAGCTAATAAGGCTCATGAAAAGGACCACCTTTAAGAATATATGACGTAACTTCTTAAATAAAATTCTGGCATAATTCTTTGTTAGATGTTTTTGTTTGCTCTTTTGGACCTGACGGTGCACAACGTTAGATGCATTCCTATCATTTTTGTTTGAAACATCGCATTAATTTATTTTGGAACAAAAACAGGATAGCACCGTTAGCTTTGATGTTTGCCGGCTTTCATAACCACCCTCCTCTACTAAATATCCACAGCATAATTGAGATAATTGATAATCAAAGAACTGAGCTAAAGTTTTGTTTCCCTGATATGACGAACCTTAATACGACAATTCCGTTACAAATAATAAAATTTTTGCGCCCAATCATTTAACAAAATGTTGAACGAGCCTCTGTAATCTTTTGACTATGGTCACTATTAATGAACTTGACAGGATAACTATAAGTCCACCATAACATTAGCAAACTGATTACCTCAGAAGAGGACTGTTTCACTGAGACAGCTTTAATGCGTTTTCCCACCATAGAAAACTTTACGAGTGTTGTTCCATCAACCGGCTTACCAAACGTGTATCTGCAAAAAAAGAAAATACCCGAACATAATATTAACATTATTTTTTTTATTCAGTTAATTTCTATGATGTGCGATTCAACATCTGGATGTAAACAAATACGGAAAGGGTTAGGATATCGTTGGAAATGGAAGGGTGTTAGGGTCGCTAAAATTGAATTCGATAGATTTAAGCAAGTAAACATGCATACTTAGCTTCAATAGAAAAACCAATGACTTTCGTATTGGGCAGTACATATTTTGGTCCCGAGATACTGACAGAAAACTTCGGAAGCACTGAAAAATAAATGAGTAAGTAAATAAATAAATGTGCCTTAGTTTAAAAGGTTTTTCAAGACAAACACGGAAGAGGCTGTGAAAAATTTCAAGTCTTCAGTTATCCTTACCATATTCTTTGACTTCAAACGTCACTGAAGTATTTTGTGTGTTCTGAACAAAAAGATGATTTTTATTAGTAGCAATTCAACAACATGATAATGAGCAACACATATAAAAGGATAACTATACTATCAACAAAGAAAAAACATTACAAAAGCACGGTTAAATTAAATATTAATATTACCTCGTGACCATGAAATGCAAAGACAGTCCAATTTCCTATTAGTGCAAACTCACTAAGCCCAAATATTTTAGTGATAATCCCTGGATAAAAATAAAAAAAATGTCTTGTTACTTCGTTGCTTCTTGTTTCTAGCTCATAGTCCTAAGCAAGGCTTACTCTAGCTCTAAAGGAAATTTATTGTGCTCTAAGCCGGAATCTACTTAAACGGCTAGTTGATAATTTGTCAGTTGATACGCTTAGTTATTACCAGTTTCAGTTGATAAATCCTTCCATTTCTGTACCACAACTTCTTGCGGATTCTGAGAAAAAATATTTGCACTGTCAAAATGAAGATTAACTTCTCTAAGAATGGCTCCGTTAGGACTGGCACTTAGGAGGTTTTTCAACTAAGAAAGATGTGTGATTTAGCAAGACTTAGATGAAATGACTGTAATAGGGAAGGAATCAATAGTAGATATTCACTTCACGAAGGTGTCAGTTAAACAAAAGTTTGTCCTGTTTGTGAAATAATTTCCTTCCTAAGGCCTGATCAGGGGCCACGCAACGGACGTAAAAAATAAACTTGCGTTACGATTAAGGACTACACGTGCAGTGGCTTTCCAGTTGAGATATTTGAGAAAAGTTGGTAATATCCGCGATTATCTATGATCGAATTTCCAGAAAAGCCAAAGTGTGCTACGGTTTATTGAAAAAGATTTCCTTACCTTTACCACAACCGTCACCTAAAAGAAAAAGGAGAGACGAAAGTCAAACCCGTTTTCGTTCTTGTTGCTGTTGTTGTTGTAGTTGTTGTTTGTTTGTTTGTTGCTTTTTTCTTTGTTCTTTTTCTTTGCCATATTTTTCCTGATCACTTCCGAGTTAAGAGTCTTTTCCCTTCAGTAGTTGTTCACTATTCCTCGGGTACATTTTGGCAAACTTTCATGACAGTTGGTTGCTATAGTTACGCGATATAACGTCACAAGTGACAGGAAAAAAAGTGCTTTCCTTTTTGTGCCAAAACTGGTATAAAAGAAAACCAAGAGGTTTAACTCTAACATGGTGGTAGAGGTTATGATTTTCTTCTCGGTCAGAGAGTTGTAAAACGAAATACAACACTAATACGGATTACTAATAATAAGCGTTTAAGAAGAAATAGTTTTGGACAACTATACTAACAACTACGCGATTTATTTCCATGGGAACCTTACTTTTTTCTGCTTGGCCGGTTTGAGATCAAATCCAAGCGGCAGAATCCTAATTTTGACTGAAAATAAAAGTTACCAGGAATAAAAACAAGGTAAGAGATAAAGACTTTCATGGATTAACTATTTTTGTTTGTTTTTGGGTATGGTGTATAATAATGAGTTCCAAAAAAAGGAAAATAACATTTAGGTTGCCCCCTTAAACAGAACATAACAAGGAATTTTATCGACTCTGTTTGACCGTGTCTATGTCTATTTCTGTACAATGTAAGAGGTAAAAGAACCCGTTGAAATGCAGTGACACTTTAGAAATCAAGTAAAACATTAAAAAGGGTTTTTGCCATACCTTTTTTTTCTTGAATGGTCGTGATGGTATTTAAGAGATACATTAAGATCTAGATATTCAATTTACAACTACCTTTCGTATACTCCAAACTTCCACTCTGCTGTGGAGTGTAAATTGGTTTATCTGTCTGTAAAAGAACAACACCATCCAGGAAACTGACAAGAACTTTCACCTCCTTGTCAATGAAAACATCACTATCGTTGGTTTTGGCAATCAAGTAAGCATAACGATTGGTCGCCATGTCATCATCATCGGTAGTGTCCAATGGAAAATCTCGTTGATTTAGCTGCATAAGCATAAACAAGAAAGTGTTTTAATATTATGGGCAGTTTCATTGTGTAACATGAAGTATTAATAAATGTCTCTCTTTATATTTTTTTCTTTTGTTTTTCTTGTCTTTCTTGCCTTGCTTATTTGTTTGTTTTTAAATCTTAATTATAAGCAAAGGTAAGAAAACATTGAAGACCAGCAATCCTTTGCCTCTCAAGTCAGTGATAACACCATGCAACGTGTTCTCCCAATTATACCGCCTCAAAGAAAGTGCTAATCCTTGGCAGGCTGGATTTTAATTATGATTGAATTTATGCCAGCGAATGTCAAGTGCGCCCAGACGAATTGTAACGTCTAGCTGTTAAGTGCGATTTTAGTGTGTCACTTCCTCTATTATGTTAACACGGATAATTATTTCCTCTTCTCTTCTGCTTGAATTGAGTCTCAAAGGCCCTTAATGCAAGGTGCGCTCTCTTGCACGTGAAGCGCGACGGAGTCGGAGTCGGAGTCGCTTTGTGATTTGTTTACTTTTTGTGCTTCTGCTTGCGACTCCGACGATCTTCTGTTTACTTTATCGTCGACGACAGAGTCGTAAGCGGAATCAGAACGCTGTTTTCACTACGCTTCTGATTACGACTCCAACATTGACTCTGTCGCTAATGAAAATCAGCCTTAAGTAGTACGCGAACGTGAACCGCAGCGTCATTTTGGCGGGAGAACGTGCTAGCCGTCGCCATTCTACCACGGGTTTTAGCGAATGTCGTAGTGACGGAAACAAGTTTTCAGATGTTTGAAGTTTTATAATTTTTCAATCGGGAGAGCATCTAAAGGGGATATGTCACGGGATGTAAAACTAATCTTCACGTCAATTGAATTCCAAAAGTAATGCTCCAGTTTAGTTACTCAAGACTATATTTAGGCATTGAAACTGTTTCCTGTCGCCTGTTGCAATGGATAACAAAGATGGACTTGGATTTAAACTTAACAGAGTTTGGCCAACTTTTTAAAATTTTAATGCTATCCTCTTGACATAACCCCATTAAACTTCTTCAATAAGAACAGCTGTGCGAACTCTTTTGTGATAAAGAGCACAATGAAGCTTTCCCGGACGTATATTTTTTAGAATATGGGAAAAAAGCTTTAAGTCAAATCTCGTGCTCGTAGTCTTCGACGTCATCCATGAATCTAAAGGTCTCTGACATATTGCTTAATTGTCAAAATTTCAGTTGCTAAACAGAAGTTAATATAGCCTGGGACCAGGCTCCTCGGTGTGGGAAAAAGGCGAAAAAAAATCGATAAATTAAAGGTGGAAAAAAAGGCAAGCGAGGCAAACCTCCCCAGTACACCGCTTGGCTTGGCTATATTCGCCCGCCGATCTTTTTTGCTGTTTCACACTGTTTTTTGCCAACTGCAGAGCCTGGTCCTCGGCTAAAGCTAATAATACACCTTACCTTGAGTTTCAGCATGCCTGGTTTCTCTGTTGAAGTCAAATGATCAAAAGAAGTTAGAAGATAATATCTCATTGTGGCAACCGAAAATGACGGATTAAGTAAATAGTCATTAAAATTAAACTAACAGAGACTCAAAACAAACTTTTTCCGTCCACAGGGGACGTCTAATTGAGGACACATAAAAATAGAAAGACAACTTTTAAAATTATTTCATCATCACCATCATTATCACTTCGTCATCATCGTCATCATCGTAATCATTATCATCATTATCATCATTTTTATCATCATCATCATTATCGTCATTATCACCACCATTATTATTTACTATTATTTACTGGTTATTATTTACCATTTAATATTTATAAAATAACTAAGATAGTACGCGCGCTCTGATTAGCCGAGAGGAGTGTTTGCATGAGAGTATGTAAACATGGTTGTGGCGACAAGATGTTTTGCTTTTCGCGCGTTAATCAAGGAAGCACCAACTTTAAAAAGTTTTCGAGTTCAAAACTCGACAAGTTTACTTTATTTGCCCATTCCTTCGTCGGGTGAAACTTGGAAAATCCTTACAAAGAAGGTGTGTCAATTTTTTTTTCGCTTAAGCTGACATTTGAAGCCGGGAAAGTCCGTATTTTGGAGGCTTTGGGAGAATTCTCGACGGTTATGCAAACCCTCGACTTCGTCTCGGGTTTGCATAACTGTCTCGAATTCTCCCAACCCCTCTCGTGTTTATATCAGGCTATGCAAACACGGAAAACATTTTCTATTGCTTAAATAGTAGATTTAGCCAGGGCTAAAAGCGAAGCTCTGGTTATTAATACTTACAAAAAAACTGGGTTGCATTTGGGTTGCTGTAACTGTTGATTGAGTTATTTTATATTGGTGTGCCTGTGCTGCGGACGGACGGGAGGACGTACAGTCACGTGACTACCAAAATTTCTCGGATGCCTACTTAACCATGGTGCTCCCCTGCACGCGCTTCGCGCGCGAGAGAGCTCCGCTATTATTTATTAGTTTATTTTATACTATTATTTTTTTACATTAGAAATAAATAGAAACAACGTAAACTTGGCTATGAATAGTCGTTTACCCCTTGCGAAAACTCCATTAGCCGCTGACAAGTTTCTCTTTTTGTCAGGAAAATCTTGAGCAATAACTGTCACTTTGACTGGTTTGTCTGTATTGTAGAGTATCACTGAAATGGTCTCTTCGACACCAAGGTGAAAGATGTTTGGGGCAGTGATGAATATTTGAGCACTTCTGTAAGAGAAGGTAACAAAACACGTTTCTTCTCTATTACAATACACTGAACAAGTAATAATTAACACATAAAGTATGTCACATGACAAAAATGGCAGCCTAAGGAACTTTGCTCTCAAACTTTAGTTTGTTTGGAACGAGTTGTTACCACATTTCTGAGGAAATGATGGTCACACATCACTGAGTGGCTGGCACTGCTGCGTTTTTCTCCGCGATCAATCACCTTTGACACCCCTTCTCAGGATCTTCGTGTTCGAGCAAGAAACAAATAACGTTCAAGGAATCATTCCTTGTCCTTCATTAACTTGACACTTTTAAGAGGAAAAATATTTCCGTCTATTAAAATAAAAACAAAACTTCCGCTTCTCAGTTTAGAATATTTTTAGAAACGAGGAAGATTGCAGGTAAAGGTCAGCTTCCTTGCAGAACGGGAAGTAGTTAGTTACCAAAAAAACATCTCATTGTTCTTAAGTCCGACGGAGCTACAATTATCTTTTATGCACATCAATATCGTAACATTCGTAACCTCAAAATCAAACTTCATGACAACTAAGATCAATGCGACTAATATAACATTGGATGTAAACGCTGAAGACCCGGGGGGAGGGGGTTTTCTCTTACATGATCTATACGGCTGATACGGGAATGTGCCGCCGGACAAGGTATGGTTTTTGACCTCTCTGTCCTAATCAGGGTATATCAATTCGTGTGAGTCTGTCCTAAATTCCTAAACAGAGTATATAATTTCGTGTGAGTCTGTTAAAACGGTATTTCCTGCATGATCGATTTGATTTCTTAGATGAATTTTGTATACAAAAGCAATGACTATAACGTGGATTTGCTCAGTTGTAATTGCCATAAATGCCTTCAAAACAAGACGGCGTGCATTTTCTCTTTTGTCGTAAACAGTGTATGTATTTTAGGATTTTTTTTGTCCTAAATAGTGTCAGGGTGAAACCCTCAGCGGCTCACCAATACCCGAATGTTAATCAAGTACCCACCCCCCGGACCGAAGACCCATTGATGACTAAGTTCAGTCCAGTTTGTCGACATGCTATACCCAATTTGTTTTTTTTTTAATTTCTTTTTGTGTAACTCATTCCTTGCAATCGCCAAGCTTCGGCGCGAATCACCTTATTAACGACAATTACTGTAATTACATGGATGTAAGTCTCAATCGATTTGCCTTGCCGTAATCTTAGTAGGCATACATGCCCACAATGTCATTTCACTGATTTCGGGCGAATACACCACCTAATTTCTTTTTCAAATAGCCTTACCGTTTTGTAGATACCACTGTTACTCCGGAGAACATCAACAGAACGATTAGTAACATTTTGAGAGCTTGAAATTCTCTAAAACACGCTTATTTTTATGAACACGCAGGACTGAAGACACGAGCTCATCGAGCACGTATTGTTTTCTGGTGTAAGAAAATAGCGAAACTCGATCTTCCGGAAGTAGCACCCGAGCGACCTTCGGCGGAAGAGTATTTTCCTTGGGTCATCAATCAAAATAGAAAGGGCTGAAACTTCTTAGGTTTTAGAATGTACCTGGTGCCAACACGAGGTATTTCTAATGTAAAGTTGTCAGGCAGAAGAGCAGTGCCCTGGGCATCACATGTGTGCTCATAAGAGGTATCTTAGAAATACTTGTTACAATATTATTTGTAAGAGAAACGTTTTCGTATTTCATTGTTATATTACTTATTTAATCTTACCTTTTATCCTGAAAATTACATGACCCTACAAGCTTTAGAATTGAGATCGTTTTTGAATAATGATGATGATGATGATGATGATGATGATGATGATGATGATGATACTGTAGAGGCGTATTTTTTTAAAAGATCGGAGCTAAGTTTATATGGTGAAAAAAACGTTGTCCCGTGTATTAGGGTCATCCTCCAAGGCGAACTAACTTAATTCAATTTAGCAAGCAGTTTATAGGAGAAAAAAGAAAGCATACTCTGATTGTCGCGTTTTGACCCTGAGTTGATCCGGCTGGGCGAGCCAAAGTGTTCACACTGAGAAAAGTTGGCCCGGCTAGGAGGGCGATTCTACCATCACAAAAGGGTAAACAGGCTAGTCGGATCACCCTTCTAGACAAGCCAACTTTTTGTTTCTCATGTAAAAGGTTCGCCACTTTTTTTTTCTCTTTTTTTTTTAAAGGAAATGTATCATCCTCTATCATAAGCTCGCCCAGGCAAGCTAGGGTCGGGGGATGACCCTTCTACCAGGGAAAACTCTTTTTCTCCATCTAACGGGGTCTCAGTGTTACCCTGTTTAATTCTGGGACATCTAACCGCTAAAATGGCAGGTTTAATTTCTTTGCCCAGTAATTTAACCGGAGGAAAAGATGGAAGGCTTCTCGTAGTCTGCTGAACTCCGATGACCAGGAGCTTAGTCTTATCGGGTATGTTGACTAGTGGAAGAGAGTTTGTAGAAGAACATCTTCCTATTGCCGAAAGATCTTTATTATGCAATAATATTCAAGGGAAGGCCGAGGAAAATTTTAGTGTCTTCCACATAGCCCATTGCGTGGCAGTAAGTAGGGACCGATAGAGTCAGTTCTATTTACACACAGTGTAAATAGAACTGGTCCGAGAACTGAGCCTTGCACTACGTCCACAGTCACGGAGAGGGGTTCAGAGACTGAGTTAGCCACGTTAGCAACGTGGTTTCGTTGTGAAAGGTAGCTTCCAAACCAGTCACACGGAGCGTTGGACACACCTATACTCTGAAGTTTTGACTCCATCAGATCGTGACGTATGTCATTGAACAACTTAGACATGTCTAAAAGGACGATCATGGATACCTTTTTCTCGTCCACGTTCTTAAGGATTTCATCTGAATTTTTGACAGTAATCTCCTATTACCACTTTGCAGTTTTGAATTTTTCATCATTTTGGTCTAGAAAGTTAACAAACTGTGAGAGTGCTGCCCTTTGACAAACCTTGGACATCATGGGGAGGAGGGGTATCGTGCGGGGAATTGGAAGGTTCGTCAGGGTCACTTGATTTAAAGATAGAGATGACTTCAGCCACTTTCCAGACTTGCGCAAGTGCGTTTGAAGAGAACGAGGTTTTTACAATGTTCGTTGCGCGAGTGTTATAGTTAGCTGTCTTTCAATACCCTGGCTGTGACTTTATCCGGGCCGGGATATTTGTTTGACGGTAAGGATCTTATGATCTTCCCTATTTCTCTTTCCGTAAACTGATTGACAATCAAAGAGAGGACAGTTGTAATCATGCAAAGAGCTGTTCTTAAGCGATTGTTTAAATCCATGTTCATCAGCAAGAGTTTTTGCCTTTAATACCGCAGGTATGCCGACCGAGGTGTGATACTCGTTGCATTTGTTCGTTTGAGAAAATGTATCTTCTGTTGTGCTCAATGGTGAATCTTTACGAGGTAGGCAACGATTTAAGACTTTAATTAAAATCAGAAGCATTTTATCTTTCGAGCATCGTGGAAGCAAAACTCTTATTTTTATATATATGTTCCGATCATTTCATCTGTAAAGGTTTTAGCTACTAAGGATTGATAAATTGGATTTCTCCTCAGAACAAGTAACTTAAAATTTCAGGCCTAAAATTTTGTCCCTTCGATTTTGAAATAATAAATCTATAATGACTGTATTGAGGTCTTTTGTATTGTTCTTTGGCTAACTTCACTCGAGATGTAGTAGTAGTGGCAGCCTTTATCACATTCAGGTTAGCGGTTAGTTGGTCCTTGTTAGCGACAAGCTAAGAAAAGATAAAAAGGGTAGTCTTACCAAAAATTGTTTACAATATAAAGCCTTGAACATAGATGGCCATCTTTGAAGTTCTTGACAATCCAACCACCTGTTCCTCACCTGCGAATACGGTATTTTCTGGTACTTTGTTTTCTGGGAGTTAATTGTATAATTGTTTGATTTGTGTTTTGTTCTTTTCTTTTCATATATACATTACATACTAGAACTTTATAACAGCATGGAAAGGAAAGAAAAATTTGTCTCACATCAATGAAGAATAATTATATTACAGATGAAAAAAGTATACCGGATTGAAGACTAGATACAGGATTTACTTCCAAACCGGATTTTCCATAGATTTTTTGTATTGGTAAACAACCCTTGTTTTGTTACAAACCTTCCTCCTTTCCAGTTTCACATCGTGTTATTCCTATGCAAACAAGCCCTTGAACATGATCATTTGGTGTTACATTTGAAGCGCGCTTTCTTTGGTATATGGTTTATATAATAGAACAAGGAATCTTTATAGCGCGCCTGGTTTGATTTATGGCTTATAGAACGAGGAATATTTACTGTTGGGGCGTTCTTGCTTCGCTTTACGGCTTATATGGTTTATATTTACGATCCGTATCAGTCAAGCGTACGGATCGTAACAAATTGCGCTCAGAATACGGACTGTCAGCAATGCTGACGGTTTGTACCGAGCGTACGATCCCTCAACTGCAGGCTTAACGCTCCTTAATAGTGCGGCAGTATTGGACATGACTGGGATAAGGTGCAATTGAAAAAATCGTAAAAAATTCAAAGAAGAATTTTCGCAAAGGACATGGTTAATCTTTCATTGTATGGTTTTAAAACCACGATGTATATTAAAGATCGCGCTTACTTTTGCAAAGAGGTGCTTGATCTTACTCTTCTAGTCAATGAAGCGAAATTTCGTCTAACCAAAACTGAAATTTCGTCTTATACCACGACCTTTAGTTTCGATTCTTCACCTAGCTTGCGAAATATTCGCCGACACCAGAACCATAGATGAGCCAAAATTTCGTCGCTTTTTCATCTTAAATGAAGGTTTGCAATTTGTTGGCCAAAATTCGCGAATTTCGCAGTTATTGGCGAAGTTCGGCTCACACTTCGCATTTGCACAGCACTGTACACTCTACACGCTGCTTTACTGCCTGGTCAGGGAATAATGCGATTAGAAAAAAATTAAAAAAATAGAGCTAAACATTGGCATTGCTGAGGTATTCATCAAACTATTTCCTTGAATACCAACTGGTTTGCTTTGATCTCGTTTAATTAAAGGTTTAAAGTCTTATTGTCGAAGTCTACGTTTACAAAGATAGAAAGCGCCATTACTTATTTCTAGTTTTTTTACCAAACATTGGAAAGACAAGGTTCTCTTAAACATCCGGCTTTGACCATGCTCTGAAATTATATTAATTTTTTGGTTGTTTACACAGTTTTGCTTAGTTCATTTTGCATTTTTTGGAAGGGTTCCGACTCTTAATTAAAACTGGTAAAGATAACACGCCCTGTATATAAAATAGAGAGGAAAGCTAAAACCTTAAAAACAAAGTTAAACTACAAGCACATTAAGCGCAGGCTACCTGTAAATATTAAAGAAGCAAAGCGAAATTGCCGGCAATGAAAACATTCTTTCATCCTCAGAATAATTAAAAGCAATGGAAAAAGTACTTCTCTTTGACAGACCGTAGCCTTGCTCAAGAGTTCACCAAGTGTTCTCTCTTAATGAAGTTACTGTAACTGAAATGTTTCCGGTTCTTGATTAATCTCAACAGTTAATGGAGGCAGAAGTGACGACGAGGTCCTAGTTACGATGTCGCCTCGATGTATCGTTTTCCCCATCGTTATCCTCGCTCTATGTTGCCCTTATGTCTGCTCTATTGACGCTGAACATCGTGCAGCCTATGACAGAATACTTGAATGCATTTCCGAAGGTGCTAAAACTGATGAAACAGAATGCAATTTGCCATTCGAGACCGTCATCTGTGACACCTTCAAGGTTTGAATCTTCTTTTTACCTGCTTTTTTGTTGTTGTTGTTGTTGTTGTTGTTGTTGTGCATTTGTTCTCTCATCTTTTTTTTTTTTAAACATTTAAAACGCGTCAGCTGCATGTCAGCTACTAAAAATTAGCATAAAGGTGAAGTCTCCTGCTAAATCAGAAATGGGTCAGGAACACCCCGAACACTCTTCAAACACCTTTCTAGGGACTTGAAGAACTACCCGACAATCCTCTGACATACACGGAAAAACTTAATATTAAGTAACATGGAGGTGCACATATCTTAATTTAGAAATTGAACGCAACAAATTGTCTTCCATAAAGTAGATGTGTCCAGGTATCTTCTCGGAAGTGGTTCTTTTCTCGTAAGTGACCAGTCTTCGCATTCTGCGTTTTTGCTTACGGGAGGTTCGACTGTAATGGCCAGTTGTTTTTCCCGACGCCGACGATGTTTTGGCTGGCCTAATATTTTTCTACTGGAACAATATTTTTACAATGTTGTTCAACATTTAATTCCTTATTCATTGACTATAGGTAATGGATCAATGCCTTACAAAGCCTTTTGTCTCGACAAGAGCACACTCTAGTGAAATCCTGGATTATTTCCGTGCTTATCAGCTACAGCGGGTTATTCTTATTAAGAAGTCGAAACTGTGCCAGAAACCGCCTCCATACAGCAAACTAAAAAAATTGGTCAACAAATCTGGTAAGAGGTTGTAGGGGGTGTGAGTCAGCAATCATCATTGCGCAGATAGGTATAAGATTATGCAAACTGCTCACCTACCTATCAACCGACCAAACATTTCTGAACTTAAACAACCACGGCAACGACAAAAACGAAAACATCGAAAAAAACGGATTAATTGATTGATTATATGAGCAAAAAAAGCACTGCTCGTACTTTACTCTTAATACTGCATATGATTAACGGCCATAGCACGACTTCCACGTGAATACGACTCTCACGACGACGAATCTTTCTTTCCCTTTTTAAGCTTAGATAGAGTTCTTGAGAATACACGTCCAAGAAAATTTGCCTTCATTTGAAAAATTTATTGAGGCCAAATAAACGCGATAGAGTTGAGAACACCACAAATTTATTTTTATACAGTGGAACCCCGTCTTACGACCACCTCGTTATTACGACCATATTTTTTCGATCCAAACGTAAAAATCACTGAGTTATTTTATTATTATGAAGACCCCGTTAAAGCGGCCACCTTGGTATTACGACCAGGATTTTATGGCCCAACGGTGGTCGCATTAACGAGGTTCCACTGTACACTCAAAGCTCTCGTAAGCGACCACCTCGGAAATTCGAATCAGTTGTCGTAACTAGTCTTTAGTCGCTTACGAGAATGAGCTCCACCCTCTATTGTTTTACCACAGCGGTCGCGTACGAGAGCTCCAGACACTTATTAATAATTCATAAAGAAAAGATGAGAAAAATATATTTAACAGTTAATGAATGAGGCTGAGTATCTTATGAAGAATTATGGAGATCGAGGAGGGTGATATCCATAATTGTTCATGTGATACGAAATCCAAATTCAATAACTGTTTTATTATTCATTCAAAATAATTCCTAGTTTAAAAACATAGCTAAAACATGCTTACCTCCATCGATCCATCGATGTTCAGTTCATCTTCGATAGTGTACGTTTAGGTTTGTCCAGCTCCGCAAATATTCTCCAAATAGCAGATGTCGCCCTTCGAGTTGTCTTCTTGCTGTTCTTGCCATGTTTTTAGCTATTTTTTTACCTAGTTCTTACTCTTGAAACGAGTAAAATGTCCGCCATTTTTTCAAGTTCACAACCAAAACAACTCAACATCGTCCCCAGGCCTTCTCGGTAAACGGTGCCTTAACCTGAGAAAACGCTGCATTTTTGACGTCATTTCCTCGTTAAAGTCAAATTTCTTCCAAATTTGGTCATCAGTAACTAGTTATGGTGAATTAAACTTATGCTTTTAGCCAATCAGAATCGGGGAAATATTTTGAATGAATAATAATGATGTTTAATGAGTGTCTTTATATCTGATATAGACATGGCTAAACTTCACGTCAAATTCGTAGACTAACATTACCCCAAGATATTTATCAACGAACCATTAGTGTAGTTTGCAGTTTCCTTAAAGTGTTGAGTTATATCAATAATCCCTTACGACATCTTAAAACAAAGGAAAAGTCCAGTTGAATAATCCCAAAAGTGGTTGCGGTCGCTTACGGCAGAGTTCGCTAACGAGAGCTTTCCAGTTCAAACGGGGTTTCGCAAAGGTGGTCGTAACTAGAGCTGGTCGCTTATGAGAGTGGATGCAAGGAGAGCTTCGACTGTAGTTTCACTACCGCCGTCTTCAGTTTATGGTTACTAAGCTCCGTAATTTTTACCCTTTTAGTGAGACGTTAGGATTAGGACGTTTAAGGGGATAGAGCGATTTTCGTATGTCCTTAAAAAATGATTTCGGTAAGTGTTTGTTATTTGTTTTATCAGCCAATGGATGAAAAGAACAAAACATGGACTATTTGTTTTCCCGCCAAAGAAAACCCTAATACGGAGAAGGCACTGTTCGATTCACCAATCGTGTTGCAGTATGAAGTCAAAGTGATTTCTAGAAAGTTCTTTGGGCATAAAGTTTTTCCAGCCGAGCGTTCGCTTAACCTTCGCTTAACCAACCAAAAGCCAGGTGTCTTTGAATCCGTTCGATAAACCAATCAAATCGCTTTATTTCCGTTCGTTTGTTGCTTCTGTTTTGTTCGCGCGTTTTCATTTCAAGGTCATACGAAAATTGCTCTATTCTTGTACATACAGCACTACTGATCAGGTTGTGCACACTTTTCAAGCGCTATAGGTGTAATTAGTTTTATTAAAAACTGAATCATTGGATAATGCAATTCTAGCATTTTGATTGGCTTAGCCGTTATGGTATATGAGCTAATATACCATGTTCTCCATATATGGTCGGTGTACGCGTCAGTTTAAAATTGGAAGCTAGCTGAGATTTTTTTTCGCGAAGGATAGAACGGCGCCCGAAGCAAATCGTTTTAATTCATTTCTTAGAATACTAGAAATGCAATTTCAACGAAAGAAAAAAGACAAAAACAAACAAAAAAGCCACAAGAGCTTGTTTGAAAGTTTGTCGAAAAACACATGAAAACACATGGAACTAAAGTACCTTGACCAGCTACGAAAGAAGACAAGTGTTGTTTCTTCATGATCGCGAAGCCATTCGCCGATCGAGTCACTCGCCGATAGAGAACTGCAGCTTGTTTATCCGACATCAAGAATATAAATCACAAGTAACCAGCTACAAATACAGGCTATGCTGCCATTCACTAGAGCAATCGAGGCGGCAGTATAGCTTCTTTTCTCGTTCAGCAAAACCAGGTTGTGGCTTCAAACAACTTCATAACAAGCGACCGAGGTAATACCGGTAGTTTTTCTCCGTTGTTCTTACTTTTGTAACTGAACCGAAAATCCAAATTCATAGTAATTTCGACGGCTGTCACTTAAAAATTCCTTTCCTTCACATTATCTGCCAGGTTTTTTAAGCTGTTCTGCTGTGTAAAATCCTAGAATCACGATGAGTTTTTAAAAAACTAATGTTCATCGCACAATGTTTTGATTTTTCATTCATGCAGTCTAGGCGAGCCGGTTCGCGCGTTGACAGTTTTGATAGACGTGTGACATGTCAATAGCGGAAGTCCCTTGTCTTTTCCGGTTTGTTCTAGTCGGGGGCGTTTGTGGGCGTTTTTAATAAAACAATTATTCCACTCGGGCTTGTTGGATATGAAATGATAATAGCCAACTCGGCGCTATGCGCCTCGTTGGCTATCTATCATCTCATATCCAACGCGCTCTCGTGGAATAATTGTTAAATATGTAATAACACCACAGAAATTTCTTATGGGAGACCGAGACAACAAGTTTCAAAAGCTTAAAATTTCACAAAATGAAATATTGCGCATGAAATTTTAACTGTGTTCCATAAGAAATTGTCTTTAATATTATTACAGATAACTTACCTAATTATTTAATTATTAATTCAATCTGTAGCCCTTGAAAAGCGTAAAAAAGAATGCGATATCGCTTAGATTATTCTGGTACAGGATTTTTGTCTACTGAAAATTAAAATTACTCAATTTCCCCTGTTTCCTGATGGATTCCGTCTTAACACGATACTTGATATTCTGAATTTTCAAATAGTGGCATTGCTACAAGGAAAAAAAAATCTTGTAGTTCAGGTTAAAGTGCATTCCTACGATATAGTTATATTATTATAGTGGTGCATGAGAAATGCAAGTGATTCGAACAAAGGTTTAACTGAAAATAAAAAAATCTATTTGCTTTCAAAGGTGAACGCTCATATGCGCCATTGACATAATTAATTTGCTTTTCTATTCTTTTTCAGGATTAATGAAGAAAGAAAAATTACAGAGTGTTGGTAGGTTCGAAGAGAGATGAATTGGTAACAATCACTGTAATTAGCACCCCGGCTGAGTAGGATATGAAGAATTAGAATTAGCAGATCGAGGAGGGTGTGGATAACACCCTCCGAGATCTGCATAATTCTTTTTAATTCTAAAACAGTGGATAGTGTTTTTCCCGCGCTCTTACTGGCTACTCCGTCAGTGAATATCCTGCATTAGTATACACTAAAACAGTGGATAGTGTTTTTCGCGCGCTCTGATTGACTACTCAATCAGTGAATATCCTGCACTATTCACTGATTCACCTCCAGTTCCTCCGAGCGAGCGACGCCAAATTCGGGTAAGTTGCGAGCAAAATACTTTCCCGGTTTGCTGCCGTGAACAAACAAAGAAATTTCACAACTGATCAAGCAAGCTGTTTCCGAAATACACGAAGAAGGTGACGAAGTTCGGATTGGAAGTTTTAACAGGTAAAGCTTTGTCTTTTTGACACGAATTTATCGATAAAACCGGTGAAAAAGTTTTTAAATTTAATAATCTTTTTTTATAGAATGATTTTAAATACAAAAAGAATTCACAACTCCTTTTGAAGAAATTTCCCCGCAAGAGCTAAACAAATGCCTTCAAAAGTTTTAATTGTCGGCAAGAAAAAGCGACGGCCGCGGCCGCCCGGTCATTACGCGCCAAAATTGTAATCGTTGGCAACAGTATTTGAGTAAAAAATCATCATTTTTGTGCTCAATTATCTCACTGTTTTAGTATATACTAAAACAATTATTCACCTCAGTGTCGGTGGCTAGTCGTGGATATTTACCTCACTGCTTCGCAGTTCGGTAAATAACAACGACTAGCCACCTCCACTTCAGTGAATAATTGTTATCTATTCAGTGATTCACCTCCAGTTCCTCCGAGCGAGCGACACCAAACTCGCGTAAGTTTCGAGCAAAATGCCTTCCCGGTTTGCTGTCGTAACAAACAAAGAAATTTCACAACTAATTTAAAGCTGTTCCCGAAATACACGAAGAAGGTGACGAAGTTCGGGGTTGAAGTTTTAACAGGTAAAGCTTTGTCTTTTTGACTTGAATTTATCGATAAAACAGGCGAAAAAGTTTTGTTTACAAAAGCAAATTAAGCTTAAGTCTTGCTTTACTTTATTTAGTTGACTTGTTCATAAATAAGCTTAAAACTAACTTTAATAATCTTTTTTACAGAATGATATTAAAAACAAAAAGAATTCACAACTCCTTTTGGGGAAATTTCCCCACAATAACTAAACAAATGCCTTCAAAAGTTTTTTTGTCGGCAAGAAAAAGTGACGACCGCGGCCGTTAGGGAAATTGCACGCCAAAATTGTAATCGCTGCAGGCAACAGTAAATGAGTTAAAAATCATCATTTTGTGCTCAATTATCTCACTGTTTAGTATATACTAAAACAATTATTCACCTCAGTGTCGGTGGCTAGTGGTATATTTGCCTCACCGCTAACGCGGCCTTGGTAAATATCCACCACTTAAGCCACCCCCACTTCGGTGAACAATTGTTACATATCCTACGAAAGCCGAAAGCACTAATTACTTTATTATTCATTCAAAATAATTCCCAGCAAATAATTCCTAGTTTAAAAACAAGTCAAAACGTTCTTACCTTCGTCGATGTTAAGTTCAACTCGATAGTGCATATTAAGAAGATAAATGGCTGTTCGGGTCTGCAAACATACTCCAAATAGCAGATGTTGTCCGTCGAGTTGTCTTCTTGCTATGTTTTTTTGACAATAGTTCGTCGTGAAACAAGTAGAATGTTCCGCCAACTGTTCGGCCATTTTTCTTTTCACAACCAAAACAACTCAACCTTGTCCTCAGGTCTTCTCTGTTAACGGTGCATTAACCTGCAATTGTGCTGCACTTTTGACGTCATCGGTTGATTAATCGCAAAATTCTTCCAAATTTGGTCAACAGTAGCTGGTTATGGTGAATCATGCATGTGCTTTTAGCCAATAAGAAACGGAGAAATATTTTGAATGAATAATAATCATAATTATATGAAGGGTATTTGCTAAATATTGAGTTAGTCGTAATTGCAAAAAAAGGAAAAGAAAAGCGAAAAAGTGGAAAAGTTCAGATAGAGTTTTTAAGAATAAAGTAAATGTAAGCGAATATCAAAGTACTTTATCTGCATAGCATACGTATCTTTGCTCTAAAATTTGAGGAAAGAAGCAAAACAGCGAGTCCAAAGTTGGCATTCAATTATGAATTTCGGGGTTCTGAAGCTACGTACGTTAACGCCCGTTCATGACATGGAATTTAAATTACACCGAAATGTTTATTGGTTAAAGCAAAATTTCAAGGTTTTTATTTTATCCTTAAAAAAGTTTTGTCCCTGTGAACATAAGCTCAAGTGAAAACAACGTTTAAAGAAAGTTACCAGTTGGTTTAAATTAGCCTTTAGCCATATAAATTGGCAAGTTTACCTAATTCAGCTCTAAACAGGTTTGTAAACTGAAAAAGAATCAAGTAAACGGACAGTTTTACCCCGCACCTCCAATTTTGGGCTTGGCTAAATTTATATATCAGAAATGATTGGTGGAGCCTCTCTGCACCTTAATTCGTCTTCTTAAATTCAAGTACAGTGAAACCTGTATTAAGAAACATTTCTATAATGCTTTCCAGAGGGGGACCCCTATGTGCCATGCGCTGGTGAAATAAGTCGCAAGTGCTATGCAGAAGCTGTGAATCTCTGGGTGTACCACTCCACTGCCCTTCGTATCGAACATGACTTCATCAAGTGTTTTGAGAAGGAATTAAAGGCCTGTGATTTTCCAATAGTGCGTCACATGTCTGCCACAATGGAAGCTTTCAAGAAGCACGTGCAAGAAAAACACGGAATCTACAAATAGTTATAACAAGTATTAAATATGCTAAAAACCCTAAACAAAGCATGGGATTGCCTCAAAAGTAAAACCCGTAGTAAAGATATATTTGAAATAATAAAGCTGAAAACTTTGCTGAAATTCCAAGGCAATAAGAACAAAGAAAAATCCGACGAATAATAATCAGTGGGAATACAAACCACCATAATTGTGCTGCTTTTTGGAGTTGTTAAGAAAAACTTTATTCATTAGATTTTAGAGGAGCGAGGAAGAGAATAATCGAGTAAAACGTAATTGAGTCGTAGGGTTTTGTATTGAATGATTATTGAATGAGGCTGTGTATGATGTGAAGAATTATGCAGATCGAGGAGAATGTTATCCACCGAGGCTGAAGGCCAAGTCAAATAACAGCTTCCTTGATCAGCATAATTCTTCATAATATATAGATTTAGTCAGGGCTAAAAGCGAAGCTCCTACTAACTCGAATTTATAATTTAAATCAAACAATTGTAAACTTGTATATCCACAAATCAGTTAACTTTAGAGCACATTCATGTGACTTTTGACGGAAAGGCTAAGTAATTTTAGAGAAAAATAATTTGCAAACAGTCCAAGCTAAGAGTGAAATTAATCTTACATCGACTTGATAGCCTTATTTAAATTAAGATTAACACAGTTATACGATTCAACATAATGGCTTTATAACGATGTGTAATCTTCAAAAGCGTTTGATACGCGCGGCATTTTGACTACTCCTGCAAGCTGTGTTAATGAGCGACTGAAAACAAACGGCACAACAGCGATGAAAATTGCAAAAGAGACTACAAACAATCAATGAAAGGAAAATAAGTCGGTGAAACATAGACAGAGACAACAATTTTCATTCACGAAGACAACAACAACATAAGCTTTATTACCAAATAAAAGTTAACTTACTTTACAATATAATATATTAATACAAAAAAAGGTAACATTTACTCAGAATAACTAAAAAGCTAATCGAGCTGAGTAAAGCTAAATAATGTTCAGGCATAGAAGGTAGGTTGGCACTAAAGCTAGAAAAAACAAGGAATTAGTAAATAGATAAAAGGAAAAAAAATGAAAAAGGAAAAAAAAGACAGTAGGTAAATAAGAGACAACGAAAAAGCACGAAGAAAGTTAACTATAAAAGGAAAATTAACAGAGCTGAGAAAAGCACGCAATGCTCGCATGACAACCGCTGACCAGTATTAAAGTGTCTCTGAAAATCCTTGTTTATGTTTGAAGCCGGCTTCCCGGTGTTTGCGTTTTTCAAAGATGAACTCGAGGGAAAAAAAAAAAGTCAAAGCTTTCTTTTACACCCAAAATTATAACTAAATATTCTTTGAACGTTTTCTTTCTATTTGCGGTGAGAAAATGTCTGAAGGCTTTTTAAAGTTCTATAAGCTTATAATCAAACCTGACACTCGATCAGATCATTGTCTCAAATCTTACAAACGTGCATAAACTAAATAGCCCCATAAACTACACTCGACTTCATTGAATTAGATATAAAAAACAAACATCAAATAAAATAATTACTCAGGCTTACCATTGGAGATGCACTGAAAACTATCAAGTAAGGCCAAAATCGCTTCAGACTTTTCAACCCTCTTACGTATCAACCAAGGTGAAAAACGAAAACGATGCCATCCGAAATCGGATTTCCGACTTTGACAAGCGACGTATTTCTCAACCAAAAACCCGATAAACAAACTAACCATGAATAACAGAAGACTGGTGATAGTAGCTGAATTTCATTTTGTACAATGTTCAGTGGAAAAAGACAGTTAAAAACATCACAAGTTGACACAAAACTCTGTCAGCTTCAGCTTTCAAAGTAAACAAGTTTCAAGATCCTGCGTAAATTTTCCGCATGAACTCACCTGTCAAATTTTGACCAATCAGAGCATAAAAATTGGACGTAGAGCGTGACCAACGCGTGACCTTAGTGAGAAAAGTCAAAAGCAACTGGCATGTCTTCCCTGCCTGTTAAAACTGGCTCAATCTTAGCTTTCGAGGTCAGTTTGAAATCAAAAATTCAGATATTTCGTCTTCGGATAGCAAAAACGCCATCTTTTTTAGTTCACTGCTCATGCATCCACCTTTCCAGGCAAATAAACTGAATCAGTCAACCTCATTTCCAATCATCGAATCGATGGTATATTGCTAGCATCTTCCAAATAGAGTAGGCGCCATGCAGTTGGTTATAGACAATTTCCCTTGGTATTGGAGCTAATCAGAGACGGCCAAATATTTTGAATGAAAAAAATATATATCTTTTGCGTATTCTTGCATTTCTTCCGTTCAGTATTATTCAGAAAATCAGCTAGGTCGTCTTCGTCGTCATTTTTTCACTATTGCCCAAGCAGCCTCGTTTCCAAGCAAATATGCTATCGATCAATCTCGTTTCAAAGCAAGTATGCCATCGAACCGACGGAAGCACCAGCTCGTTATGAAGAATTAGCCAGGGGATTGAAGCCAATCAGAAACGGGGAAATATTTTGAATGAGTAATAATACGAAATGTTCTATGATTGGATAGATTTGTTGATAAAAGCTGATAAAATGACCAGAACTTAAATACTAAAAGAGGTCGGGCAGAGGGTATTACGAAGGAACGTAAAGTTTACACCGAGGATGAGCCTTGGGTTCTGTCAATGACAGCAGATTTCACGTTCTCTTTTAATTGCAAATTATGATGAAATTTCATTTTTATTATTCCAATTAGCATTTTGTTGTTTGGGTCATTCAACCACGTATTTCCCTTGAGGCAGAAGTCATAAACCCCCCACCCCTTCCACTGACTATTCAGGTAAATGGATTAGTTTGCCGTGTAGGAAGTTCCTAACAAGTGAGTAAATTCGTACATGTAAGTGGAAAATATGTCTGCTGAATACTATGAGCTTTGCAAATATGTTTTCCAGATTCAGTGGTCGAGTATGTTTTTCACTTGGGGTTGTCATAGGGATCTAAGAACTGAGACAAAATAAAACCTCGAGTTGCGTCTGCAGTCATGGTGACGAAATAAGACATTCAAATTATGTGATAATTTCGGTGCTGTTTTTCTTTATTTATCTTATCTATTGTTGGTTTTCAACCATGTGACCAAATTACCATGATTTCATATCGTTGGTGAACAAAAAAATAATAGTTTCTCCCAGAATTTGCATGAAAAAAGAATTAAGTTCCCAGCGGAGAGAGAAGCTTCTCTTTTTGTCCACCACTAAGGCCACCATAACATCAGCTAAAAATCAGGAAAACGAAAGAAAGGTGATAAAAACTACTTATTACTGTCACTTTGAAAATGTTCGGGTGTGTAAGCCTCCTAACAGCGTGAGCTGGAGCTTTGATCTCAGTTTACTTCACTCATCAAAGGTTGGGCTGATAACAGTAAGATCCTAATTGAATCAATAGCTGTGTAGCCATATCGCCCTCGATTTGCTGAAGTTTCGTCTTTTTATTCTGAAAATATAACTGTTTAGTGGCTGCAATAGAAAAAGAACACGCTTTCTACCATCCTTTTAGCTTAGTTATGAGTCACGTTTACTTCCTCTTTAACCCGAATTTGCTCATTCGAAATATAAAAATGACTTGCGTTTGTCATAGAGCGGTTTTCACTTGACTGTCGTAAAACCAAAACCAAAGTAAATACACTAGCCAACCAAAGGGCGTAGTAAAACCAAAACCAAAACCAAAACCAATCCCTTTCGACAGTCAAGTGAAAACCGCTCTAATCGCGAGATTTATCCTACTTACAAATTTACACCGCGCCTATTACATCTAACTTCCAAAAAGAAATTAGTTCCCTGTGACAAATAAACCTCCGATTGCATCATAGCAATAGAAGATATAAAAGGTAACTAAGGCAATTTTTATTTATGACTTGCCAAGAGCAGACACTGTATCTGTGTTTGAAATGTCATATGATGCATCGTTCGTTTGGACAGCTGACTATTTGTTTAATTTCTGGGCAAACATGATATTTGTTCCATTCGACTTCTACTTTTATCGTCAAATACATCAAGGCACGCTCATGATTTAAGGGCTTGAGTTGCATCAAACATGTCAGGAAAGCAAAGCGGAACGACAGGCTTATCATTGTTCCTTTTTATTATATTTTATAATGATTTCAGTGCAGACCATACCTCGCATGCTCAGTGTAAGCTATTTCCTTCTATCTTCTGTATCTACATTGAAGCGTTAATAAGCAAGAAAAATAGCTGTATTAATGAAGAAATAAAATGAATTATAGAAACAAAAGGTGACAGTAAAACGTGACTTAGAGAACAGTTTTTATTTAAATTTATTATAAATATTTATTTTTCGTAGGTAAAAACTTTGCCCCCAATTAAGTAAAGCTACACGGTATAGTTCCTTTATTCACCGATGTTAAAAATAATATTTTTCGTCACGGTGAGTCTGACTTTACTCCTCCTCTCAAGAGAGAGACGTTTATAGGTAACTATGACGAATAATTTTTTATAACTGCAACAAGCGTACGTATCGTGAGGTATTACTTATATCAGAGAATGATGACAGAATTTGTTATATGAAAGGTAAGGGAATTAATTGCCTAAAATTTCGCTTGCTTGTAATCTCAAAACTACCCAATGACAAATAACATAATATCTACCTCTTTCCCGGTACATATTTCGGTTTACTGAACCTCAGTGACGGATTATTGTCAGTGGCAATGATGGCCATTTGATCCAGGAAACAGGTTAACCAAAAAATTGAAACTGCATGCATGTAATTTGTACCCATATTCCAATGGCAATCGTCCCAGGTATCTATTTCTACAACTCCCTGAGAAACATAAAAAAGGATCAGAAACTAAGGCAGATAGCGAGCTCTAAACTAGCTTGATTCTGATCGTTAACGCTAGCATATTATCACATGTTAAGCACATCTGAAATACATTTATTTTTGCAATCTAATTTACGAAACTCCATAACCTACCACTTAAGGGCCAACTGTATGATTTTGAAAACTAAAATCAACTTTTAACAAAGCATACAAAGCTATTGGGGGGACAACTTTCTCAATATATATCTCAAATTCAATAAAAAAAAACTTGAAATCGTATATGGAGTCTACTACAACTACAACACCTGCTGCGACCACGAATAAACAGCACACCACCCAAATGTCACTTCAGTGCCATTTTGTTTTCCCCTGTCAATATTATCCTTATTAGTCTATTAGTTTGTTGCCGTTATTTTTTTTTTTTTTTCGCTCCTATAGAACTGATTTTGTCAATTGTTTGAAAGTATTTTTCCCAGAGTATCTTCAGTTTTTGTCTCTACTTAGTTTGTTTTCTGGTTATTTTATTGATTAGTCTTGTAAATCACCTTTAGACAAATGTCCCCAAATGTATTTTTGTAAACAAAATTACAGCCTTTCGTGCTAGTAGCTGTGTCACAAAACGAGCTTTGACTAAAAGAGGGGCTCGTTTTCTTGCTCTTTATGGACTGAATTAATCGACTTGGCAATAAATTGAAATCTTACCTTTGATAGCCTCCCCATTAAGAACGCGTAGGCAAAAACGTAAGAACTGAGCTTTGAAAATGAAACAGGTTCTTATCTTGAAAATAAAAAAATAAATATAAATTAACTGTTCTGAACAAATAAAAAATATATAAATTATGGGATCAAGAGAAAGTTGTTGCATGTTTATTTTAAGAATACCACATTCCCTTTTTTGATATAATAAAAGGTTTCTCACTAAAAATCTAAAAAAAATAGACTAAAAACTATCGACCCTGTTTTGGACTCCCAGCAAATACAAGCACCAAAGCTCTCCCATTTCATGGGATGTTCCACAACAAACACCGCTGTAACTGAAACTTCGTTTCAAAACTATGGCAACCATCAAAATATATTCTTTTCCCTTTTTCAGAATATAAAATGAAATCCGTGGAATACATTTGTCTCAACGTAGCATTCTTGATCATTGTTTTAATGGGCCTTGTTGGTAATACCCTGGTGATTCTAGTGATTCGTTTAACCAAGACCATGAGACCTCCTATGAACATGCTTTTGCTTAACTTGGCAGTTGCTGAAATGGTAGTAGCAGTGTTTGTCGCAATACAGTTCGTCATTGAGCCAACATTCGAACACCCATCTGGAACAACAGGCTTGTGGCTTTGCAAGTTTATAACTGGAGGAACAATTACATGGTCAGCGGCTGCAGTATCCGTTGGCAACCTGGTTGCAATTTCAATCGAACGGTGAATTTGTTATATTTCCACCTTACTATAAGTAGACACAAAAGGCATGTAACTTGGCCGTATCATGAGGGGTGTTCAAGTTATAAAGGGTGCAGCTTCCAACTATCCCCCAGTCCATGGAGGCCCCAAAATCATAGTCAAAACAGGGTTAAATTTATAGAAAAAGGAGTATCTTTGGAAAAGTACCGTTAATTCGACGAGCCCATTTTTCACTCCAAACTGAGACCAGTAAACTTTTGCCAGGTAAAATATGTAGATCATTTGTATGACAATGCCAATTGTTTTTAATCCCTTTAGTTTTTAAAATTAATAGCTATTATTTTTAGGAAAATACACTGAAGTAAAATAACATAATTGTACAATTGTTCTGTTGTCTCTTATCCTTACTCTATTGGTTTTGCAAGATGTTTCTTCGGCAGATTAAATAAGAAATAGAAACAAAATTTGTTCCACTTTCATATGGATTATACAGTTGAACCTCCATGTGCGACTTGACCTCTCGTAAGCGAGTACCTCCCATAAGGGACCGCCAATCCAAAACACCAACATTTTCCCAGTCAAAGCCTTACAGTTGGAACTTCGTGTAAACGAACACCTCCTCTAAACGACCGCCACCACTTTTTAGGCCAGACGGTTACTGATTTTCCATTGTTTTTAACCTCTTGTAAGCGACCACTCGACGCATTCTCTGATCTCTAGTTATTTTCGCTATGTGCACTACCATTGTTACTTAGAACATACGAAGAACTGTAGGGACACCATGGAACTACACATATCCTAACTTAGACATCTCATGCATTAAAATTATCCTCCATAAAGTAGATATGCCTGGAACTCTTCTTGGAAGAGACCACCTGTGGTTCAAGTCTTGTAAACGACCTTCTCCCGTAAGCGACCAGTCTTTGCATTTTGGGTGGTCCCTTAAGGGAGGTCGACTGTTCTTCTAATTCCCCCTTTCTTTTGGTCTTTTTGTTAAAGATATCACGCAGTGGTACAGCCGCTGGCTAGTCGTTCAACACTCACGAAAACCAGACTGAAGCTCATTATCGTTGGTTGCTGGTTATTGGGCTTCTTTTGGAATATTCCTCTTTTTGCTGTCATGACTTACAGGGCGGATCTAAAGTCCTGCGGTGAGCAGTGGCCTGGTCAGATCTTTCCAATAGTTTACAGTTTTGGGTGGAGTGTAGTGGCTGGAATTACACCAATTAGTTTAATGAGTTATCTGTACTCAAGAGTGGTTTACAAGCTGTGGTTTGAGGGAACTCCAGCTCTACCGTTCACATCAGCGGTAAGTTTTATTAATGACAACCCGCTCTGGCGTGGCCTCAGTTTGGCTGGCGCATAATACGTTAGCGCGGTGAAACTATCACCAGTTACAACGGCTATCTCTGCCTTAGGATATAACTGAGAGTAATTGTCTTCAAATTCGACAGCAATTTTTTGGATAGCACTTGGTGCGACCTCATTAAGTTGTTAACCAGCGTTAGCACAGTGGGACAGTTCATGAAATTCCTTGCGAACGCGGCAAGACATAAATGTACAAAACGGAAAGATTCATGTATTAACGGATTACGCTCTAAAAGGGGAAATATGACCTTTTGGAAACCAGACCTCGACCTTTTCGGAGCATGCAGATAAGATTGGGGACCTTCTACTTTAAGGGTGTGATCAACATTGGTACTCCCGTGTTGCTCGAATGGCCAAGCTGGGCACCCCGTGGCGGGGAAAGTTAAAGAGCCATCAAGATAATACTTTTCTTAAGATACAGCTGTAACAATGTAAACAAGGAACAAAGTATGCAGGGTCGGATCTAGGGGGAGGGTGCAGGGGGTGCGCCCCCCCCCTGAGATGACCTGCGGTTTTCTAATACAACTGGTATTCTGCAAAAACTATGTGGTTTATTGGTGTTGAAGTAGAGCAAGAGACGAGTGCACCTCCTCCTAAAAAAAATCCTGGATCCGCCCCTGGTATGTCCACCATCAGTAAGCACTAGGCAGCCATTAATCGAGGAAGAGACTTGACTCGTATTCTCAAAAACTAGTGAGACACCCCAGAAAGCTTCTTTTTACTTTTTTTCACCAGAAAGGTTAGCATTGTTATCCTTGACGATGATGTAAACTGCGGAAATACAAATTATATATGAAGATATGATCATCAAAGTGGTAATTATAATTAAGCAATTGCAAATTAACCCAAAAAATTTCGGGACTTCGATGTCAGATTCGAACCCATGGCCTCTGCTTTAGCTCTGCAGTGCTTTAATCAATTAAGCTATGAAGATCCATATATTGCGAGCATGCCAATTTGTTGAGTTCGTCTTAACCCGTGAATGGAATGAAACAAAGACAATGATGCGAACTGTGGAAATACAAATTATATATGAAGATATGACCATCGCAGTGGTCATTTTTATTGAAGTAAAGTTAAGCCCTCTGCCGATCGCAAAATGATAAAACTTCTAACATTCGATAACTTGTTTCCGCCCCTACGACATTCTCGTAGTAGAATGACGACGGCTATCACGTTTTCCCGCCAAAATGAATCTGGTTCAGGCGCGAGCCCTACTTGGTATTGAGCAAATCTCGTACTCATAGTCCTTCTCGTCTTAAAATCTAAAGATGTCTATTAACGGTCCTAAGCTGGCAATAACCAACCTTTTAACATGTTATTACTCAACACCTGATCCTATAAGAGCAGGTAGCACCTCCTTAGAATAGGAGAACTACAATCGGTGACAAAATTGTTCAGATATTGTTCTTAAATGGGGTAACTTCGGACAACAAAACAATCCATACCCCTCCATCCTCCCCTCTCCCCTACATTCAAAGTTGTGGCGTTTGTTGTCTTCTACAGGTAGCTCGAACAGCGGCACAACATTGCATGGAGGGGGTAGAGGAGGGAATGCTTTTTTTACGTTAACAAAACGGTAGAGAGGCCCTTTAGGGCGACGTATCCCCACCAAATTAGTGGCCGATTGTAGCATGATATCGGTCAAAAAACAACAACTTACTACTCTAAATCTCTCTTTTCAGAAGAAAGCCTCACTGTCCAAAAAGAAAGCTACAATAGCGGTGATAACAGTCAGTTCGATCTATGCCATTTGTTGGGTACCAGTTCTTGTGATGTACTGCTTGGCACAATCATTACCACACATGATGGTACTCAGCCACCAACACAAAGTCACCATACTTCTGGCAGTGTTCAACTCCAGCATTAATCCAGTTGTTTATAGTTTTACCAGTGCTCGCTTTAGAAAACACCTTGTAAAACTGCTGAGATGCAAATGTTATTCGAAAAACTCGGAGAAGCAGTTTAAACCTTTGGCACAGAGGTCACAGCCGATTACATTTGACGGCATGTGAACAACCATGGTCGAACGTTTCAGGCGCCTGCATGAAACTCCCTTAATCACTGTATGTGGCTTATGAAGTCTTCTGTCAAGGAAAAGCGTGTACGTTTTGGTATACTTACCGTACGTAACTTGGTAAAATATCAAGCAGCGTCAAAATACTTATGAATCAAATATCCTCCTTCTTCCAAATGATATTTTACAGCCTACAGTCTTGTAGGCTGGTGGGCGGCCCATCTCGAGCAAGTCCCCGATAAAGTCCTCTTTTGCTAATGTGATTATAATTAAATTTCGACCCTAATCATCATAGAGCTTCCAGAAGTAGTTCGAGTATCCGATGTAGTAACTAGAACTCGGAGGGTCATGAGTTCAAGTCTCACCTGAAGCTCGGAATTATTTTCGGAGCTTTCTGGTTTTTTGAAAAACTGATGCCCTTGGACCCCTTTATAAGATATATATAAATTATATTCAGGTGTGCTGTGGAAGAAATTAAGGAATAACTAATTTAAAGACAGAATATAAATACATGCCTATAGTTCTTCTAGTTTTATTGTCCTATTAACTAACTTTCAAAAAGTAAACTTAGGCAATTTTTTATATATGACTTGCTAGGAGCAGACACTTTGGATCTGTGTCCGAAATATCTTATGACAGACTATATCACGCATGCTCATGCATAGCTTATTTCCTTAAATATTTTATATATCTACCTCGAAGTGTTGATAAGCGAGAAAAATAGCTGTATTGATAAAGAAATAAAACATATTATAGAAACAAAATCTGGACAGAGGAACAAAAAGTGACATAAAACGTGACTTGGAGAACAGTTTATATCTATATTTATTATAAATATTTATTTTTCATAGGTAAAAAATTTGCACCCGCGTTAAGCTACAAGGTATTGTTGTTTTATTCTCCGTCAGTAAAAAAAATGTTATTCGCCACGGTGCGTCTGACCTTACGCCCGGGGGGTCACTCAACAAATGTTTATAAGGGGAGGCTCCGCCTTAAGGTCCGACCGCTTACCCTTTTATGTACCATTTTTCACGAAAAAAGGTACCCCTTTCATACACCTTCTGCTGACAAATGGCACTCCGTTGACAGACCTTATTTACAACTTTGCATTTTTTTACGCTGTAAATGCACCGTCTTATAAATAGGAATCAATCACAAAATAGAACGTTTTCTTGACTTTATAAATTCATAAAATTCATCTGTTAGCCCCTCTGGGCCCTTTGACAGACCCAAATGACAGATTTCCCTACCCTTTCGTATACTTCAGCTAGTGAAATCCCTTCCCTTTGGCCTTTCATATGCCTGAAGCCTGAAAAAGACACCCCTTTCGGGCGGAGCGTCCCTGTATAGGTCATTACAGGGGGTACTCTCCCCCCCGGGCTTTAAGCTTTCTCTAAAGAGAGAGAAGTTTATAGGTAACTATGATCATGATATATAATTTCTCTCGGTATCTCGAAATACGCGTAGTATCGTCAGATATTCGCTAAACCAGAGAATGACGACAGAATTTGTTATTTGAAAGGTAAAGGGAATGAACTGCCTAATATTTCGCTTGTTTGTAATCTCCAAACCACCAAATGAAAAAGAACACAACATCTACTACCTTCCCGAAATATTTCGGTTTTGTCTGACTTTCAGTGAAATCATAGTATTTGAACAACGAAGATCAAAAGCTTTGCGGTAGTCAAAAAAAATACCAGCACTGTTGCACTGTTGCACTGTTGCCATCTGTAGCTTCAAGCCACTTGTGCACCATACCAATAAGTGCCAGTACAGTGGAAGAACCAGATGTGTTGCCAAACCGGTTAGGGTCGACCACATCCTCCCATGCCGGTTTGATGTAGTCGTTGACTACAAAGTCCTCAGCAATTTTCCAAAGAGATGAAGTTAGAGAAATCGGCCGAAGCTCTTTCTTAGGTTCTAAGACTTGCTTGACCTTTGGAAGAGGAGTTACTGATCCGCAAGCTTCCACAGAGAAGGTAACGTTTGTTCCACGTATGAAGAATTCAAAATGTCACTTAGTGGCAGCGCTAGGAGTTCTGCGTACTCCTTTAACAAATAGCTGACAGTCCGTCAGGGCCTTCAGGAGCTTTGTGCTTGTTTAGATGTTTCAAGTTATTGAACACTCAGTGAGTAGGCACCTTAAGGAACTCTGGGGTCTCTTCCAAAGGCAAAGAAACAGCGGTAGATTCCATGGGCTCATAGGATTGTTGCGGTTCTAAAAGAGCGACATTGATGGTATTTGTAGAGTGCTTATTCGGGGGACATCGCCGGAACAAAACGCTTGATATCGTCCAACGTAGAAGACATAAAGTACATAAAATCTCTATCTTCGTGTTGCGCAGCCTCGCAGAAGGCAGCCATTTTACCACAGACAATTGCTTCTCAAAAAAGTCTCGCGGCCCGTCTATCAGAAGGGCGGGCTACCTCCACATTACACATAAAACGAAGAGAATATCTCGAGAATGTCCAGAGGATTTTTCTTAAGATCTGAAAAAAGTTTTGACAAGAGATATTCTAAAGTGAAGATGATTCATTGCTCAAAATAACAAGCAAAATTTACACGTACATTAAAAGAAAAATCTCTCTTTTCTCTCACATTTCAAATCCATTGTTCGTCATCTTATGTGCAAGTCTTCGACAATTTCCTCTTGATTGTTGTGTTACTAAAAGGCGGGCAAAGACTGCAGGAAAAGCGTGAATAACAACAGATTTCCACATCAATTCGAATCCGTTAGAGGATATTTCTAACCCGTCTGCTGTGACGTCACGCTATTGTTTCGCACATTTCCAAAAGTGGAAAAGCTCTGGACGTGACGATGGCCAAGCTCATCCGGACAAGCAAACTACTAAATTCACCATCTAAGTGACTTCAATCCCTCATAAGTGTGATCATACTTCCGGAGACCGACAACTATCCCGCTGGCAAAGTTTTGAACTAATAGAACTTTTTACCGATACGGCGGCCATATTGAATTAATTGAATTTAAGGAGTATTATGGGATGTCCAGGGGGCATAAGCACGATCCGATGTACTCGCATCAGTATTTACGCGCTTTTCGGGCTAACTTTTCCTTTAAGTTTTCCTACAAAAATATTGTAATGGGACTAAAGGTTGTTGAAGTTCTCTTTTTGCCCGAAAAGCGCGCGTAAATAGTGAGCGAGTGCCCCTTGAGCATCCCATAATACTCCTTAAATCTAATAAATTCAATATCGCCGCCTTATCGGTTAAAAGGTCTCTTGCAATCTTTTTACATTTGTTTTAGAGTTGTTTCTCCGTAAGGGGGAACTAAAAGACAATTAACCTAACTATAAGACAATTATACTAACTACCTAACCTATAAGACAATTAATTAGGTAGCGTCTTTCAATCAAGAAGGTACTTGATTCTTTTGATCCTAATTAATCTATGCATGCAATCTGAAACTATTTTGGTCACATGTTCATTAATACTCCCAAACCCTTGGCCACAGATACAGGTTTAATTTCTTGAGTTTTTGCCTTTAAAGCCGCAGATAAGGCGACCGAGGTGTAATACTCGTTGAATTTGTTCGTTTGAGAAAAAGGATCTTCCGTTGTGCTCAGTGGTGAATCTTTACAAGGTAGGCAACTATTTAAGACATTAAAAGAAATCAGAAGCATTTTATCTTGCATCGTGCAAACAAAAACTTTCTTTTTATATTTATGTTCCGATCAGCAAAGGTATTAACTAATGAGGATTGATAAGTTGGATTCCTCCTTCAAACAAGTAACTTAAAATTTCAGGCCTAAAATCTTCTTTCTTTTTCTATTTTTGAGATAATAAATCTATAATGACTGTAATGAGCTCTTTTGTATTGTTCTTTGGCTAACCTCACCCGAGATGTAGTGGTAGTAGTAGCAGCTTTTATCGGGTTGGTTAGTGGTTAGTTAGGCCTTTAGTGACAAGCTAAGAAAAAGCTGTAAAAAAAATGAAAAAGAGTAGTTACCAAAAAGTGTTTACAATGTAAAGCCTTGATCTTAGATGTAATATATCAAACATGAGATGCAGTGTTTCATCACCAGATGAAACACCGAGAAGAGAGTTGAAAATACGACGCGCAGCGGAGTATTTTTGACGAACTTCGAGGTGTTTCATCTGGTGATGAAACACTGTGTCGAATGTTTGATATTTCTTCTCACACAACATCATTTTTGAAGGAGAAATTAAGGATGCAAATACTAAGCAGTGTTTCATCCGATTTCCAAACACTCATTAAACATTAATTTCCTTTGTATTTTCTTAATGAATTATTAATGAGTTTGAGAAGGCCATTTCTGAAGTTCTTTATAATCTATCCACCTGTTCCTTACCTGCGAATATGGTATTTTTTGCTAATTTGTTTTCTGGGAGTTAATTGTATAACTGTGATTTGTGTTTTGTTCTTTTCTTTTTATATATACATTACATGGTAGGACTTAATTACAGCACAGAAAGGAAAGAAGAAAATCGTTTCACATCACTGAAGAATATATTACATACAAAAAAAAGTATACTAGATTGAAGACCAAATACAGGAATTGAGTTTTAAAAAAAGGCTAGTTCCATTAACTTATTCCAAACCGGATTTTCCAGACATTTTTTGTGATGGTAAACAACCCTTGTATTGTTACAAACCTTCCTCCTTTCCAGTTTCACATCGTGTTATTTCCATGCAAACAAGCCCCTGAACATGATCATTGGGTGTTACATTTGAAGCGCGCTTGTTTTGGTATACGGCTTATAGAACAAGGAATATTACAATTGAAGCGTGCCTGTTTTGATTCATGGCTTATAAAACGAGGAATATTATTATTGGAGCCTGCTTGTTTCCCTTTATGGCTTTTATAGCTTATATTTACGATCCGTGTCAATCAAGCATGCAAATCGTACGGATCGTACGAACCGTAACACACTGTGCCCTTATGTAATAATGAGATCACAATTTGTATGAGCTCAGAATACGGACTGTTAGCAATACTGACGGTTTGTACAGAGCG